TGCGTTAATTGCCTTCCCTTTAAGAGGTGTTTAACTTTCTGCCCTGTGCAAATCATCACGATGACATCACACCGCGTAATTAGTTTCACAAAATAGCAATTTTTATCGAAACTTTTTGCTCATAAAATATCAAACATCCACACCGTTATGAACTCATTCGGCATCTACACTTGTATTCATTAAACTGGTTCTCAAATAGTCGTCCGAATTATATTCTGAGGTCTCAGTCGCTCAAGAACGGCAAGAGCTTTATCCAAACTGAAACGACTCAATTAAGACGACTCAGGACCTGATTACATGGACCGAGTTGTCCGGCAAGGGGAGTTGCTCTGATAACCGATTTAAGTCTTCTCAAAACATCACATGGAACAAGGTGTACCTGCAGGATGAATGTTTATCGTTCAAACGTTACGTTTTGTACGCTGCAATTTTGTCATAGCTAATTGAGTCGATTTTAAGGCGGCCTTTACAGGTTGAAAAACTCACGAAGTAGTTAAAAACATGCCCTATTTATTTACGATGAGTATCATCTTAGAAATTTTTTGCAACCTTCGGCCATTTTGCAACTTTTCAACTCACTTAAGGGACAATGCAGGAAAGTGCTTACACAAGCAAGCGGGACAATTTTGGTCCCTCATCATATCACTCGCGATCGAACGACTGTATAGAACCGGTTTTTAAATTGTGTACTTATAAACCAAATGTATTGACTATGATGTAAAATGACGCTCAATAATATTTAATTGTGATGAAACTGTAAACTGTGTGATGTGATAAGATGTTCATAAGTACTTTACGTCGAACCGGGCTTGCGGTGAATTCTGGTATTGCAACACTTCGTGCCTTGCAGGCACGATAGGACTGAAACGCACAAACGCTTCAAGAAAATGCGATATCCTTAATCAGATATTGCTGGAAGATATCCTGCTTAACAAACTGCTGTGCCAACCGCTAAGCTCCGACTATTGTCCTGCCACAAATCCCTCCATCAAAATCTGAGAAGCGGGATTAAATAATATATTCACTTAATGAAAAAGACAACAAGTAATTACCATTTTCTGTGATAGACGCTTTTAGCTCCTTGAATGATTTCAATTGTTTTGACTTTTGAGTGTTCAGGCTGGCCACCAAACGTCAAACGAAGTTTGACTAAGGCCTGGTCACACAGTTGCCGCTTCTATACATCTCAATGACTTATTGCCATTTGCCAATGACCTAGAACCCAAACTACTAGATATCAAACTCCTCCAAAATTCTATAGTTTCAAGTGAGGCAAGCCGCCATCTTGAAAAGTGGCAAAACTGACGATATTTACGACTAATATCTGCTTTTCCTGAGTTGATATACAGTCGCCAAGTTGATAGCTTAGGTTTAATATTTTATAAGGTTTGTTGGGATTGGGTTTTTTAAACCTTCTTTTAGCTATGTTTTTCATTTTGAGTTTTACTGTTTGCCACCTTTTAAGATGGCGTTCTTGCCTCACCTTGACACGGTACGTAGACATCTAGAGGATTGGGTTCTAAATCATTGCTTATTACAGAAGGTCCCAGCTCCGTAGATGTCAAACAAAAGTTTCAAGACCCAGACCAGGACTATCACTACTGAAACTATTTATCAACGTAGAAGAAGGACATTTTAGGCGTACATATCGTCAGTTTTGCCATCTTTGAAGATGGCGGTTTTACCCACTCCGAACTACAGATTTATGGAGGAGTCAGAAATCTAGTAGATTAGGTTCTAGATCATTGGACTGTCTGATTATAATAATTAACCTGCCAACGAACGTCGTTGGATGTTTCAGAATAATTAAACACATAATTTACTCGTTCTAAACGACAAATATTAAGCATTTAGGACTTTCCCATTTTCAAGCGGTTTGACGTTCATACTTTCCATACTATCATTCGATGTCTGTGGAACCTATATGGCTGTACATTATCTCTGTCGTCAGTCTCCGCCTTTTTATATATTTCATAAGTGTCACATTCGCGTAATGCCTGCTTGTTCTTTATGACAAGTCTTTTAAAGCAAATGTAGATAAAATTAATGCGATTTCCTTTCAACACGTTTACACATGCAGTTTTGTCATCGAAACCACTGGCGTATCCAGCACACGTCAACAAAAAATCACTGCTGTTCGTTTGTAGGTTGGAGGATATTTCATTGGTTAAAATTTGATTGTTCAGAACTTCATAGCCAATAGTTTCGTGCTGAAGATATTTTGAATTCGAAATTGACACGCGTCGTTATTTTTGATGAACGCTGCTGTATGTGCTGCAGATTAAAACATTCGCAGACATATAGAGCAAGTGACAACATGACAGGCATGCGCAATTATAGAAAACACAAGCAGAAAATCATTTGAAGATAGATTTGACACCGCTACGGAATCAGATTTCAGAGTTTTGTTGCTACAATTCCACAGACTCGAACAGTTGAGTTCTTTGTTGCGGAGTCAAATTGTTCAAATCAGTGGAATTAAGACTTTTGAATGCGGAGAAACCTGCAGCCAAGATGACACGCACTTGAATCTGGCATGAACTGATAAACATTAAAGGTGATCATCGCCAGCAGTGATTTTGGCATTATTTGAAAAACACAAGACATGTCATTAAGGGTGCAGTGGATTAATACTGATTAAGTGAAATTTTGATAGACAACCAAGCAACGTTCGCTAAAACCGTACACAACTCCACTTCTTTGATGAAATTGCGAAAACCTCCGCACACTTCGAAAGAAAAGATCGTTCTTTTGTACTTCCTGGTAATTTGGGAGTAAATTTGTACTGTCAACAATTATCCCTTGACATTATTTAGATATGAGGAGTAATATACGGATTTTCTTAATGCATCCTTTCGATATGTTAATATTCAAATGAAATCATATACCCTTGGGTCATCCATTTTCTACGAGGAAAGGGGGGAGTGTAATCGGTGCACACAGTAATTTGCGTACTGCAGGGGGGCTGCTAATCTGTTGTTTCGTAACAATGCTATTTTTGAATCAAATTTTGTCCAAGTTTCTTAGGAACGCACAGTATTATGTACATAGATTGTGCATGTCAATTGTTATACATAAACGGGCTAAGACAAGAAAAAACGTACTGTTGAACATAGCATCAATTGAGCATTGGTTATGAAAACAAAAGCTAACTTCCATACGAGATTAAGAGACGCAAAATAAGCAAATTTGAAGGAGCGAAGTACATTAATTTGCGTACGATGGAGAGGAAGGTGGTTAGCAAAGTATAATACAATTGTGATTTGTCAACAGCAAAGAAGGGAGTGTCTAAAATTAAGAAAAACTTGACGAGCAACACCTCAATATAGATGATATATAGCTACTGGTCAGGATGGAGATTCCCAGGACCAATTTCAAACATAAAGCACCCCGTTGGGCATGTAGCGAAAAGCAAGGGTGAGAAATCATGAACTAAAAAACGGATAGTATTACGTATAAAGAGCATTAAATCGTGGGAAAATATGCATGGAACGAAATATTTATTAAAAATTAAGAAGCAACGAAGTTTATGTAGCAAACTAAAAACCGAGAAAATCTCATTTTTCTAATACAATAACTAATTCACACTCTTCCGGCTTTATTCCAAAAGCCTTGCTCATATCATCATTGATTTTGACAACTCTGTTTTTTCTTTGCTCGCTCTAAATCCAGTAAACTTCAATCCAAAAAAATTAAATGTTGTTTTTCATAAAAGAATCGAACGATTTGATTTATTCAAATTTTTGTTTGAAACCAAATGGCGAATCATTAAATGACGCGTGCGGCCTAGAAAAATCGTTGAAAACGTTTCGTTGACAAACTGTGTTTGTTTATTGATGCTGTTCCTAAAATTTTGGTTATTCTTTATCAAAGATAATGTAGCGGAGTATTGTATTGTTTACAAGGTAGTCATTACATAATGACAGAAGAAATAGCGCACGAAATCTCCGATACTGAGAGCTGTGAACAGGCGACGAGCGTGTTCATTCATGGTGAGAAAGAAGGCAACATAAAATGTACGCAAAATGAACGAGGCGCTGGTATCAAAAACTTCGACAATGTATCAATCGGTTTCAGGAACGGTAAATCAATGCAAAATGTTGTTGCAGTTACTAAGCTGTCAAAAATCCCCCCAAAAATAGATTGTATTTTTCCCGCAGATTCTCGCGCACAATCAAAGGATTTTGCCATGAAAATATTCAAAGAATACACCACGAAGGGCGTGGAAAATGCAGAAGACATTATCCCTGCAAATACCAAAAGATCGAAAGGTCGACCTATAAGTTTGTCCTCGTCAAGTCCTATCGAAGACGACAAAGAAAATCTTGAAAGTCATTGGCTCGAAACAGCCCTCAAGGAGGACGACACTGAAAAACAACTTGGCAGTCAATTGAGCAAGAAATTGTTGTCAAATAACGAGGGTGAAAACGACAATAGCGATGGCAAGTGTCAGTTGTCCTTATGAGCGCTTTTTACTTAATCGTGTTTTAATTGTCTTAAAAAGGGTTTCTTCAGCGTGGCATATTCAATGATTGATTCGATGTTAGCCAGATATGCAACACAAAGGTTGTATACAAAACATGCAGTTTGCATATTTAAAGATTTTTTAGTCAATTTTTTAACTTCGGATCCGGTAGAAACGGACATCGTAATAAAAAGGCGGGTTTTTAATGACTTCGTAGGTTTTTCAACCATTAAAAAGTCGCCATAAAATTGAGTCAAATATGACAAATTACAACTTACGAAACGTACCGTTTGAACGATAAAACAAACTTTTCACAAGTTATTTAAAAAGTACTAAAGCGAACAAATCAATTTTAATTCAATGCAAATAAGTCACAACAGTCTAACGACTTCGCAATGAGAACGGAGTACACAACAACAATTATATTTTTCTTTTACGGTTAAAATGGATTGGGCACATGTATCTACCTATTTGAATTCCATTTCAAAACTACGACAAAATAATTCACCCAAATTTTAAAAATCTTACGGCTTACCTCAAGTGTCGCTCAAAACATGAAAATTCAACCACGTGCAGCTCTTCTCTCCTGAACAGTTGAAAAAACACTTTGGAATTCGGAATGACTCGCGACTTTGTCGTTGCGAAACAGGAAGTGAACGTGCGTCAATATAGTACGTCATACAATAAGAAATCTTTGTGGCAATTTCAGCATGATTTGCTTTAAATTGTTCCCCAACTCGTCTTTTCAATAGCCATAACATTGAAACAGATCTTGTGCAGTGGGAGTTAATTTTTGCAGTGATTTCATTTGTTTACAATTATAGCTGCCAGTGCCGACAGATCCCACGCCCATTTGTCTGACTAAGTGTTAAAATACTCTTGTCTAAATTTAAGTTTCCAAATTACTTATATGCGAAACACGCATTCAAGAAGAATTTCTAAAAATACGGGGAATACGTACAAGAACGGTTTAGTCAATAGTTGTTGACAATCAAAAATTCACCCGCTTTATTTATGACGTCATATGAAGTTATTATGATTTCACGTAACGAAACGCGCGCGTTGTGCCTCGAGAGTTCAAGAAACGTACGTAGACTGATCACGACTAGCTCAAAATAATGCAAGAAAGCTAACATGAAAAGTGAGTAAGATTTTGAATGTACTTGAAGCAAAGACCGAACAAAATGCTTAATCATTTAGCTATTTTGCTTGTTGCAAAAATATCATTGAAAAAGATAACTTTAACTCTTTAAATGACAGTCTTGAACTCTTCTCCCAAAGATACTATAAGCATCATTTCATATTCATCAATAAATACAAGAACAAATCTAAGTAATCTAGTGTACAGGTTTTACCAGTTCTTCACCGTTGTTTCTACACACAAGCACCGAAATGTCAATTTCAGTTCAAGAGGGAGGCGTTGCTGTTATGGCTGGTTCAATCTTGTACAAAAAATCGGCGATTTCCATGCAGATTAAGCGTTCCCAAAGTTCCAATAATAACGCTGTCTCGATTATACATCTCAGATATCCAGGAGCGTTAAACTATGAAGTCAAACCAACACCTTTTTTCTTTGGGCTACAGACTTCAAGATTGGGGAACAGACTAGAATTGCGTTTACTAGATGTTCAAATTTAATGTGATTTTAAGATTTTGAAGACAAATGTGAACCAGTCTTGAGTCTTCCCTTATCGCACAAAAGCTGAAGTCTACACTTAATAATTATACATGGCAAGCTTTATTGAAAATCAAGCTTTGTTGGTCCCGTTGGAAAATGAAAACAAGCAACTAATACTTCACTCTCTATTGGTGCTTCATACTTGTTAACATTGAATATTTTTCTGTTTTATAAAAGATCTCGAGCGAAAATTACAGATGCTCTCTGCGGAGAATTATGAATTACGCGAGCGACTGTTCAAAAAGGATTCCGAAATCGGGCACCTGAAGACGGAAAAAGAGAACACACAAGACGGCAACGTTCTTCAAAAGTTTTTAAGAAAAGAAAACTCGGAGCTTCATAATAAAATGGAGGAGCTGAAACTGGAAAGAAACAGACTACGGCATTCATCCAATGAAAAACAAGAGAAAATAGAAAAACTATCCGAAGGTTCGTCAAAAAAGATCAACAGGCATTTTTCTATTGAGAACACATTTCACCCCACCCCCCTCCCTTCACCTGCGGCAGAGTCGTTTCTTCTAATGATTTATAACCCTAACCCAAACCCTTAGATGTCCCATTGCTTTTGCAAACCATTCCTCGCCACCTAAACCACAAACACTATTTTAAAAGTAAGGTCTAAACAAAACATGATTTTCTGTCAATGTAGGCTTGAGGAAAGCGGAAGGGCAGCTGCTGAAGACGAAACTCGCCTTAGAAGTCCGCACAAAAGCATCGACGTGTCACGAAGATCGTTTGGAAAAGCTAGAAACAGAATTGAGTCGTTATTACGAGCAGTTTGGCAAACTGCAACCATCCAAACAATTGTTTTCAGAAAGGTCGAAGAAATCTCGTAGTCGGAGCGTCAGTCCAGGGAACAGAAAACGGTTGAGAAACGATCAGGTAAAGTTAGAGTTGGTACTGGTACATACCATCAGGTAAAATGTACCACTGGGCACTGGTACGAACCAGAAGGTAAAATGTACCACTAGGTATTGTGCAAGAGGCCTGACTCAGTTAAGAAATGACTTATGTTTTGCACGTGTTCATGCTAACAATCGGCGTGAATTATAAAATGAAGTTCTACAGACTCCTTTCTTATCCGAGCTTTATCAACAAAAGTATAATAAGAGAAATTTATAAACTTCTCAGAGCTTTAAATATATCTCTAATATAAAACTTAAGATACCGCGTCCCAGCTTTGGGTAGACAAGGAAGCAACAGTAACCTATGATTCTTCATACAGGATCACTATGAAGATCAGATCACTCTACTACAACAACGAGAAGCGAATCTTTTTGAAGAACGACGACGATTGGAGAAGAGCGTCAATATCCTGACCAATAAGATTGCAGATTTAGAAGGGAAACAGTTCATTAACCAGTCAGCGAGGACGACTTATCGCGATCGTGAAAGTCAAACTGACTTGGTGGATGTAGGCAAACTCACCTCAGCGGTGATAAAAGAGAGGGGGATACAAGAGGATAAACAGGAGTACAAAGAAGGTAAAGATTTCTAGTTGACCGTAGTCAATAGATGCCACGCATTGCACAATAGCTAAATCTACAAATTTATGATAAATGACGAAAATATATTGGACCTTCGAAATTCAGCTTAAAAGGATGACCCACACACTAAGGATTTGTACGCAAAAAAAACACAAAACGATCATTCGACGGATGCAAAACATAAGTCGCAAAACGCGATCAAATGTTTTTAACTTGATCGCCTAAACTATTCGTTCCTGCTTTATATCCAATTCAAGGTCATTGACGCAGTGCTACGAAGATTAGACTTCTTCAAATCATGTTTGAGTTCGGTTTGACTTAATTTCAAGGCGACGAGTTGCTAAAACATTTTTGAGATAACTCAATCGCATTCCCACTCGCCGAGTGCGACACAAAGAAACTGCGCTCTCGCTAATCAACGGCAAACTCACTTGTCCATCGATATGGCAAGATTTTTGCAAAATATTTCTAATCGAAAAGTTACTGGTGTGAAAATATCGTCTTCGAATAGTTGTGGCGTGATTTTGAAGCCCCCAATCGCTGATTGTGAGCGATCTTTTAGAATACCGGCATGAGTTATACTTTAAATAAACTCTAAATGCACTTTCGCGAATGCATGAAATGTTTATGCGGCCAGTAAAATTTTTCATTGGCGAAAAGCAGGGATTTTGTTAAGGGTCCTATCCTATCCTCCACACTCCATCCCCATAGTCACTTTTGCCTCACGTTGGTTGCCTTTAGTACAGGCACGCCACACTGATTTGTCCAAGTATTTCTATAAACTAAATCGCATGGCAAGTAGGCAAAAACCGATGTTATTCGTCCTGCCAAGGCAAAACCACTTAATTTGAAAGCCTTAACATTAGCACCAAATGGGCGCCAGGCGTAACTGATATGCGAAGTGTAAAGATTAGTTAATTGTCGCTTTAAGTGTGTGTCAGTTACTTTAATGGTGTTATTTTTAACTTCTTATCCTTTTCTTAAACTGTTTTAAATAAAAATTAGGGGCCGGTTGCACGAAGCATGGGAAAAAGTCGATGTGTTTTCTTAACGACAACGAAACTTTTTCTATCTTGAAACAAACTTTTATTTCGTCGATTTCCCCTTTCAAATCGTAGATATTTTTCTTTTAAGAGATTATTGAAGCGTTCGAAAATATTGCTTGCCAGTGGATAGCGCTATTCGGTAAGGTCTTGATGCAACTGGCCCCAAAACAATATTGATCAAAAAAATTGCGACGAATAATAAGAAACAAGTTAGTAAAATACAGATGACTTTAAGAGCGAAACTTTATCTTGTTTCGGCCAATATCTACCAAGGTCATATCTTGTTATAAAATAACAACAATATAACGAGTGCGCTGATTGGCCTAAAGCTAAGTTTGCCTTAACTTGGGCTCTATCAATTAAATCAACTAAGGAGAATTTGCAAATCAATCATCAATACAAAAAGTTTGTTTTAATTTCATCTGTTTCGCATTGTTGTTATTTTATAAAAGAAATAAAAGATGTTTTTCGTGTTCGCACGAGCAAACCTCGGAAAATGTCGACATAGGTTTTGCACTGATCAGTTCTTCAGTTCTCCTAACTTCCCGGTTTGCATAGGCCAGTGTAAACACGAAAAACGCCTTTCCTTTTTGTCAATGTTGCTTTTCTCAACAGAATCAATGGTAGGAAAATGCAAAAGCATCGTTGAATCGCTGGGGAAGTTTTTTGAAGACCTGAACAGAAATAACCAAGACACTTTTGGTGTAAGAAGAACAAATGAGCAAACGAAAATATCGCCAAAAAGAGCCAGCGAGATGCTACACGAGTTGTCAGCGTCCATGGAACACGCGTTTGGCATGAAGTCGAAATCATGTAAACCGACGTGTTCCGATAAGGTCCCACGAGACGACCGACTGAATACGAATCAAAGCAAAACAAGTAATGTGCTTTGGGATAAGCTGTGTCAAGAGGTGGCACATCACGAGTTCACATACGATCCTATTTCACCACGCAGTCAAGACGGGGAATACTCGAAAAAAGAAGACGACAGACACCGCGAGATAGAGAGAGCAGAAAAGGGACTACAAAGGATGATCGATGGTACTTTAAATTAAAACGAAACAGGACTTCCCAAAACAGTTTTCATGCATATCTCTTTTCATTCTCGATACGTCGAACTTTATTACGCACAACAAAAGATGTCGTAATTGCATAAATGTAGCGGCAATGAGACCTCACAAATAATCTTCAGCATCCAAGCAACACTTGGATGAAACTTTATCGCATTAAACACTTTACAGCGAAGGGAACTCTGCCCTGTTGAACTGAATATCAGCAATTGTACATGACAGTTTAACAGTTAAACAATTAAGTCAAACAGAGATTTTGTCCTGGTAATGAAATTTAAAAATTGTCTTAAAAAGAGAAAATACCATGGTGTGTGGTCAAATAATAAAGTAATATTTCTTAAAAGAACTGTTTAAGCCAGAACACTACACCAACAAGTCTAAAAGAACTGTTTTCAAAGCTAAAAGACACGATGCATTGAAACATAAGAAACAAGTCTTAGCATAAAAAACAGTTCTTTTAGAATTGTTGGTTTAGTGTTCTGGCTTAAACAGTTCCTTTAAGAACTATTACGTTAGTATTTGACCATTCACCATGGTATTTACTCTTTTTTGAGACAATTTTACAGTTGAAGTTCTCATTATGTAATAAAATTCCACCTGTTCTGTAAATTTACAAAAACTTCAATGCATTAAGAATAAAACGTGATACGCATAAACTGTTTTAAAAAGTTCTGTTCAATGAAAACGCAATTTTTATTGTCTGATGATGTCCGTGATGTAGCATATTTTGCTGCCATTTTTGGTTTAAATTGCAACAAAATAAAGTCCTTCGCAATCGTCTTTACACTTCGTGGTTAATGTTCGAAATATTTTATAGAAGAAAAAAGAAGGCAAAGTTTTACGAAGGAGGCCACAAGAATAATGGACGACGGTAGAAAGCAAACAGAGTTCTTGATCAGAGATTTGTTCAAACAGGTGAGTCCGCCCAGGAAATTCCCTTAAAATTTCAAGAACTACTTTTTTCTTCGATCGCAGCATTCTCGTATAGCTCGGTCAATCATGTGTCTGCAAAATCAGAAAGGTTCGTATAGGAACCTAGCTACTTTTTTGAAATTCAGCGGCAACGATAGCGATTTCACGATTGTAATGATATGGCACGATGAACTGTTGCAACAAACAATATAATTGTAATCTAAACTGACAGTTGTTTCTCATTAAGTTTTTTTTTCTTTGATCAAGAACAGCCCAAAATTGTTACAATACGAAAAGGCAAAACTTGATGAAGACTAAGATAATTTTCTTGCAAGCCTTGAATATGAAGGTGTACCTAAAACTTTCCAAAACGAAAAGTAAACGTCAAAGATACGAAAATAGTGCCATTTGTTCCCGATTGTCATTCGTCTTAAACCATACATGCGTTTTACAAAACTGTGTGAAATTGAGTTTGAAACCATCCAATTATGAATGTAATTAAAGAATGAAAAAAGGGGAGAAGGGCTTCTTATTTTATTCTTTACTGACCGTTAGAAATTTAGACAGAAGAACCACAACTTTGTCACGTGACAATATTTCTTTGAAATTACAGCATGAAATTGAAATTCGCGCTCTACTGCTAAACACTTTAGCGAAAACCGCCCCAGACCACGTGGGTAACCTTGATAACGTGGAGAACGAGGCGACGATGGCCGTAAAAGAACTGGATGGCTTCAAAACCAAAACGGTCAAAGTACGAAAACTGATTCTAAAACTTGGAGAAATCGTTGAGTGTGCAAGAAACGAGAAACGCGAAGCCGAAGAAAGAGTTCTTCTACTTGAAGAGGACATTCAGCAAAAAGAAAAGCTTCTACACGCCAAGAGTTTCGAGTTACGCCGACGACATGGAAGAACAATAGAGCAGGAGAAATCACTGCACGAAGAAATACTGACTTTGAAAAAGGAAAAGGAAGTCACGATGGACGAGAATGCCAAACTCCACGAAGTGTGTAAGCAGAAAGATCTTCGGATACATCAGAAGGTCCAAGAGCTAAAAGCCCTTGAAAAAGAGATGCAGCGTCGCAACTCGATTCACCAGCAGAACTTAGCGAGAATGAAGAACAAAGTCGAGGAGGCCTGGGGCTTATATGAAACGGTGAAATCGCGGGCGGAGAAGCGTACAGCAGAATTCAGTGAAGCCGCTGAGAGGCTCAAAGCATCGCAAGGCCATTTGTTGGATCTTTGGCAGACTTTGAAGACTGTCGACAGTGTCGTTGAAACAAGCGAAAACAATGAATTATGACTAGGAAGTTAATGAGTAGAAGCGTAAAAATAATTTTAATAAAGGTATTTGATAGTGCTGTGAAAATTAGAACGCGTGACATGAATAGAACATAATATAAGTACCATATTGCGTACGCTGATTGGTTGATTTACGATCTAGATGATGTCATTTTGCCCGCTCAAGTCATCATGCTCGCTCGTGAAAACATGAAAATTCAATAAGAAACTACGCAGCAAAAGATTATTTTGCCGTACAGTAAAGAAGCACAACATTCCAGAGTGAGTGTTTTACCTTCGAGAAGAAACAAAAGACGAAAATACTACGTTTCAAGGCGAAGATACAAACACGGAAGAAAAAAACAGCAAAATTAAGAATGAAAAAAAATTGAAGAATTAAAAAAATTTTTCCATCACATTTCACCCTGACTTATCCACAATGAGAGGAATGAGAAATATATCTTGTCCCAATTTACAAACTATTTAACTGCAGAGGAGCAAAACAATTCATTCAGAAACATGTTAACATAACAGAATATTAACATACAGAAAGTCTTTATCTTCAGTGTAATTGTGGTAACCACTACGTGCCAACACAAGGCCGATACAGAAAACAGAGGCAATCGCCCGCTCAAATTTCTCATTAAATCTTCTTCCGAGCAATTTGAATACATCCAGAGTGGTACTGCCTGTGTTTCCTGCACATTAAACCCACTAATGATCACTTTGTGGAAGTACTCCGTGTTTATATCATGCGGCGAAGTTGGCACTCATATTCACAATAAAGGATTTTTTCTGCGCCATATAGTGACGATGGATAAATTAATTTTATACGAGACAACATAAACTAACTTGTGCCATCCAGGCAACATCGTACACGATATCGTTTTGTTGAGAGAAAGATGCCGACTACCGTAAACATCCGCATGAAAACTATGCATAAGCCCTCCAGTGAATAAGCCAAACACGATCGCGACACATAAAAGCCTGTATATTTACATAATGCTCCATGCATTACCCACACACACACACCTCATGTAAAGAAGCGGGGATGGGGGTCCAGAATGATTTTGTGTTGGTGCTCTAGTAATTATACAATGACACTCAGTCAGTCTAGTTTGAATTATATTTCGATGGCTCGTTTGTGGATGTTTTCATGCAAATCTTAGCTAAGGATAGGGGCGTAGGCAACTCTCAACAGCACCCCTACCTCATATCCATCCTTGTATAGATTCCACACTGATTCCACCCCACCCCCAATGTATAAGTCCATCCCGACTCCCATGAATAAGTCCATGACAATGTACATATATGAACACAATCATACATATTTACCATCCCAAAGTCGCGATCTTAAGTGGTTCACAAGATTACATTTCACAATGTAAGGCCCATTTCACAGAAAAGACGACTTCATACCTCCTCTAAATCTCGTTTGGTCATTGATGTAGCCAAGTCGCATGAACGAAGCGTTTTGTTTTCTAATTCTGCATAATCAATCGGCAAAATCACCTTTCCGCAGTGTATTTCCATCGAAAGTTTTGCTCTATAGCTTTTGTGTTTATTTACACTTTACAACATAATGAAAAGATGAATAGAAAAAGTTCTTTCAGTAAAATGGTGTCGTACCTCTTATAAACGGGGGCCTTTCGTGCCTGACGCCGTGAGGTACACCAGGAACAGGGCCACTACCTGATCTCGGTGGCATCCAAGCTCCGTCGACATGCATGGGATGCACCCATTCTCTGTCAGCAGGCATCCAACCCGGGCGAATCTCGCCCTCCTGCCCGGGGAAGCGGACCTGCGGCTGTCCAACGGGTATCGTATTCCGAGATATATCATCGAACCTTGCCCTGACAAGGTTCGGATCTCCGGTCATGATTCTTGGTGGTACCGTTGAACTACCCATACGAGGAACGACTCCTTGTGTAGGGGGTAAATTGGGTGCGGGAGGTCGGTGTTGGTACGCCTCAATGGGGATGACCGGGTGGATTGGATGATCGGCAATTAATGGTAAACGTCCTAAATCATAATAAATATCAGCATAGCATTTTGCCATGAAGACCAGTTTCCACTTAACACTTTACTTGGCGAATTTTGTCAAAAGTTCGTTTTCGTTTTGTTTGGTGATTTTTCAGATCTGTTACATTGCCAAGTTAAGGGTTAAAAAAATCTTCCGCGGAATGTATGACTTTCTAGGTTGCGCATGCTGTCACCGGACAAATTACACAAAGTTGAAAAATTTCCACTTGAATAAACATTTTTTTCCACTGAAAAATTTGATGGCATCTCTTGCCTTACTCAGCGCGTGTGCAAAACCTGGATATTGTAGGTTCCGTGAAAAATTTTCTCAAACGGAAACGGGCCCAACGTAAGAATGCAGTTTCAACAAACACAACAGTGACGACGACAGTATCTTTATTCATGAAAGGTTGTCGTTGCCATCATTATTTCGGATGAAAACTTTATAAAATTGCTCATGACCTCATTTTGGGCTTTCATAGATCTCAAAAGGTTTGTGAACAACTTCTATGCATTGTTTTAGCGTAAAAAGTAATAAACTCGAAGAAACTATATATCCATTCTGTTGTAGAAAGTGTCTTCCTCGAAGCCAGGACTTCGGGTGCCATAAATAGAGAGAGATTTTGACGTTGATGGCGTGAAGTGAGAATTTTCATTTCCGATTACGTATTTCTGATTTAAACACGCGCACTCTTAATTAGTAGTGTATTTTTGGCGTGGCCTAACCTTACCCTAAGTTTCAACTAAGCACTACCTAACCTTACCCTAAGTTTCAACTAAACGCTACCTAATCTTACCCTAAGTTTCAACTAAACGCTATCCAACCTTACCCTAAGTTTCAACTAAACACTACATAACTTTACCCTACGTTTCAACTAAGCCCTACATAACCTTACCCTACGTTTCAACTAAGTACTACATAACCTTACCCTAAGTTTCAACTAAGCACTACATAACCTTGCCATACGTTTCAACTAAGTACTACCTAACCTTACCCTAAGTTTCAACAAAGTGTTACCTGTCCTTACCCTACGTTTTAGCAAAGTACTACTTAAAGCTTACCCTGAAATGCTCGGTCGGGTTGAGGTGGCAGGCCTTCTCGCATGATAGGGACAGCTGGCATTGGGTTTGGATACGAGGGCATTTCAGTCCGTTTGAGATCATTGGCAAATTCGGCCGAGAGATCGCTCGCCGCACTGCTAGCCTCACCATGATGTCGTCTTTTGATGTGTGCATGTAACTCACGTTGCGACAAATAGCTACGACGACAGCCCGATATACCGTAACGACTGCCACCGAAGGAACACATGAAAACTTGCCCGAGTTTCGCTTGTTCAATACGCTGTACAAGATCCCCACATCTGCAACGATTACACAAAAACTACGTTTACTCAAAACACACGCAGCAAAAGCATAGCTAGATAGAAACTTTGCAGCCGAGTTTTAAAAATTGGGAAAGATATGGATGATGCACATATGAATAGTTTGAGTTTTCACTGATGAAAAACTGAAGCCCTCTGCTAGATATCAAACTGAGAGCCTCAAACTGAAGAGTTGCTTACCTCAACCTCCAGTTCTCTATAGTTAAGAAAATAGGTGCAACCGTGGGCGTGGCAATGAGAGAGGGGGTGATTAATATTCATATATACATAATATGCAATGTTAAGTTCATTTGAAATCCATTGTTTTCTACGGATTATAACATGTATATATGAATACGAGCCTCGTACTCCCCCCCTCCTTAATCATCAATCTTCCAACGCCCATGGGTGAAAGAGAGAGAGGGAGGTTGATCTCACGTTCCTCTCTGTCACAAACTACCAAGGCAACAAATATTGAAGTGAATAGAAAATCAAGTTTTGAACGAACAGATAACGTACTGTTTGCATAAGCCGTTAAAATAAACTGTCGAAATTACTTCATGTTATAATAATCTGACAGCTTGCATTTACTGGCACGTGAATATAAATGTTGAAAAATTATAAACGGAGGTGGGTGATGACTGAGTCCCCCTAACTTGACAAAGAATTTTAACAGGGGGGCTGGGGCCCCCTTTAATACATCAATGCTTTTGTCACGCCAGGAGGGAGTGGGAACGTAAGTTTGATGAAAGGCAATGGACGTATGGTAATTTTTCCTTATTTGTATTTAAGTGAGTGAAAATATCGCTTGCTTTGAAAGTTAAAGAGAAATTGATATGTTAAAGACATATAACTCTCACCGTGGACATTTATCTCTGGACTTTTCAGCACATTCCAAACAAAACGTGTGTTTGCAGGGATTCTACAGGAGGGTGGAAGTAAGAAAAAGCCCTCATCAGAGAAAAACAATTCAAATTTAGAATTCATAATTAGAATTTAGAATTCATAATAATACATCTTATGGTGATACATGATATATGTTATGGTGATACATAATACATGATACATGTTATAGTGATACATAATATGGTCACGTGGTGATACATAATATGGTCACGTGGTGATGCATGATACATCATATGGTGATATCACCATGTGACCATATCATTTATCACCATAATTCATGTTATGCTGATAAATGATATGGTCACATGGTGATACATGGTACATCTTATGGTGATACATAATACACACAATACATTTTATTGTGATACATGGTACATGCTATGGTGATACATGATGCAAGGTATAGAGAGAAATTGTGCATTTCATGGTGATAAATGGTACAAGTTAAGGCATAAGCCGATATGTGCTGACTACATGTTATGGCAATACATAATACATGTTATGGTGATACATAATACATGATACGGTTATACATGATATGGTCACATGGTGATAAATGGTACATCTTATGATGATACATAATATATATAATACATGTTATGGTGATAAATGGGACAAGCTATGGCATAGGTATGTGTTAGATACATGTTATGGTGATACATAATACAAGCTATTGCAAGACATGGCAATTTGTGACTTTTCCAGTGAGCGAAAACAAATATATTCGCATAGCAAGAAGGAAAATTGTGCTAACTTCACCAGTTTTATGTAGTCAAACAAATTTAGTCATGTATGGTACGCAGAAATTGGTCAAGTATTTATAGCTTTACCATTCTTCCATACACCAGTATAGGTAATGCGCATATCTCACATTGGTGGAGCAAAGGATCTTGAACTTTTTGACCAATCAGGAAGATCTACAAGCAAAAACATAAAACTTCTCAAACTAAAAATTTCCCAGGTTTCAATTGCTGGCCATAAGTTTTTAATGTTTTGGAAACATCTATCAGAAAAGAAAAAAAGTTGGCACAAGTCTGACACATGTAAGCAACTAATTGCTCTTAGTGGAATTAGCCAAAAACAAGATCTCCAATACTGCTTTTGCTCTCCAAACACTACATTCAAAGGTGAATATTGCCAAAACATTAGTAAGTCCAAAGGGTAATTCTCTAATATAGTATAAAACAAATTCCGAAAAAAACAAGACATCTTGAGATTGCAAAATATGAATCAAAACAAGACGAGAAGTGAACTGTGAATTTTCGACTATATTTCAAAGTCATCCTCAGACAGCTGAAGTAAAGTCGAAAATTAACAGTTCGCTTTTGTCTTGTTTTGATTCATATTTTGCAATCTCAAGATGTCTTGTTTTTTCCAGAATTTGTTTTATACTATATTTTTTTAAATTGTCGGCTGGTCATGGTTTTTAATTCTCTAATGTCAAACTAAATGTAGGTATGCTCGTTCATAAAATTCAAATTGTTTTAGGATAAAATTCAAATTTTCCAATCAAAAACAGGGGATCAGTGGCTGAAGACTGTCCTTGAAGCTGATGCAAATTTTGGGATAGTTTCACGGGATTGATATAGACTAGGCCCTTAGGTACGTAATAGAAAATCATGAAAGACAAAATCTTTTGACAAACTCACTTTAAAGTTTCACGAATATTTTTTTCAAACTTTGTGTTAAAAACACTTCAACATGACCAGGCATTATTTATACACCCTCATATCAATATCAATAAAAAATCACAGTTTTCTTTAAAACAATGAAAAGTGATGGGAAGTGAACAAGATACCTGTTGATTCCAGTTTAATTCACTTTTCGGCTTTGCGGTTGATGTTGATTCTACATTGGACGTTTTTTTCTTTTTTCCTTCTTTATCACCTATATATGTTAAATAGCGGTCACAAAAAATACTTAGAACAGAAATTCATGATGCCATTGATATACCAGACCTGCCAGCCCCAAGGAATACAAAACCTTGAGATTAATGCAGAAAAACCGGGAGATCTGTCAAAAAAACTGGAGATTTCTATTCTTGTATACGACATATTTTTAGATTGATTTATTAGGCAAATGGCAATAATTACCTCAAGTGTTATGCACAAAAATTTTAACTGGCAGCCATTTTGTGTTACATAATTATACGAAAAAACGAAAATCAATGTCATGCCCAGTTATGTTTTGAATGCTATTCATCGAGTATTTCTTTCCATGCGATGAATAAAAATGCCAAAAACTTCTAAAAGTCTAAGCTTTAAAAAAACTGGGAGATTTAGTATCTTTGTCGGGAGGTCGGGAAAAATGCAGCAAAAGCGGGAGTCTCCCGGCGAAACCGGGAGAATTGGCAGGTCTGATATACTTCAATCTCGCATCTTCATCTATACAATCGACGTCAGGTCTTTTAATGAGCAAGCTACGTACAAAAATGATTACACGATTTACCACACCTTCAAGACTTGACTTTTTTTCACTTTTCTTCTTGTCCTTTTTCTTCGATTTCCCTTCTGATTTCGGCTTCAATTTCAATGATATCTTCTTCCTCACCATCTGATGAGAGAGATTTGCAGACGCTCGCTCAGAGTCGAGCTCCAAATCTGGTCAAAAACATCACAATGAGAAATTGCGAACTGTCAACTTAAAGACCAGAATTTTTTCAATAAATAGGAAGTAACTACTATCTTGATAAATAAGGACAAAAACCACAAGAAATCAATTAAATAACACTCAGTGTAGCCTGAAATGTAATTATTTTTTATCCAAATATCTCACCTGCGTCCGCCATTTTGAATTTAATGGAATACCGCTGAGAGCATGAAGGATAAAAAAGGGCTCAGCTAGATTGTATCGCTATTTTGAAACACTATGAAAATTTTTATAAACTTCGTTTTTTACGTTAAGAATAGAAGGATAGAGTTATCAATCTGATTATAAAAAAATAGCTTAGACATATTTTCATATTTTAACCAATGAATTACGCAGGGTGCTGTTAATAATTAGGGTTTGGATACTAGAACTAGAAGCAGATAGGTGGTATTCCTCTGAGGTAGTTTAGCGTGACTAAGACCAAAAACGAAAACAAAAAATCCACCCAAAATACTCAAAATATTATCAAGCAAAATCCTGAAGTTTCGCTTTATGATATTTTATGGCAAAATTTGGGTGAAAAGGCCAAAAGTACGTTTTGTGTGGGTGAATAATTTTCTAAGGGAATAAAAATTGATGGTATGTGGCTGTCGTTATTCAATGCATCGAAAATGCAGAAGACACGTTGGCTAGATCATGCTGTTAACTGGAAGTAAAACCAGGGTGTAGCCACGAAGGAGAAAATAGGGAAAGTTTCTTTCATGACATGTTAAAATTAACAGCTAAGATTTGCTTTTTTTCGGCGCGTACCTAAATGATTTGCCTTGATTCCCTTTCATATATCACTTTTACAAAATTTTTAGTCCATTTACATAATTTTAACGAAAAGCTTTTTTCTTATTGACTGATTTCTGGTTGAAATTTTTCTGATGTTTAACAAGTGCATACTTTTGAATAACTGTACTAACGGGCAAAGGCAACTTTGCCAATCCACCTTCCCCTTGAGTCTTTGAGTGAAACGACCTCCTGCAGTGAAGGACTTTTTTCCCACGATACTATTTTTTTAAAATCGTGCACCACTGCATGTATCTTTTATCCTAGAAAATGTTTTAGAACAATGTTCGTAGTTATAAAAATACTACGAGTAAGTGGATAACCATCTTTAAGTAATTTTATGGTATATCGTCATTGAAAAACAAAAACTTTCCCTGAAATGTTTTCAACAAAATATTTATTTTGGAAACGCTGACTTACAGCCAGTATTGTTGCGTGCGCTCTAATTTTACAAATAATCGCTTTTATTATTTGGCTAGCAGCAATGATTTAGCTAACACATTTTCCGAGAAGCCAAGTATTTCCTGATCACATAAGCACTTGACACTTCTGACGTCAGCGACGCAAAATAAGGTAAAGCCATCAAATCATACTTGAATTCGTCAACATTTTTTCAGCGAAAGCAAAGGTCGTCAACAGAAACGGTTTTTGGACAAAAACGACAGCAAATGATAGATGGCGCCAGTCACTCTTGTCAACTCTCGTGACTCTTTCATTATATCATTATTGCTGGCAAAATATGAAACATTTTAACAGAGTTGAGACAAAGCAAAAATGTTCCAACGCGTAAGAGAGCCTATGATGAACGTAATGCGAAAAAATTTTACACAAGTATTATCGTTACATGTAGTTGTAGATCGCCCAGGTTCGTCAAGCTCTGAGAAGAACTGTTAGTATTGATGTGGACTGACTTTCGATAACCTTAGCAACAGTCATCTTCAGAATCAATTGATTCAAGTCAAAACGTCAGTCAACATCAACAATAACAGTCCTTCTCAGGACTCCACGATAACCTGAACGACCTACATCTACAAACATGTAATGTAAAATCTCATTTACTAAAATATATATATAGTAAAAGGATAACTTTCTACATAAGAGAAGTGCATGTGTTCTGGATGGAAAAATAAAAGAAACATGCAGAGCAATAAATTTTATACTTCATCCAACCAGTGGCCTATATATTGGGGTGGGACGATCATTAGTTAGAGGGGAAGCAACATTCATATATGCATATTTTAATCCGCAGAAAACAATTCCTTCCAAAGAAATGTGAAACGGCAGAACATGCACATATAAATATCCACCATTCCCAATTGTCGAGCTGGGTACGCCAAGCACTGCATCCAATTGCTTTGAAAATATTTAAGTGTTGAATTGTTTTTCATGATTATCATAAGCAATGTAGATAAAATGTAAATGCGTCAAAATTGCAAGAAGTAAGTTTACCACACGGTGAAGAGTTTGCAGTCTCTTTTGTGTAGCTTGAGAATGTTAAATCTGAGAAATAAAACTACTCTGTGCGCATTTGAAACACACATGACCTTGCATTAAATCTTCAAGAAATTCACAGGAAATTTTAAGAGCTTGTGCTAATTTTGTAAGAACGTATATTTAAGACCAATTTAGTGATCTTGTGTTGAGTTTAAAAAAACTCAAATCAAAATCTTGTGCAGAAAATCTTTAAAAAATCCATCACCAAACTGGACTGTGAAACCTGACTTCGTAAGAGTTCATTTACATTTACATTTGTTAAGATTCATTTATACTTCCATACGGTTAAGAGTTCATTTATATACATTTGTATGAATAAGAAAAATTACTCAAGACTTTATGATGCTAGGCCTTTTTATACCGAATAATCAATCTGACATTTCTGGATAGGAATTCATTAGCAAATACCATAAATGTCTTGTCATTTGTATGTTTGACGATTCCGGTACCATTTTGAGCATATGTAACTATATTAACGAATTGATGCTCCCTTTAACACAAAACTGCCGTTGTCTGATCAGTAATCAATGATCCGTATTCCATACTTCAATACAATACATAACAAAGATACAAACACTTTGTACAAATAATGCAAAAAGAATGAAAGAAATTACAAGTTTCAAACACCCTCGCCTGTCGGAAATGACGACTTGTGCTGCTGAATATTCTTGTGAAAATTATTCCTTTTTTCCACGACAGGCAATGGAGGATTCTTGTTTGCTAATCAAATATAAGATGCGTGTTTTGATGCACCAACTTATTCCATCCCATCTATTTTCGGTACAATATTATCAATACCGAACGCAGCCGATTGCCTAGGTCGCATCGAAGTTGCCATGTCAAAAGTAGTGGTGATCTCTTCAACACTTCCCAATCCGTGGTTGACGACACCACTCTTTGACCGCTCACAGTCTGGTTTCATTTGCACGGCAGTGCCACCTGTTTTCAAATCACCATTTTTAGTCTTCCTTTTTAAATAAGTCACAGATTTCATGGTGGAACTTGCACTGCACTGACGAGCAGCCAATGTAATCGAAGGCTTCACTGCAGGCAAATACAGCCTAAGAAGTCTTCTCATCTCGTTCTTGATGTCCTGCTTCCACATTGCGTAGATAATAGGATTGACAGCGCTGTTCGCAACAAGCAGTAATCTGGACACGTGGATGGCGTTTTCTGGAACGCGCATCAAGTTATATATCGTGACAATAGTACGGAAAGCTGAGAAGGCCCAGCACGCCACGAACATGAGAACGACAGTACCTAAAATACGGAGTGAGATCCAATTGTGTAATTATATTTCCATTTTCATTTGTTGCCCTCCTTTTATGTAAGCCTTTACTTAACACCAAATTTTATATTAAATTAAAATTAGTTCAAAATATTATATAGATTGTTGGTTTTGCACTACCAGTCATGCTGTTTGTTTTTTTTATATATTTGAAAAAATCCTTCAGATAATATGTCCAACTTCATTAACTTCTTTTCAATAAATACTTCAAAATATTTCGTAGAAAGCGTTAAACTACATAAATATAACTGGAATTCTATACCGACAGTCAAAACATAAAACCTATAAAAGCTGTTGAATTAATCTCAATCTCCTTACAACAGTAAAAAAATTCGACTTCACCAAAGAATAGACTTATATAAAGTCGATGAAAGCTTTCAAGTCATTGCCGTAGCCAGCCAGCAAGTTTGGTCAAGCTAGACTTTTACCATTGTTAATTTCTTTAGAAATTTCTAGTTTTTGCACCGAATATCTTATAGCACGACCTAACGTACAGGCTGGTTACGTCACTGTTTCAAGACACACATTCAACAGTCGATGATTCGGTTAATCAGCGGTCGATGTTTTCATTTTTCAAGAAGTTCAAAAGTGAAATATTACCAAAAATAGTGCAAAATACAAGTGAATGATTAATTCCAGACATTTCTATGCATGGGATTGGGAAGCATCGTTTGATCCCAGCATGCCATGCGTTATGCTACTGTTCATGTCTTCCGTTTGACAACACTGTGTGCGTGGTGTTGCAGTGTCTTGGACACTTCAACTTTTTTTAAGCATTTCTACGGCAAAGAAACAGTTGGACACTCTAAACACAACAGATTGAAACAGAAAATAGGCACTCACCGAATACTTTCAAGGTTGCTTTTGCTTCTCTTGTTGATGTCACGGAAGCGTTATCAGGTCCTACACCAGAACTGTTGACGGTTGTTCTCAAGTGATGAATGTGCCGGCTCTGTTTCCATGCAACGTTCACGATAACAGCATACACGATCAACATGATGAGACAAGGGCAAAACACGAAAATGACGACTTGTACGGTATAGTAAATCTTGTCGTATGTTTTTCGAGCACTAGAAGACGTGTTCGTATATTGCCAAGTTACTGGTATCAGCGCGACTACACTTGGTATAATCCAACTAAGTGCCACCCCTTTGATAACTGCCCCACGCGTTACCCTCGTGTGATAGCGAAGTGGTCTAGTGACGGCCAAGAAGCGATCGAACGTTATGCAACATAAATTGCAAACGGACACGAACAGAAAAGCATCGTAAAATAGTTTTGTTAGCAGGTTATCGCACTTCTCGTACATGCATGCCAAGAACGATGGAACTATTCCAACGCCGACGACGATATCTGAGAACGCCAAAGACATGACCATGAAATTGGTTTTCGAGCGAAGTTTGGGTCTTGCTGCCACAAGATAGACGACGATACCGTTGCCCAACAACGTAAGTATACCCAAGATAACAAGGCCAATGACAAACCACAAGGGGAATTCGGGATTTTTACTTGTACGCACCCTCAAAGAAGGTTCAGAAGTGGTGAAATTTGTCGACGAGAAAATTGTCGTTTCCATTAATGGCGCTGTAGTGAAAAGTAGACCTGTGGTGGCGCTGGTGGTGCCCGAATTGCTTGTCATATTAATAAGGGTTCCGTTCATCTCTGGGGTGTTTATGATGATTCGATTCATAAGCTCCGTTATTAGCAAGAAAAACAATTATCAGTTCGAAGTCGCCGTAACACTTTCACCTTGCAATATGACATATATATTGTGGCTCAAATCGATACACCGACAAGACTTTTCCTCGATTCAATAACTCCGTGTTCGAAACAGCCGTTTACACCAAGTTGGATCCGGCATAAATACGCAAGTCGTGTACGCAAGATGCCATTCTCATCGAGGTTGGAGACGGAGAGCTGGAAAGAATACGCGAACAGTTCCTTCCCAATGGGCGGTCTTAAAACTTCTATAGCTTTGTGAATGCAATAAAAAAGTGCAAGTCATGCGATGAAAAAATTTATGATTAAAACTAACATTGTGGTTACAGAAACTAAAAAGTTTTTTCTCTTTTCAAATGCGTCAGATCATATAACTTCATTAAAATCCAACGCCAGGGGAAACGGTTGCCGTTTGCTAGATACGTCTTTCCTTAATAAATGCGTGGGATATTTATTTTTTTTTACCGCAGACCATACCTGGGAAGATAGCCTGTTGTGATATTTATGTAAGCAATGTGCATAAATGAAAGGGGTCATTGATTTTTAAAGCTTTTATCTCTTCACAAGGAGAAAAATTAATGCAAGATGAACAATATAGACATTTTGAAATTGTATAACATGAACAATTAGCAGATTCACGTCGATAAGATCTTGAAAAATCTTTAAAATTTGAAACAAGCATGTGTTTCAATGTGGAGAAATGGAAATATATATTAAATATATATAAAATTATTTAATCGAAAATAAAATAAACCACGAATTACTTCATCGGAGAATTCTCCTGACGAGTGTGGCAAGTTAAACAACTGCCATACAAAACAGTTCTGTAGGGAATAAATTTCGATGAAGTAATTCGTGGTTCATTTTATTTTCAATTATACCGCTCTGCCGTGGCATTGAGCACTCTATCCGTGCGATTTTGTTTGCGATAGTTTCTATCACAAAATCCCATTATATAAAATTATTTATATATATTTCTTTATATACACACATTGTTACACACTTTGTATACATTATAGTTATCCTTATTATTATATATATTATATATATTACTTTTATATTACTTTTATATTACTTTTATATAACTCAATCCTTACGCCATAGTTTCTATAAGTTGTCTATCAAATCACCATTTACCGTGAAGGTAAAAACATCACATGATGTAAGGGCATTTTTACACCGATGATTGCTGGGAGCCTGGGGCAAATCACGCCGAAACAAATGAAGAATCACTGGATACAAAGATCTCGAAGCATTCCAATGACTTGTTTGGGAATCATCATATACAGTTGGCAAATTGAACTAAAAATACACGCAAGCCACATGGAGTCCCGTTCTTTATTATGGACATTGATCTGAATGTTTGTCGAAAGCATTCCGGAAAAATCTATCATACATAGAGAAACGATTTCGTAACTCGGGACTTAGAAAGTTTAAAGATTTATCTTTTAGAATGTTTAAAAAGAAAAAAATTTGATGTCTTTAAATTTGTCGTGCTCTGAATGTCTCGTTCATTAAAGCTATTACATACCACAGCAGTTCTCCTGGTTGAATTAACCTTAATATCCTCGTCGCGTAAGAATCGCGCTATAAACACAACTAAAGATTTCCGCTGACAGTTCGATGTCTAGCATCGAGGCGGCACTTAATTGTTCGCAGACATGAATTCTTAACAAAGAAAGATTTTATTGACTTTTTTCAATTTCCGAAGAGCTCTTTGTGGTCGCGAGCATGCATGAGGAGGTCGGCTATTTTTATCCTCGCCTAACCGAGATGCTTCTGTCGAGAAAACACGGGCAGACAATAATAGAAACTAGCGGTTACGAAAGGTGTTCGGGAACTGCGAATTCACTTTGTGAATCAAGAAACCTTCCATGTAGATGAAAAAAGCGAATTTTCTCAGAGCTACTCTCAGACAAAAGGTGAGCAGTCGATGATCACACATTCTCCACGTGGTTGATGCAAGACTGATCACGTAATGAACACATTTTAGTTTTCTAACATACTGCTCTACGAAATGATCACGTAATGATCACATTTTAGTTTTCTAACATACTGCTCTACGAAATATTAAACATGTGCGATTTCGTTCCAATTGATTTCCTATGCTAAATCTGTCAAATTATTTTATACATTTCAATTGACAAGCGTTGACTGATTAACTATCTACAAGAGACTCGCGTTTTTCATCAAATTCCTGCCCGGGCACTTAAATAAAGACTAGTTTGCATTTCTCAGCAGTTGACCGGTGCTGTGCGCGCGCATCATCGAAGATAAAGAGAATAAGCTCAATGAGCAATGAGGGCTTATCGCGGCATCTATATTCATGTCGTGTGGAGTGTGTAAACCGGCCACCAGGTATATTAAAAGGCACCTGTAACCTGCGATAATCTTTGACAAAAGATCTGCCAGCGATACAATCAGGTAAAGAAACAACGTGCTGTACACTAACATCATTTTTTCCATTTCCATCAAGGATTTCATTGGACGATGATCTGCGCAATTCATTTTGCAGTCGGAATTTCATCAAGCAAATGAAATGGCAAGAGCTTTGCAGCTAAAAAGGACAGATGTACAACGTGTAAATAGCACTTGGAGAACAGTAATGGTATTAGGTTGCTGGCACAGAATTGAGCAGTATGGCAGAAGCAAGCAGTTTTTTTCCTATTTCAGCTACATTATAAACTACAAAGAGAAGCGTTTGACTGAGGGCTCAAATTGAATGTGAAACGCCCTGATGCTTTATTACTGGAAATAATCTCAACTTGCCGAGAGCAGGCACGCCTTCAACTCTCACGTGTGTCAATTTTTTAAGGCTGTCATTGTGAGGAGCAACACAGTTTTTTCATCTTATTTGAACCAGTTACTTCTACGCGTATCTGCCCTCATGCAGGTGCATTAGGAATGGCCTTCTCCTGCACGTACTCAGTTGAACGTTATTTGCATACGACACCGTTTCGCTCTTGGTTACCAAACATAGAAACACCTGCTTGGTTACATTTCCTTCATGCTAAATACGCTCTTAAATTAAACAGTGATTCAGAGCGTGCGTCAATTCGATCTCTCACAACAGAAGGAGTTGCTGACTACTATATATCACTCGCACGTCATTTTTCAATTTTAATTTCACTTTGAGAAGTGTTGGCGTCTCATAAAATATGTTCGCTCATCGTGTGAAAAATTCACCGAAAGCTCGAATGCTTTTGAGCATTTTCAGCTGCACAAAGTTGACAATATCGACTGTTATCCTGATCTCGGGCAGTCTTGCTTTGTACTTAGATCATTTTCGCCATATTTCTCGTCTACAACAGAAACTAGAGACCGAATACGACTTCAGTCACTACTGGCTGAGCGCTTCGGTGAGTTGCGTAATAAACATCTTCGTTAAATGTATCTTCAACTCTGTTATATATGTAAAATAGTCTTTTTACGTTGACCTAAATAACGTTCAGTTGTCTAGTGACATCAACGAGAATTTTACACAAACAAAAAACGCAGATGAAAATTTAGCTTAGGACATGGCAGTTTGAATTTCACATTTTATGTCCAAACTCAAAAAACAAATATAAATATCATTCTACTAGCAATCTAATAATTCCATTAACGCGTTTGTATCGTCTAGTTTCAAACAGTTAGAGCTCGGCGACCTCGTGCGCAAATTCTGTTTCGAAACCAAAACGCTTGAACGAAAATGCGTTTCCCATATTTTTAGAGATGCCGTGAATGTTAAGTTTAGGATAGGTATATTTCCTCGCTTTCGTTCATGGTTTTAGTGTTGTAACGCTTAGAATAAGCTTTAAGTTGAACTTGCTCGTTTCTGTCTTTTAGTATATTTGTTCGTCCATCATGACGCTGTTTGCCGCATTCGGACAGTATAGAAGAAGATTCGTAAGTGGAATATTTATCTCTTCAAAATCCTGTGATAGAAGGTCAATTTTCAAACGCAGCAGGAAAAGAGACTGTCCATCATATAAAGCAACTGTACCATCCCTCACAAAAGCTGCCAACTTTTACTGTAAATCTCATTCGCTTCCCTAAAGATGGTTGTTATTGTCTTAAGCTGTTATGTGCACTTCTACATACTTAATTTTTCCATTTGTCCATGCTAAAAATACTTTCACAAGTATTTTTATCTGATCATCAAAATTGCGCTGCATCAATCCAGCTTGGATGTAAAAAAAAACGCCAAAAAAGCAACTTGTTTGTGTCGTAAAGCAAATTTGAAAAATTCCATCCGCAGGGCTGCTTTACTCCGTTACCAGCGGACAATTTTATGTAGTACAATATGAAACATACTTCGAATAAAAAGTTCATGCTTAACTCAATACTTGAGATACAAACAAGACAATTTTTTATTTTAACAGTAATATTTCGCAGTTATTGCAAATTCATCATCAGACTCGATTAAGGCTTCTTTCATTTCAAAGATTTTCGATTTCCTGTCTCGTCATTCTCATTTGCTTTTAGTGTTAAAGCAATTACTACAACATTTATACATAAAAAATTTCCAGACATTCACGACAACAATATTCCTTGTGGTATCAATGGCTTTGTCGCTGTTTGCAATGGTTCTCGACGGACCCGATTGGATCGAATGGAAAGATATGACGAGAAGGATGAATTACTGGGATAAAAAGGATGGCTACGTCTGTTCGTCGGCAAATGACTCGTGCGTTTGTTACGTAAAAGACGGGATGACAGGTTCGTATGCAGCTTCTTGAGGAATTATTTAATATTTATATCCCTATGTATATATATATATAAAATAAAGTAAAATAAAATAAAATATATGTATACATATCGTGTGCAACGCAGAACAAACACGAAACAAATTGTCGAGTAACAATTAAAGCCTGTCGTCAGCTGTTTTGACGAATTGCCATGCTTAACTTTGTAACGACGTTACAAATACAGGCTTACTGCTTCATCTCAACCATGGGCGTAGGATGACCGATAAATGGGGGTGGGTGCACATATTCGCATATTTCCTTTGAAATCTATTGTTTTCGACGGACAATAGCATGCATGTATGAATACGAGCCACCCTCTACACAATTATCGATCTTCTTCCTACGCCCAATGGCATCGCCGAGTGGATGTAATCAGAAAATAGATTATGTACACGGAATTCTAAATAATTCCGCCAATTAAATTAAATAAGAATATTTAAAATTGTCTCATGATGTTGTAGTCTCGATTGAAAAAGGGAAAACGAATAAAATTGATTTCGACAAGCTGCTGATCCAAAACAATTCCCTCTTCCTCCTTCATCATAACGACTTTGTTCGACATTATCCTCAACACACACACTGTGATATTCTTCTATGTCCATTCAAACATAAACTTCACCGTTTTCAACTCAATTAGGGAGAAACAGAGTTTCGTCTCCTTTTCCCTCAGAAACATTAATGGACAATGTACACCGAACAATTAACTTCAATTTCCCAAAATTTTCGTTTCAGTAAAAAAATAGTACAAGTGCTGATGACAGACAACATTTCTGATTTCAAGGTGCATTCACAAAGAAACTCTCTGGGTTTGCAAGATATATGATGTGAAACATTCGTAGGCATGAGTATGCCGAATATTTAAAATCGCGAAAAATTTCGAATTGTTTGTTGGGAGCTCGGCGGTATTTCAACATTTTTTGAATCACAAACCGAAATCGTAAAATTATTTGCCAATCTTTATTTCAGATAAAAAGACGATTTCTTCAGCGGTGGACTGTGGTGATGTTGCATATTTGGCCGCCATTTTTGGTGTCATTGTGGGGGGAGCTGTCTTGGGATTTTGCCTCTGCTTGGCAAGTTTACTGGTTATGGTCAATTCGGTTTCTTGGAAAAATCCTTGGAAGGTAATGATGCGAAACATTGTGAGTGCCTGTGAATCAACATTCCGTGATCTATTTATTCGTACATCACAGTCCGGATAATAAGCTGTATAAGATTCCAATGTCTAATGTCCTTATTTGGAAGCAGGGTAGATTATCCAGTAGGCTGAGTAGGCTTAAGCCCACAGGCCTGAGCTTTCGAAAGGCAGGTTGTAACTGGACAGAATTAGGATTTGAACGTTTTTGCTTTCCATGCAGGCTAGCTAAATGTGCTTAACTTAGATAGTTTACGCTGCTGAAACCCTTACGAGCCATTAAATGCAAAGGAAAAATGGCTTTCGTACTATCTACTGTTCAAATGCGCAATGCTCAGAACTCATGAAGTCTTAACTTTTCCTATTTCCCTGACCATGTCAATGATTTTTGAAATTTCGTTTTCCTTTAAAATGAACTTTTCCCATTTTTTACCCTATGGGGTTACTAACAATAACCAGGACAAGCAGACAATTTCAAATAATACAAAATAAAACAAAAGTCTGATGATATCTTTGGAATAAAAACGAAATATTACACCATCTTTTGTTTCAAACTCTTGTAATATCTTGAATATCAAGAAAACGAGATGTCCCTCTTCGGAATTTGTTTTATTTTGTATTTTTGGGTTACTAACAGGAAATGCAACGTAAAGGAAAATTGAACTTAGTAGGAGGAATAGATATCGCATAAAGGCCCTTAACTTTGTCTTAGCCTACAGGCCTCGTAATTAGTAATACGCCACTGTTTGGAAGTGTAGTCGGGATAGTCGAAAAATTCATAGCATTTAATTTCCTTGACACGAAAGACGTGAGTAAGATTGTCGCAATACAAGCAGTCGATGGGAATCGGATTTGGAATAAAACTTCTGACTTCGTTATTTAACATCGGCTGTTTTGTTTTTAGGAATTTGCTTCGTACACAGCCTCGTACGAGAATAGTATTTTCGGCAACTCATCGCACGATATCATGGAACTGTACCGCGAACAACCCACGAGACGCGCAACTCCTGCTTACAGTGCTGCATCAACCGTATCACGACGCGACAAGGAATACATACCGTCCTGGTCGCTGTATAGCTCTACAACCGACAACACGAGTTCTTCACCTTGTCCAAACAATCCGAGCTAATCCGAGCTGATACGAGCTTCAAAATCATTTGTACATATGGTTGTAAACAGAACAGAAATCGACAAAAATCATCGCAAAAGCCATTCTTATGCACTAAAGACCATTTTGATTACCTCGACGCTGTTCGTCCTAGTATTAATGGACGCTTTACTTCGAGAGGGAGAGAACATTTCGTTTTTCGAAATAAAAACATTTTCGTTATTAGAAAATGTGACAAAAAAATGCAAGTTTTCTAGGTACGATGAGTCAGTGGCGTGCCCCCAGCTGTTAATTTTTAGTGGGCGATGGAATGAAAAAGGGCCGTCAAATTTTGAATTTGTGTTGGAGATACGCATTTGCAATTATACAGTTAGTGTTACTTAACTCCCCAAAATCCAGGAAATATTTGTACAATCTTCCATCACATTTTGTTTGAACTAATGCGAGAGGACGAGAGCATTGCTGCATCGACGAACATGAGAAAATTTGGGCCTCCATCGGGACATCAGCAAATTGTAATATTTTATTTCAGTGCTCTGTAGAGATTCTACGCTGATACTTTGACGATAAAACGTTTAATTATAATGATAAAAAACTATCGTGGACCAGTGAAAAGTGTTACGTGCGATTTCATTCATTAAACATTGCGCTTTCTCTGCTCAGCTGGTTGTAAAATCCTGTTACTGTAACGAAGTACAGGAAGTGCCGTAGCCAGCTCCATCTTCGATGGGGGGATTATCGAAGCCAGCTACAGAACTGGGAGTAGCAATACATGGATCAAAATGTCGTGTTTCTTCACTCGTTTTGAGAAAGGAACAGTTTATATTACTGACCTGAGCAAAATGCTAACTTAGTATGATTATATTGCAGTGGTGGAAGGGGAGGGTCAACTTCCCCCAGGTGCCGTAACACAGAGGTCACTGTCAGATATCCCAAAGCAAAACATTCAACACACAGTAAATTGAACTAAATATAAAACTGGAATGCTACCTTTCAGCACACAGTGCGTTGAACTAAATATATAACTGGAACGCTACCTTCAGCTAAACATGCGCGTACTTGCATGAAGCCAAACTTTACCTCCGGACACGCGTGTCTTCGGGTCGAATCCCGCATATTAGCCTACGGTCGTAAATGAACTTTTTTGGGGGCCGAGCGTGGAAAAATTGGGACTATTTAAATTGATGGTTTCAAATTTTAGCGGGAGGTGGTACCTTCCAGTTATATTCAGTAAGCTAGGGTTGTGCAAAGAGTCTATTAATCGCGGGTGATTGGATCTGCAGTTTAATGCACATGCGCTACTTCTGGCAATTGTTTTTGTGCGTTCCAAAATTGCTCTTGCCTCAAGACGGTAAGAACCTCTCGCGCGCCAACACTGTTATTATGACTAAAAGTTTCAAACAAACCAATATATTTCATTTCGTAAGCAATAAATATTAAACCGTCTTTCCATCTTGTAGGTATGTTTATGCAGAAGCCTGAGACTACTGTTATTAATGCCTCCGAGACGCTATATTTTGTTTAAATCAAAATTGCTTAAAATTGGTAAGAACTTGCCATATTTCATTTCAATCCAATTCAGCTCAAATCGACGTCAAACGAGTCTGTCAATCGCATCGTATCATCCTCCTAAAATTGTAAAATAAATCGAATTCAGTTCAATTTCGTGACAATTCGCTATTCTCGTCATCGCCATGGCAAAATTCTCAAACCTTATCGGCGCGCATGTCCTTCAGTTTTTCGATCAGTTTTCTGCCAGGATTTCCCCCCTTTTTGAATTCCACTTTCTATGGACAAATACACGTATGAATAGACACTTCGCAGGGGGGTGGGGTGCTAGCTGTCCTCAAAGGATTGTACAAAATCATCATACCTCTCCGAAGTCCTCGTCGTCATCAGCCATGCAGCTTTCAGCAGCAGGAAGTTCACCGTCATTTCTGATGGAATCTGTGACAGCAACACGCTGATACAGTTTGTACTTTAAGCTGAAAATAAAAGTGGTAACACTGTAAATATATTGACGCAATTTATTCTCTAGTTTCAAATAAGTTAAAAAGTGATCTCAAGCTGGTCCCAAAATTAGGAAAACGGCAATATCATTGAATGCCCCATACACCTAAACAAATGAGTAACTTGGGTTTCACGATCGTGTACTACCAGCAAAATCTGTTTTTTACTTAACATGTTCTTGACAGTTTTGAAGGCAAGATAAATTTTTACGTTTGAATTTCCGAAAAATCTTCACTCTTAACACACTTTCTTAAGTATCACATTTTGTAACAAATTCATTCAAACTGATGATGACATAAGTTTACCGAAACATGTCTGTAATAAAAAAGTTTGTTCTCTATATTCAATGTATTATTTCAATTGTGCTTTTACGTAAAATATGGAAATAAGTTACTGTGTTTTACCGAAAAAACAGCTAGCTTTTAAATTTTTTGTGGAGCCAGCCACCGCAAATAAAAATTTACGCCCCTGATTGGAAAATGCAATACATGTATCTTGAATATGGGATCCCATTCAGCGAAAAATCTAGTTACGTTATCCTTACACTCTGTTTTTGTACCAAAGGAAGATCAAGATGGCGATGATGGCCGTCAAAATAAAGGCAACAGCTCCAATGACGAACTAAAAAATCGAAGCCAGGATCAATTAGTTTGACAAATCATACAGCCTCGTTTCCACTAGCTTTACACGAAAAATGTGGGGCTGGAATTACGAGGCCCGGATTTTGAAGAAAAGCCTAAGGAAGAGGTTGTGTTTTCATTTCAAACACAACATACCTACACCATCGTACTCAAACCTTTTCCCACATGAAAAAACCCTCAAAATAATCATTCATTCCACACTTTCATGTACGTGTCAACCGTAGTTATCAGACTAAAGTTTCGTAAGTGCACTTTCTTTCTACATAGAGCCATTTACTTTTCCCATCAGGAAAAATTGAAAAGAAAAAGCGACGATGGAAAAGGGTTATCTACCTTAAATGTGCTTCTACCTGAAATTGCTTGACTGCTTCGTGAACTGTCATGTCGCTGCAAGGTATAACTTTGCCTTGAGGAAGTCTAACCCCACCAACACAAGATCTGTAAAGTTAAGCAGGTGGGATGAATTATTATTCACTTCTCCGATAATGGCATGTTTATAGAAAGTTTTCTTCGCTCACTTTGGTGATTCTCTCCAAATGTACTGAATTTTCTTCTTTCGGTTCTATATATTTACAAGAGCAAACATTCACTACAAGATAAGGAGATGAAAGTCATCGAGGCTTAAACAAATCTGATTCTAGTAGCACAAAAAAATAACTACAGATAAGAATCGACTCGGTCAGGTTGAAATCAAAGCCGTTATTATTCAAACAAATAATATGAATCGCCTCTTATTGATTTTGAAGCTTCTAAGCAGTTGACTGCTTAGAATGACAGGTCAGATTGCACATAGCCTAGATACAATTCTATTCTACGACACTCTTACTGATTTAGTGGACAGTAGTCATATTACAGACTACTTCGACTCACTTATAAACATCTAAAGGGACAAAAGCTACGATCGAACTGAACAAACAACGAAACAAAACTCTCAACGAGACAACAAAATAAAGAATACAGTAAAAACGACAACAAATTAGCAAAGAAAATACCTTTTAATATACGCTTGGTAGTCATTGTCCAGAGGACAGCGCCCTCCAGTTATAGATACTGAAAGGTTGGTCAGACAAAACTTTTTAATAACGGACAACTTACTTCGCAGCCACCAACAATTTTTTCGTAATCATCACTCGTACACAGGCGACAAGCGGATTTCGAATGCCACAAGAACAAAAACCTAACATATAAGGCAGAAAAATTACTCCAGAACAAATACGTCATTGTAACTATACATGTATCTTCATATAGTTAAAATTTATGAAGATTACAGAACAAATAGCGAACATAAGTACACACAGTTTTTTACAGTTCTTTAGCACAGCACGACCTAGAGCTGTGATTGGTGGAAAACGTCAAAGTTCCTTAAACTAGACGTTTGAAACTGTGCTCCCAAAACCACCCTAAGCAATAGTCAGATCGAATGTTTAGATTAATTCCTCTACGTACAACATAGTTTTTAACATTGTAGGAGAATAATTTTTGGTCATGTTAACTTACTAGCAATCATCACAACTTAACTTACTGGCAACCATCACAACTTAACTTACTGGCAACCGTCACAACTTAACTTACTGGCAACCATCACAACTTAACTTACTGGCAACCATCACAACTTAACTTACTGGTAACCATCACAACTTAACTTACTGGCAACCATCACAACTTAACTTACTGGTAACCATCACAACAACTTACTGGCAACCATCACAACAACTTACTGGTAACCATCACAACAACACTGGCAACCATCACAACTTAACTTACTGGTAACCATCACAACTTAACTTACTGGCAACCATCACAACACTTACTGGTAACCATCACAACAACACTGGCAACCATTAACTTACTGGCAATCATCACAACAACTCACTGGCAGCCATCACAACTTAACTTACTGGCAACCATCACAACAACTTACTGGCAATCACAACTTAACTTACTGGCAACCATCACAACTTAACTTACTGGCAACCATCACAACAACTTACTGGTAACCATCACAACAACTTACTGGCAACCATCACAACTTAACTTACTGGTAACCATCACAACTTAACTTACTGGCAACCATCACAACTTAACTTACTGGTAACCATCACAACTTAACTTACTGGCAATCATCACAACTTAACTCACTGGCAACCATCACAACTTAACTTACTGGTAACCATCACAACTTAACTTACTGGCAACCATCACAACTTAACTTACTGGCAACCATCACAACTTAACTTACTGGTAACCATCACAACTTAACTTAGTGGCAACCATCACAACTTAACTTACTGGCAACCATCACAAGTGCCCTCTTGACATTTCGATGGGAATTTGATCACACCCTATAAATTCCATAGGAAAAGCAAAAGTAAACAAAGGACCAAAAAACTTGGGAAATTAAAAGGTTATTGACTACTAATGTTGTACCTTGTCACTGGCTTGTTCGTCGCATCGTAGGATAATCAAGACCGATCGACCTTTCGGGCAAGAACGTGTCGTTCTATAAAATAAAATAAAGTATATAACGACCGTCGTAAATAGATGGCAGACACTTTAAATTCTGTGAACGATCCAGCTGCAGTTGACAGCGTGCTACATGTTCGTTAATGAAATTTAATATTTGTAGCAGCGCCATCTCCATTGTGATAGAAACTGATTTGCAAAAGTGAAAAAATCCATCTTCTTTAGTAACAAACTTTTTCAAATTTGTACGTGGCTTAGTGCGGGCATGTCCGTAATGAAAAATTGAAAATGGCGAACTTACGAATGCGAGAGAAAATCAAAGTATATCAATGATTCGTTCAACAATTTTCCATCGTCGAATACATCCAATGATAAATTCTGTGGTTTCTCATCGTAAACTCCCATCAGTTGATGACCGATGCTGAAAAAAAGGAAAACATCATCAAATGAATATTTTCAATGTCCGTGGGTTGCTATTCAGCATTTTTACCCGGCAGGTGTTGTCGAAATCGGCGATTTGCCGCTTCCAGAAACGATGCGCATCTGACAAATGCTTGCATTCAATTTATACACTTGCTGAAAAATACAAAAATCATATGAAGTTTATAAATTGGGGTATGTAGTTATAAAAAAACAGGCACGCAGCGCACAGTGTTTTAATATTTTTTATTGTTGCAATGAATAAGTTAAACATTTCAGAGAGTTACTCAAACTTATATTTTAAGCAATTTATATCAGCAATAACTTTGTCAGTATGTCAACAAATAATATTTTCGTCGAGACGAGTTATTTCTACGCAAATCACTGATTTATAATTATTAGTTTTCATGTATATTTCTTCTGCTTTTCACGCAACATTTTTCATTACATTCTTAACAAACATTTCACGAAGATTCTAGCCGCAGCATTTCATTGCTATATTTCAAAGCCAACACGAGAATCAGAATCACTATTAACACTGCTGGGGCAAAAATATCTCGTGCATAAGCAGCTTATAAAAGATATGGCTCGCCTCCAGTCCCTGGCTTGACTAGTAGAGTGGTCGACTAGAACCCTGAAGTGCTTAATCAAATCTAGTCCAAGAAACACGTTTTACATGTGCGTACAACAATGTCAGAATTCATATTCTTATATTGCTATGGATAGACACGTAAAGTTTGGAGTTTAGATTTTCTTTTGATATTTTAGAAAGATGTTTATGCTGTTAGTGTGATTATCAACTGGAGGGAGTTGAACTCGTCAAATATAACAGAGTAGAGGAATTCGCTTCTGTGTAGCTAGCCAGGGACAATTAACATATCAAATAAAAGAAAAAAACCTAGTGAATATTACAGACATCTCACCGTTTTACCATCTTCGATGGTGGAATTGTCATGACAGGTCGCTTCGGGAGCATCCACACCACACAAATTGATACGATACTCGTAGAAAAACGAATTTCCTTGCCGAAGAAAAATTTATTCGTTCGAGCCACGTGGATGCTGAAAAAAAGCACGAGTTGAGTGAATATTTTGAAGTATTAGCAAACATACGGTCGACTTTGAAAAAATCGCACCCTTTCAATTGTAAGAAGTTAATATGGCGTCCGTCTTTCCCATGATAATGACACGAAGAATAGCATTTTGAAGACGACGGATTGCTGAGAAAAAAAAGTTTTCGATTTACTCGCTCCCTCTCTAGCTTTCACGAGAATAATTTTCGAAAACATGCAATATACTACCTGACAAGACCGGGGCCACATTTTTCACACTTGTTGTTATTGAGAAACGTACCTATTCACAAATGGAATTTTGAAGAGAAGGAAGATTAAATACTACATGGAAATGCGTTGTTAGCACATATGAATATTGACTCTTGCACAAATAAAAAGCTGGCTTCGCCAAAGACTTCATGTGCCTGTCTAACACTTGAACTATCACCTTAGAGGATAGCTCTCTTAGTCACTGGCGTAGCAAGCTCACAAACGTAGTTGTACTATGTACATTTTAGGTAACTAGCATTCCTTTTTTTGTTAGGAATCTATATTATTGTTACGGAGAGAAGTTACTGAAACATTAACACGGCACGGTGCTGTTGGCTATTATAAATACAATCCACGATCGAAGAAAAAAAGCACGATGCACTTGTGATGTGAACACGTATTGCTCGAGTCGAGAGGAAAATAAAATACACAAGAAAATCACCGCTTTTGCAGGGTTTGCACATTGATGATTGAGCATCGAAGTATTGACCAGTTGGACACTCAACACAACTATAGGAAAAGGAAAAACGAGAAAATATCAGCTCCCTTTCACGTAAGGACTCCATATAATTAGGGAGCTACTGATGACTGAGAAAGCATTTATATTTGTATGTAGAAAACACGCACGAATGGATTTTAAAAGAGCCAAAAACAGCTATTTTGAGCTCACGTGTTTTTGAAATGCACAAAAATCTAAGTATTTCATGATAATGGCACGGCAGAAAACAAACGAGAGTAATGTCAAAACTTGTCTTGGTGTGCCTTTTTGCAAAACTTCACTTTGCTGTTGTAGATTTTTGTCTTGTATTCTTTAGACTCTTGTATTGCTACATGCAGTCGCAGATTTATAAACTGCTATTGAAACAAATCTTCACAGTGTTTTATGTAACTTTTTACGCTGCTATATTAGAGATAAAATGCACCGAAACCAAACATTCCCTTTCGAGTATGATCTCGCACTATAAAGTAAATGAATCCAGAAGTATCGTCTCATGTTTGTAGATTTAGATCGTCCGGGTCAGTATAGAGTCCTGAGAAGGAATGTTGATGTTGATGGTTGATTTGACAATCTTCGAGGTAGTCATCTTCGGAGTGAAGACTGGGAAGACCGCTAAAGTTTTCGAAATGTCAGTTAACATCAACACTAACAGTCCTTCTCTGAACTGCACTAACCTGGGCGATCTACATCTACATGTAATATCGCACTATATTATTTACGATATGAAACTTTACAGTCACGTTTCAAGAACATCAAAAATTTCTAACACTGCATGAATACCATTACCTCGAATCTTCAACTTGAAAACGGCATTTTGAACAAACTTCTGCTCCACCGTCCACAGTATTTGAAAGAAGTACAGAGTATATCTTTACTCTACAGGAAAATATCATCACGTGTTTGTGTCAAACGAAATAAAAGTACTTTGATTTTTCTCAAAATTTTGCCCACTCAATTTCCATTTATTTGAAAAGCATTTAAAGTTTGAAACCATTCTAATAATTATCAATCCAAACCGTGGGAACTTTGTGGTAAACTACGAACCTGTCATTGATGTATTTGTAAGTCTTCAAATCAGGATCAAATACTCTTTTACCTTCTTTCTTAAACCCCCAACGAAAAGTCAAGGGACCTTTTTCAGTCACAGCGTACCTAAATAGACCAACAAACACGACCATGAAATCTAAGTACATACGTTGAAGATCTGTAATAAACTACGCTACAGATGATGTCAAACACTGGGCTTGAGAAACATGTGAGATCAAGGATTCAAAGCATTTATCTTTTCCCTTTAGTTTGTTTTCAACTCTACTAGCCGCCAAAACATGCTCTTTTGCAAACTCTGTTTCATCAGTTTCATCTGTCATGCTAGAGTATTTAGGAAACAAAAAGGGAAATCAGCTGTTAGGGTGATCTTTTTCGTGAACGACATCTCAGTCAAGCTTTATTCTTTCAACATACAAATCTGAGCCACTAATTCATTAGACTTGTTCTTTAGATTTCGTCTTTTCCCTATTTTAAAATGCCGCGGGCAGAGATTTTGAACAATGGATCGTTCATACAAATCTTGGTTCTAAAGTTATAAGGTTAGAGTCATTAGTTATGCTTATTTACTAGTGGATTTAGTCCTTTGTAAATGAGAACAACGGAGGGAAGATATCAATAACGAACGGTACACCCCCCGATCACAAACTTTCAGCTTCCCTTGCATCGTGCCTTCTCGAATGCCTAGGCATCCTGAATAAAGACGAAAGCACTTTGCTTGAAACAGAAGAAAAACCTTCACTTTGTCTTAACAATCTTTTAAAGAACGCACACTCATTTGCCGCAGAAGACTAAGTTCCAAACTCTCCAATGTCAGGAGGTAATCCATCAACTATCGTGGATGTTAATGGATAAAAACGCTGCGAGGATGTGATATACATGAATCACTGAGGTACCAAGAAATCGTCTCGGTAAAATTTCTTTTCATACGTACGTGAAATTTTGGCGAGTGTTTCTCCCGTTCCAATGAGCCACTGTTGCAGAATTTCTGTTGAATTTCCTCTGTGTGCGAAAGCAATATAGAGGTTATATAGGACTGCATTACATAAAATCTTAGTTTTCATGAAATCTCAAATGGTGAGGATATGCTCATGATGCAAAAATCGCGATTCGAAAGAAGCCTGGGCTTATTTTAAGCAATAAAAACAAAAAGTCGCCAACATTTAAGAACCACGGAGTAAATAATCAAACTTACTTCGAACATGGTAAATTCACAGGATCCTTCGCAGTCCATTTCAAAGTCGATTGTTACGGATCCAACTTCCGTGGCAATTCTCGACACCAGTCCTCGGTCGCCAGCAAAGCCTGCAGTTTTCACCTCTAAATCTAGACTGACGTCATCAGAATGGCCAAATCCACTGTCTATATAGTGGCCACGAAGCTGCCATCCGGCGGGTGTTGAGCAGCCGTCAACTGCAATATACAAGTAAAATGTTCGCAGTTTAATGAACAACCGCCTCTGTCGAATGTTTCCGATTCGGGACGAAGATCGCAATTGAAGATCCGCATAATCGCTTACCATAACTGGAACACCAGTGATCAGTGGCAGGCGGCCAGTTTCTCCAAGTTCTATAATCATGTTTCAAATCGGAAGCTGTCGTCGGCAAACACTTCGCACAACCTGTCGAAAAAGTAACATTGTAATTTTTCCTTATTTCAATTTTTCGAGTGGCATGCTTCTAAAACCGGTCATTATCAAACTAAGCTCCTTTCACAATGTATGATGACAGTTCTCTGTTGTCGATTATATATATTCGCTCACAAATCTTCGCGTTCATATCGTAATATAAGAGGCTATACCCTTGACACCGTCACTGAAGTATCCCACGGAACAGAAAAGACACTTGTTGTCTTTAAGGTACATTCCGGGACTACATGTGGGACACTCAACCTTGGGTCCGGCTTCATGTAACTTAACGGCGCCATCGAGGAACTCACTACAGATCTTCGGCTCAATCCATTTGTAAAGAGTTTGGAACTAAATCAAAAATATCTTTGTTACTTGGCCTGCTCGCATCTGACCGTTTAAGCCGTACTGGATATGACAACGCAAGCAAAACCGTACGTCTCGGCCATACTTTCTATTACAGCGCAAGCAAAACCGTGCGTCTCGGCCATACTTTCTATGACAGCGCAAGCAAGACCGTGCGTCTCGGCCGTACTTTCTATGACAGTGCAAGCAAAACCGTACGTCTCGGCCATACTTTCTTTGACAAAGCAAGCAAAACCGCACGTCTCGGCCATACTTTCTATGACAGTGCAAGCAAAACAGTACGTCTCGGTCATACTTTCTATAACAGTGCAAGCAAAACAGTACGTCTCGGCCATACTTTCTATGACAGTGCAAGCAAAACAGTACGTCTCGGCCATACTTTCTATGACAGTGCAAGCAAAACAGTACGTCTCGGCCATACTTGCTGTGACAATGTAGGCTAAAGCAAAGGTTGAACCTTCGTGACTCGACACGGTACAAGTCGCTGCAATTGCTGAAATTATTTGTCAGTACAAACCTTGTTTTCTTCATCGCATTCCGAGGAAATTTCCATGTAATCTTTTTTCTCACAAGCAGGACGTTCGAGGCACTTCGCGCTTCCACGAGCTAAGACAAAAAGATTCAATAATATGCGAACTGCGAACATATCTGTCGTCACTCGTTACCAACATTCATTGCAGTTAAGACGACGGGCAATCGCAAAAACTTTTCAAGTAGAATTGTACTTGTAAACAGACAAAGCTTTAAGGTTGCCATACATTTTAACAACAATCACAATCGGAGATTTTGTATATATAGCGAATAATAATAGTTCCTCTCTGCGGTATGGTATTCTTTTCGAGTATTGAATACTCACGAGCATATTCCGTTTTTTCATTACAAGGTTCACATTCCTTAGCACCGGCCTCCGAAAAGAAGTTCGCCTCACATTGTTCACATCTAACACACGAGTAGCAAAAAAGAAAAAAGAACAATGTAAGTGACGACACTATAAACTCCTAAAATTCCAGATTATGAGAGGTTAACGAAGAAATCTCCTAACTTTCCTGATCCCACTTTATCAGCGAACGTTCCCGGTGGACAATTGACGCATTCCGAAGTCGACGCGGTACCTAAAGTAAGGAAAATTCAAAGTGCATTATTGTATCTCTCTTGAGGCACAGACATCTCAAGTAACCGAGTCTTCCTCCTATAATTCCTATTCAAACTTTCCAAACGGATGGAACAAAAAGAAAATAAATATTGGTTTTCTCCAAATTAGTTATTATGTATGACATGAGAAGTTTCTGCCTAAACAAAGTCTCACGACTAAACTTTCTGGTTTCATCCAACACAAAAGATTAATTCGAAACAAAAATATTAAAACGTCCGAACATTGGTACATTCGCAAAATTACGCATCGAGCGTTTTCACTATTTCCCTATGGATCAACTGAAAAATAGATGAAGCGGCCATATTGGTGCTCCGAAGAGCGGAGCTTCATTAAAATTCTTTTCAATTGGTACGTCAACATGTCGGCTACGACGTCGGGTAAAAACGTTTTATACAAAACCCCACCGACCTTTAACTTCGATTTCTCGGATGAAAGCCATTTTGGAAAAACTGTTTCCTTCGTTGCTCCAGCGTTCAACTTGCCAGACAACTAGATTCTTTCCACGTTTTAATTTTAACTGAAAGCGAAAAAGCAGTCGCAAACATTCATGGCTGGGATGGATTTTAGAAAGGGATGGAAAGAGTGTGAACGACACCTGGCCTCGGGTACGAGGAATGTAGGAGGGAGGCCAACTTCTCTATACTGTAATTTTGCAAACAATTCAACAAAAGCAGTTGTAATTGGTGTGTGACAGAGCACGTTCCCGAAAATCTCCAAATCATAGCAAAAAGATTACAGAATTTGATAAAAAATTCTGACGTATGTCACTTCAACGGGTTGAAATCTAATCAAACTAGAGCATCCTCCCCCCAACAAAATCATCGAGATCCCCCCCGCTTCATTGATTTTATACTCCCTTTATATCTATGTCGTGTGAAATAGATAACATATCCAAAGCAAAAGCAGTTCGCCGAGCTTGTAACTTGTTCATAATCAGATAAACGAACATCATGCAAGCGATAAGTTAGATTGTGCAGTGCTCATTAATACAGGACGCAACGTACATAAACGAACCACAGATGCTTTGAAGGACAGTTGATTAGAGGAAGTATTGACGAAAAGACGAAGTAGGATGTGTTCGTATACATGACTACGTGTGACTAAGAGTTTGAAATGCGAATAAAGGTGTTCGTAAGGTCGAAAAGATAAAAGAGTGAAAGACGAGTTCGAAAACAAAGGTCATATGGTTATGAGTGAAAGACGATTTCAATCAGCGTTATATGGTTATAAAGGTTAAAGTTTGAAAGACGAGTTCAATTAAGGTTATAAGGTTTTAAAGGTTATGAGAGAAAGACGAGCTCAATTAAGGTTGTATGGCCATAAAGGTTGTTCCTTTTTATTCAAACTAGATGAGTTCAATTCATAAACACGACATTCGGTTGGAAAAAGCGACATAGCATCGCTCGCATATACCCACATGCTATAATGTAGTAGTTCGTGCATGCGCAAACATTCGCGGGTGATGCCTTAGATCACAGCATAGAAACAAACAGAAGTCCCACTCTATAGAAATTTTTTGTGTAGCGCATATCTTATTGCGCATGTGATTAGCATAGTGGCAGCCAGTGAATTGCATTTTCTAATTAATAGGAGCGCTTAGGTGGCTAGCCGCAGCCAGTAATCTAATTAAATATACAGTAGCCAGTTGCACAGTGAAGTGACACTACTGTTTGTGTCTATACTGTGCTTATATGCACAGTTAAGCTTAAGTTGAATACGTATGGGTATGTACAACATTTAATTGTACATTTCGTGAAAGGGAAAAATGAGAAATTCTATGCACCATGGGATGTGTGAAAAAACTACAGAAAATGAAAAAACTTACTGTGGCATTTTTCCATACGTACTGCGAGGACGGATCGAGGCTTATCACGTCATCGTCATCAGTATTATAATAAACATCGTCGCTCATATCTTCATCGCTCATTTCTTCATCTTTCTCCTCACCATTGTCCTTTTTGCCATCACGGCGTTGCTTGGTAATCTCGCACTGTTCATTGCGAACCTATAAAATACGTTAGTAGGAGGTTTATCAAATATTTATTTAAACTTGGACTGGTTGGCCCAGCTTCGTAATTAAGTGATATACGAGGCGAAAATTGAATTCTAATTGGAAATATTAGAGCCTATTAACAGAAGGCTTTTAAAAGAACCATTCCATAAAAGTTATAGATGATTTTATTTACAGACAAACGAGAGACGTCTTGTTCTTACTTTCAAGACATCATCACTTTACTGAATGGCTCTTCTAAAAGCTTTCTGCTGAGCTTTGATTCCTATACTTAGAACAGGTAGTTTAGTTCGGTGGCCTACATACAGCACACTTTTCTGCTTATGACTTCTTCAATTTAAAATTTCGCCCCGACATAACATTTGGTGAAGTTAAAACGGCGAATAAAAACGAAGATTTTCGACAAATTTCTGTAGCGGTGTAATTGCGTTGTAAGTCTTGTTAAATTAAAATAAATAGCTACATGCAAGGAATGAGAAAAAAGTACAAATGATTACTCACCGAAACGCTGAAGAACATGCCGTTATAATCGTTGGTGTAATAGTACCAAAAGGTTATGGAGCCTTCGTCCTTGACAACCTGAAGAACGGAGCAAGATTGGTGGAACATAAATATATTGTCAACGAAAGCCTTTAGCTATTAATTTCCAACTTCAATGTTTTTCTTACGTTTGCAATATATGTAAGACGCAAGAGACACGGCGATACTTCGGTACGTAGAAGATTTCCATCTGCAACCCATGATGCACTAAAAAACATCGAACATATGCTTTCATTTTCAAGACACGGATGTAGAGTGGAGTTTTGTTCACATAAATGCTTTCGAAAAAATTTCTATATTGCGTGCATTCTACTGTTGTTGATTTTGAGGTTTGAGCTTCGGTTCAAAACCAAAATACTAGCCACTAGCTAAGAGCCCAGTTGACTTCGATATCAGTTGATTCATGACTCCTAATTCGAGTAGGATACCGAAGAATGCATGATGTATAACACTTAATTGATGTCTTTTCTTTTATATTAGAACTCCAATTTAGCTTGCTTGCTTGCTAATGTAGAGAATAAGTCGGCAACAACACGATGTACGGTATAGTAAATTTCATAATTTTAATCACGTGCGGCGGCAATAAGATCAAACAAAGCTGTCATCGCAGAATAACGTTAGTGTCGTTATTTACACTTTTGTTCACCAATATCCTCCATAATGAGGCTGCATACAGGCCATAATATACAAGTCGCTTGACAAGAGGAATTTGAAGCAATATGTCAGCTTTAGTTTTGTGACACGTCCATGTCTTCACCTCCTTTTCAGTAGACTAATTCATACAATTTTCAAGAAAGCATGATGTTGAAGCGCGCGATGTTATAAAGAATAAAATTTAATAATGAAATTTTTTTCCTGTTCACCCAAACTCACTTACTTGCACTGCGATTCACCTTCATTCCTCCACGATTCTCCGAAGTCCAATGTCGCATACGTGTCGAAATCCGGCGGAAATTCCGTCCAATTTGTGTAACGTACGGCACTGCCAAGACTGTGCTTTCCTTTGGGACACGGTTTGCATTCCTCGCTCAACAAAGATACGTCAGTAAATTGCCCGGCAGGACATGTTCCATCTAAGCAAGAAAACAACGAACTCAGGTTTGTCGGGAAGGCATTTTTTGATGTAGTCACAGTCAGTAATGTCCAATGGTGCCAGCAAGGTTTTCGATTTTGGAGCCATCCCCCGTTACCAAATGTCACATATGTACAAATTGTATGAACTTTTTGACATTACTAATACAGCAGAACCCAGATAATTTGAACTAAAATGCATCTTACTTCCCGCGCTAACTCAACCTCCAGTAAGCTCAACCCCCCTGGATTTTACAGTACATTTTTCATAGAATTTTACTTGGGTCAATACGAAGTCTGTTAACTCGAATTCCTCGTTTACGAGTTTCAACTTCCCTTGCTGAAATTTCCCTGTATAACTCGAACTTCAATCTCGAAACAATAAAACGTAAAACAATAAGAAATTAAGGTATTATACAGATGATACCGTAATTTAGTTACAAAAATTCATGATGAACAATTGCCCAAAAAACGTTACAACTTTCAGATTACCGATATAGCTTTTGTTCGCAACTAAATAAAGTACGGACGTCACAAACTACTTAATCACGCTTGCAGTAACTGTTTATTGCTTTCTTGTAGCTCGCAAATGTAAATGAACAGTAAAACTGCCAATGGTTTTCAGTATTTTTAGGTTTTTCACCATAAACATCATGATACAGAACATTTTGAGGGGACAAGGCAAATGATGGCGACGCTGACGTTAATCACTTATTACATACCACATGATTTTTGATACAGAGGAGGTCTCATCGTGACAGCACATTTACTTTCATAATGAGGCACGGGGACATGCCATCTCCCCCCGTCCGCACCGCATTCTGTGTACTCGTAATGAAATTCACCCTAAACAAACACAATGAAACCGAGACAGTATTAATAATATTGTAACCATAATAAAACTTTTCGTTAAATTTCAAATTAAATTTAAAATCGAATCAAATTAATCTCAAGATTAAATTATCGATGGTCGACGCGACAAAATCGCAGCAAACGATGGAGTTGTAATAGAATATTAGAATTTCTCTTTGTTAAGCACTTGTAACGTAATTAAGAAGAAATATCTTCAAAAATGTTTTTTTGTAGTTTCTCATCTCATCCAACACAAACGCACATTTGCTTAGTTTGTGCACTGGTTTATTCATTGTAAACTCCATTTTCTATTCTTAGGCTCCAATCTTCACATTGGCACATGCTGTTTTAATTCATGCTCTTGCCCGTGAAAACTGTTCTCTGTTGTTCATTCGTCACTGTCTACACTAACACACGCATTATTACTTTCCACTTTAATGAGAAGGAAGAAGGAAAGTTGTTCTCGTTCTTTGTAGTACATTCGGGACACCCTACAATACCGCGAGTCGAATTGTAGCAAGCAAGGTGTAAAATTTAAGAGATACGTACTTCTTTACATTCGGGCAATGATTCCGCTTTCTTTGCCAGGAATATAGCACAATAGAGGAAGACGTACAAAGCCTTCGACCAGTATACCATGTTTAGAAATACTTGTACGCGATATATCTGCTTCGATAAAAATATTCCCAAATGCTTATATTCCTAATAAGTCAATTTGGAAAACCTTTTCATAACCGAAAGTTTTGCTCAAAGCGTTCCAGTTGAAAGATGATGCCGACGTTGTCTCGATGTTTGCATGATTTCAAACCTTGATATTTACATAAAAATGAATAAATATGAATAAATTATTATTAGCAATAGATCTCAAATGCGTTATTCTCAAATAGAGCTACCAGGTTACTGTGGAGTGTGGACTGATTGCTGACTTAGTTTTTCCATTCCAACTTTTTCTTCTACTTATTGAATAATATATATACAGCTTTCTCAATTTTGAAAGCTGGCCTACCTTACATCAACAGAAATAAATATGGACTAAAGATTTAACATCATATCACCCATAATGAAGACACCGGAATCGAATATTCAAAGCTCGCGTTTAATCATCATATCACTTTTGATGAAGATACCAGAATGGAGGATTCAGTGGCTCATTTTTTAGGATCACATCTCTTCAGGCTCAGCCCATATAGCACATAGACCCTACTCTGAAATAAAAATGGACCCCTTATTACACACAACTATGTATTGCTAAATGGCACTGAAATTATATGCAGTATTAAATTCCCGTTGACAATCAACAAAACCAGTCCAAGAAGTTTAAAGTAGGCCAACAGGCAATAACGAAACAATTTTAGTTTCAGACTTTCAAACAGTTGAAATGGCAAGGGCCCTAAATTGGAGGCAGTCGGATGTTCGTTGAACGAACAACAAATAGCTCAACACCCACACGTACAAATGTTCCCAGAAGTTAGTTTGGACACACATCTCGGCCGTGAATGATGAAAGTTAAACTGTACCTTTTGCAACTGAACTGTACCACTAATACTTCAGTCTAGTGTCTTTATTTGTAGAAAGCTGAGTACTAACTTACTCCGACGCACCCAACTAATTTGACGACAAAACTATAATACTTATACGCTACACTCTTGTGTCTTTTTTCCGAAAACAATAAAGGAGGGCAGAGTTTGTGCGAAGCAATATATGCAACAGGAAACAACGCACATCACTTGATAAATTAAACACTTTCTCGGCACAAAGTAAACCTTTTCAAAACGAACAAAAACAATATCGCGCACGTACTGCATATCAACATTTTTTCAAATTCCTGCGGGTTTTTTTAATAAATTTTCAGGTCACATGCTTTGTAAAAATTTACCTAAATACTGATATCACTGTTGAATTAACTTCGCCACAATTATTGAACTCATTTCTTAAGTTTATCACTCTACATGTGGAGTAAACCACTTTCCCGTACTCCAAAGTACATCGATCAGGGATGCTTCCGGATAATCCAAAAAAGATTGGATTTAAAAATCATCACTAATTCTATTTAGTTTTGTTCGAAAGTTTAGTCAATAGGAAAGATAATCACTGAAAGTTAATTATACAAAATTTCGTCTATATGGAGTAATCTTCACGAATAGAAAATAAATCATAAGCTCTAACTCTTTGATTTTGAATGATTCATTAACCATTGCAAAGTAATATCTAGAAAATGAAAAAAGAGAAAAATGCTTCAATTCATGACAAATGAAAGTGATTTTTGAAAAGACTATTTTAAACTCACTTTCTCTACAGTATATTATGAAAAAAAAATAATACAATGAGTGTGCTAATTGGTCTATAGCTGAATCTGCATTAGCCTATGAAACCTATTGGAGCTCAATCAATTAAAACAATCAAAAAGAATCGAAAAATTGAACTTCGGCTGCATTGATCTCCTCTCAAGTTCTCTAACAGAACTCCTGCGTTTACATAAGCATGTGCAAACACAGTAAACATCTTTTGTTTATTGAATAGTACAATATAAAACCATACCAATGTTTTGTTTCTCTTTGCAAGAAATAGAGTAACAGCATATTTCCCGATCTTGGACAGATGAAAGATTTCTAAAATCAGAGAATGCCCATCAAGCCATTGGCAGTGATAATACATAAAAATTCTACTTATTTCACAAACAGTAGAACAAGTGCTTGCATGCATCCCTTTCTTCTAGCATACTAACAATTTTTCAATCAACTCTTTTTCATCAACAGCATCTGGTAAATCCTTTTTGTTGCCTAAGACAAGAACCTTAAAAGATGGAAAATTCAATTGAAATGCAAACAAAAGAACAGAATGGGAAAAGTTCAAACAGCTCGGAGCCATGATGAATAGGTTTATCTAAAAAAATCAGCTTATAGCAGTTGCTACTGTTAACCTTTGTCATGGGAGTTACTTTCTCATGTGAGTCTGATATGATATCTATTGTGATTATGATTGTGCACAATGCACAATGAAGTGTTAACTGAGAGAGGGCATCTTCACAGTAAACGATCAAAGAGAGATTGAAGATTCATTTCATGGTGACAAGAAGTTTACCGGTATTCCAGATAATTGTGGTTTATCTAACAAATTGTGCAGTTCATTCTTGGACGCATCAAACTTTTCATGATCTGCGGCATCAACCATGTAACTGAAAAGGCAAACTAAAGATTAGTTTCAAATTAAAATACTCATGCCAGACAAACAATACTGTCAAAAATGTTCACAAAGCAGACGTTATCTCAAACTACAAGCTATAAAACGGATATTTTAAATTTCTTTTTCATTCTATAGAAAAGTGAAAGACTGTATGCGACCAGTCTCATATCACCCATTAAAATATCAGTAGTGCGCCAATTTTAGTTTGATATATATTGAAATGAAATATACTCTGAATAAAATATCCATTTTTAAGCTCAATATTTGAGATTGAGAGAATGCAATAACTTAGTGATATTTCAAATTTATTACAAACTCATGATCAGACTAAGTGACAAGCTAAAAGAGGCTCAATTTTTTCACAAGTGCAGTGACATCATGAGGAACTAACAACAACATAGGTTTATTTACAAATGGGATGAACTATAAGGTAGATAAGGTCAGATAGCCAGTCTGAAAAATGGATCATCTTCATTTTTAATACACCCTCCCTACTTCACAAATATGATAAGATATTCAAAATACATACACAATGCAGTTTACGCCACGACAATATCGTTCCCACATGCTCCTGAAGCGAGGCTGGCCACCTATATCCCAAACCTTAAAAATTCCCAACCATTTGATGAATCAAATCAAATAGAAGAATGAGATTTAAGTATTATTCTAATACAGCAAGAAGTTAAGAATACAGGAACTCATAATCCACCTTAATTGTGACATTTCCCTTGGAGATTTTTCTCATGTTGAATCCAACTGTAGGAATCATATCTTCATTATATTGCCCTGACTACGAAATAAATCGAAGATGAAAAAATTTTACTAACTAGAAATTTTGTCAAGCCGTTTTGTACATCGCTTTTGCTTGTGCCTTTTTTCCCCATAAAAGTGGCTCTCAACCCAAGGCAGTTAATGATGCAATGAAATGATTCACGCATGGTCACTATTGCATTGAAAAAATATTGAAGTGAACAACACCTGCAGTGCAATGATTTTTTTCATGCACAGAGAGTGAGACAGTGTGATACACATGATTGAACTGTACCCAGCATGGAAAGCATGTCATTTTTCAAAGAGATCTGTGGTTTGCACAGTGAATTTCTACTGTTGTGACGGCCTGACGATCACGTTTTTCGATGGCAAAATTTTTTGACTGAGATTTTATGTTAATAACTCGGACATTAATTGCCTTGTTGTGCTCCAAGATATCACTGTCTGTCCTTAAACATACTCAACGTGCAGCTATTCGCATAATCACATATCTTAGACTTTGCAAACATTTCCTATTAGAAACAACGAGTAAAATGCAAGCCGCGGCAGGCAAGGTACACATCTTTGCATTTAAGTTTCATTTGCGTATTCTATTATACTGTAAATCATACCGCGATCACGTTGACGAAAGTGGTCTTGCCAGAATACTGGAGACCAACTAAGGTCAACTCCATCTCTTCTTTCCAAAACAAACTGCGGATCCAGTCCAAAATTCGCTGAAAAAACGACAACATTGTGGGAGTATATGACAAAACGAATTTCTTGGACTGATCGTGAATTCGTGATAGGAAATCGAATTGGAGGTCATGTGACAGAAAGTGCGAAATGATACGCGCCTGCAATTTGATATGCCACAGCACAAACTCAACTTCATGTAAGATCTCAGCAACTTTATTTGCTTACAGTAACTAATTTTCCCTAAAATCTGAATTGAAATTTATAATTCATTGTAATTTACTGTAAATAGTATAAGAAAATTATTCAGTATAAATGCTAATTACATTCCTTATTATTACTATACAATGTTTTCTTAAAAATTAGATAAAATTTTGAATAATTTAATACCTTGCATTATCAGTTGATATACATGAAATTACTATACAATCATATTAGAAACAGTGCAACAAAATAACGCAGAGGTCAAACCAGCGTGTAACTAGAAAGCATATTTTTATTTGGTGGTACGTTTTTCTCTTTCTTGAATTAAATTCAGGCAATGATATGCTTATTTTTGCACAGCTGGTCCTCTATATTACTCTGATGGCAAGATCCTATGGCAATTTAAAATGCTAATTAAGAGTATGGCAAATTTCTTTACAAGACTAAGATATACCATAGACATACTTTGTATTTGCCAAAGCATGCTCAAAAACTTTGTCCAAGGAGATGCATTTGATCTTTGCAATTTCTTGTGCGACTAAAGGGATCATTCCTGAATGACTATGTCTGGTTTCACTGCTCAGAGATGTTGGAACCAGATATGGTGCATCTGTCTCCAGGAGAATACGCTCAATTGGTGCCTTGCGAACAACTTCTTGAACTTGTTTTGCCGAGGGATAGGTAACTATGCCAGTAATGCCCAAGAAGAGATTCGGAAAATGACTTAAAAATTTCGTAGCAATTTCATAACTGCCAGTGTAACAGTGAAGATGAATCTTCCAATGCTTTGGAATATTCGTCGATAGGATTTCAAACACATCTTCCTCTGATTCTCGGCAGTGGATGACCAATGGTTTCTTCCAAAGTTCAGCAAGCTTAACTTGTTTACGAAAAACCTCCTTCTGAATATCAATTTCAGACTGAAGTCGAGCAGAGTAATCAAGACCTATTTCACCAAGGGCCACAACCTTGGGATGTTGCAACCTCTCGCACAATTTGTACTCCAAAGTGTCATTGTAGTATTTGGCATTGTGAGGATGGAAACCAAAGGCAGCCCATACCTGTTTGTGACACAAAAGTTCATCACTCATACCAAAGCTGGAAAATGAGGCAGGATCACAGAATATGGTCACACAGCCTGCAAAGTTTTCTGGAAATTGAAATTTTCTCTTGAAGCTGTCAAAACCGTGGTAATGCTTCTTCTTGTCGAATAAGAAGTTCAAATGACAATGGGAATCGATGTACTGAACTTTGGATACACGTTGCTCTGCCGCGGTCGAATCGAAATGAAACTTAAATCCATTTTCCAGCTGCGCTTGTCGTGCAAACGTCCTCGTCGACGATGATAACCATGAACGACCGACAGAAATGCCGGAGGAAGATTTGTCAACATTGCATTGCTTTGCTAAGTGTCCTGTTTGTTTACATTTATAACAAACTACATTGGCAAGCTTCCTCGCTCTTATTTCGGGGCATTCTTTCTTAATATGACCGTGTTTACCGCAAGCAAAACATTTGACATCATCCATAGATCAGAACGAAGTTATGTGGTATATAATATGCAAAATTACAAATGCTACAATTATGTCGATCACGTGACCGATCTTTAAATCTTGGAAGATATAATAATGGGTGAAGGCATGGAGAGGAGCAGAAACGACTTGGAACTTAAACATGGATGCGAAAACTGATCGATTTTTGAAAGAATGTAAGGGAATTCAAATACTGTTGAAACTTGAAATGAATAGAAACAAGTTGGACTTCATTTGAAATTCAGACCTTCTTTAAAACAAAAAAATCACATTCAATGGGCAACCAACGAGTTCTTCCAGTGAGAATTGATCTGATAAAAACGATGAGATTAAAATTTTGATTGAAACCATGGAAGCCGTCTAGAGGCTGCTTTAGCCGTCTTGTGTCTTTCAGGCTAAAATTTTGCAGAGTTGTTGGAAATCATGTGGGATCACTGAAGGATAACAGGTGATAATAAAAATACTACGCTCTCAAAAACAAAGATGGCGTCCTCTTTGGAATCGTACGTTGGTCGTATCCTTTGAATTTTGTGCATTAAATCATCACGGATAATACAACTCAAAGCTATTTGTGAGACAGAATCATGATATTTAAAAAAATATTGCATGCTATTCAAAAGACTTTTCTCCTCGAACCGTTTTGTAGCAGAATGCAAATCTTTATACAGTTATACTTACTACTAGTTCAGTAGGCTACTAGCTATGAGTTGTAATTGTAAGTGTAGCATACTGTCGAAGTTAGTTTTATAGCTTTAACTCGAAGCATATTAGATACTGTTGCTGTTGTTACTCAAGATGGCCGAATGATCGTGGTTTGTAGCATTAATCGTTGCGAATCACGAACAGTTTCTCAATTTACGTATCATTTAATACTTATAATTTATAATTTAGTTAGTTAAGCTATTTTCTAGGGACTTTTAAAAGGTTTCGATCAAACTATCAACTTGATCTTGGACGAAAGCCACGAGAGGGTTTTCTCGTCAACAAGCGGTGTGGAACAAGTTATCTTGGGTCTTTACATCATCAGAGGGGATAACATGTAAGATGATCAAGTGTTACCATTTATATTCTTAGCTATCATTAGTCATTCTCTCTCTCTCTCTTATATTCCAGAGCAGTTATTGGTGAAATAGACGACGATACTGATTCAAGTTTGAACATGGCGAATATCAGAGCAGATCCATTAAATCCCGTTGTTTATTGAACATACATGTACATCATTATACATTAGAGGTTTTTACGATAAAAATAACACTTGATATTCTTATTGATAGCGCTGAACCCTGAGAAACGTAGCTATTTACATGTGATATAAGTTAGCTTTGATTACGTACAGGTAATTTGTAAGATCTCCTAAGATCATGTTTGTTGTATTAATTGGCGCGCCACTAATTGCACGAGTGAATATCGATTTTCCTTATTGACTTCCTTTTGTAAATAACCGAGAATAACACATTTTTTTAACTTGAGTGTGTTTGTGTGTCGCCAACTTTAATTAATCGCATTCAAAGCAACCGAAGTGTAAGGCCGTTGAATGTTATTGTTCCGCATTCAGTTGAAAGATCACCTTAAATCTGTGGACGTTAAGTACGGTGGCCGAAAAATGGTCATGCATTAACTCAACGAAATTAAAATTGTTCGGCATTATGCTTGCGTTCCAAAATGTCTCACGAAGTCAATTTCGCCATACGCGCAATAAATGCACTTCAAAATTGCAATCAAAATCCTTAGAGAAAGGATTTTTAAATTCCCTTTAATCTTTAAGTTTCTTGAAAAATCCTAAATGAATTTGAAATCCGTGAAATGAATTTCTCGTTGCTTTTCGAGGTGGGAGGAAATTTCAAGCGTTTCGCTGTTTCGACTTAATGGTCTCCTTTCAGCTGAATGGTCTTCTCAACTGTATTTGTTTCTATCTTTGGTTTGAAAATTGATTTTCCCCATAGTCTTCTTGCCGTGTTCCTGAAATCTTGTTTGACGAAGCAGTAGAGTAACGGATTTACGAGAGAAGTTGAAGAGCGGGCAAAAGATGGCCACAGTCCACCGACAGGTTTATAATCTTGCGGCGAAACACAAACAATTAATATCATAACGTACCACGATGCCCATGTCACGGTGAATATCAAAAACATTGCCAAAAAAATAAGAATAGGCTTTCGCTCCGACCTCAACAAGGCGTTCGAGGGTTTTTGCGCAGATTCCCCATCTCTGGAGGAGCTTTTTGAAATGTTTTGACCGGAAGAAGAACAAATCAAGTCTAAAGCAGGGCTATCCAGTTTACCATGACGGGATATCTCTCTTAAGATTCTTTTAAAACTGTGAATCATTAAAAACATTGGCGCGAGAAAGAAAAATAGCAGCGTGCCTAACGCGTATGCGAATTCAAATCGCAGCAATCTCGAGGTGTTTAAACTCGGTGGTTGCTCCAAATGATTGTAGTCATCTGCGGACGCCAACCATGTGAATGAGACGACGGAGTTGCAGGAGGATATAAGCCAGATGACGAAGAGAACTTTGATTATGCGCGGTTTCGTTATCAAAGCATGATACCTTAATGGCTTCAGGATGCAAATATGTCGCTCAAGGGTGACGAATAAAATGTGCAACATAGTCGAGACAGCCATGAAGCGATAGAGAACCATTGAAGTTAGACGTAACCATTCATACTTTACGTGAACGTTGATCAAAATTTGTAATGGGATAACCACTAATCCATTTAGAACATCCGAGCAAGCCATGCTCACCAATATCGTGTTCGTCTTCGTCCGTAATCTCGATGAGGACGCAAAAAGGTACAATACCATCGAATTCACCAAGAAAATAAAGAATGCAAGTACGCTTAAAGCTGCAATGTATTCGTAAGAGTAAATTCGACCATAGGTCCCTGTTGAATTCGAAGCGTTGTGTGAATTTTTGTCGATGTTCTCCATCGTAATAAATGATCCAAATATTTTTCTTTCCCGACTCTTATTCGTGTGGGAAGGACGCGAACTTAATCTTTTGTTTGCACAAGCTGTCAATATTTTCAACGAGGATATTTGCTAAATTTAGTGCAAGAAATGCGGCTTAATATGGGTGGGAAGAACACATATGGAGCAAAGAAGGGATTTTTTTGTTGTTAAATATAAAAAAGGAGAAGGCACCTTCAAAACATCATCTTCAAATGAGACTCAATCACTTTGAAGAGCCTGACAGGATCTGTCGTCACGTGTAAAAGATAAATACTATCACCTTCGGCCTTCGCTGGGTTCGGTGATTTGTTTTTGACTTTTGGTAATCTGAACATTTTCGCCACAAATAATTTAATACTTGTCGGCTTAGAGTGTGCAAAGCACTTCATTTCAATTAAAAATCACAAGGAAAACAAACAGGTGTGAGATTTTACAATGAGTTTTCTCTAAAAATGTTGAAATAAAGGAGTTTTGTGGTGGGTTGTTTGCGGGAGAAATTTGTGATTGATGAAATTGCTCCGGGCAAACGAAAGATCAATAAGATGCTCCATTTGCATTGTAATCTAATTCTAATTAGGCTTCTACATTGTTCTTAATCATCAAGAAAATGAAGACAACAGGCTAATCTTTTCTACAAACATGGAAGTCAACGAAAAATCATTACGAAAATAGATTTTAACACTCGCGCTCTTTTGCAAGGCCTTGCTATAATACACACAATCCATCATACTAATTTAGAAATTAATAAGTTAAAACAGCAAATCATTCACAACCAATTGACTACTCAAAAAGTTCCGAGCTTTTACCTATCTCCTATCTTTAAAGGTAAAGTGCTCCAATTACATGCAGACTGATATATCAACTTTGTCGACCCTAATTAATTTTTATCTTTGATGATGTATATCCAATTTATATCATCGATAAGTAAGTATGGTTTCTAGATCTGGGGAAATGACGCTAATTGATGAAATTGACAAGGCAGTAAATCTCATTTTTTGCACTGAGATAATGTCAGGGGCGTGGAAACCGGGGGATGACGAAGAGCTGTAAAACCTCTCACACAAATTCCAATTTTAAGTGGTTCAAAATCATTGAACATGCAAGTTGAATTTGGCCGAATAATTTTAAATTGTCCTTAGTGGACGAACAATATTTTCTTCATTACGATTTGTCAATAGTTTTTATAGTCGGTCAACTGTGGTTTGTTAATTTTGCCTTCGGGCTTTGTGGGCGAGAGTGCGTCAATATCACTGTAATTATATGATCATTTCGCAAACAAACCTCCATCGGAGCTTCCCTTGCCCCGCCCCTGAACAACGAAAAGAACAGTGGGACTTCTATAAGCTGCAAGAGAGCAAGTGCCCGCTTTGCTGAACGAAATGTTTCGCTTATCTATTCCGTAGGTCTTTTACTAGAGTATAATTGTGTCATTTGCTTTGTATCATTTGTTTTGTATCCTCAAAGAGAATCCACATAGTTTATTGAAAGAGCTGGTAAAAGGTTTTTGTTTTATCCAATTAGCCGAGTCAGTTCTTCGATTACGTTTTTCGTGATTTCATCAATACGATTAACTTCATGTTACTGGACTGTTATATTAACATATTAAAATGAACCATTTTAGCTTCACTTTGCCAACACACATACAAATAGAAATGCCACCAATTTGCGTAGTTTTAGTTAAATATCCGGTTTACAAAGAATATTTTTGTTTCCAAGTAGAATTACTGGTATGGCTATGTTTTTCTATCGTCGATCATAATTTATGTTCAAAGGTATGGCAACTATTTCTACCTCTGACTTTTTCTAAAAGCTAATTTGCAGCAGATGTTCTCGAATACCAACTACAAGCGAATATCGTTTACGTGACAACAATTGGGCGGATAAAAAATATTCTTTGTTGGACAAATGAAAACAAATTGTATTCCATGCCTTAATGTTTCCAAACGTCTTCGTGAATGCATTGCAAGGAAGTTGAGTATTTATTTTACAAAAATTTGATCAAACGAGAAAACCTCAGCGAGGATTGCTTCAAATTCCCCCTCACTCTCAGTCGATAGTGACATTTCGGCTCGCAAGCAACTCGTTGTTTTGAACTGAGCGACAAGCAGCAGGAACGAACGGTGTCTCCCAGTCGTGTGGGTATAAATATTTGAGAATTTCTTTACCACCCCTAGGTACTGGCATTTCTACATCGATGAATTTTACGGTCGGTAAAGGATCGTCAAGCATCCATGAGGGGAAAGTGTGATACATCTGATAATTATAATACAAAATCCAAGTGACCAAACCGCTTCGGTGCATGTAGTTTCGCGTTCTATAAAAAATGTCGACATCCACTTGAGCGAAATCCCCTCGCCTGAAATAGTAACAACTCGAGAGTGAAGTGTGATCGTCAACCTTAATTCCTTTGGCTTCGAACGCTTTTATGAATTCGTTATGAGGGATTTTTGAATACGCTTCATCGCCCAAGATTCCGATGTCAATGTCATAATCCCATGGCAATGGTCCTTGAACACGATAGGCACCCCAAATCGATCCGTAGATGAGAAAATGTCGAATGCGCATTCGGTTTAAGATTTCGTGAACATCCTTAAACAGTTCGCCGAGTTCCTTCATTTCTTGCGTCGTTCGTTCGCATGGAAATCGAGGATTTTGCTCGCTGTCTAGTTCATGCGTATTATGCGTGTCGATGTTTAGTTTAAAGAAATATATCAGAAGAACAAGAAAACCAGAGAGTACTAACCATTTCGGACCAACTTGCTTGACTCTCGTATGCAAATGGTTTATCATGATGACATACAGCGACGCCAGACCAATGAAGAATGCTCTTCGAATGAAGAGAGAAAACGAAAATCGCCCCTCTTTCGATCACTTTCCAGAAAACGAAAAATGCTTCTCACAATGCATTAAGTTAGGTTGTTTATTCGGAAATACGTCGCAGAATAGAGATCCGTAATTTTAAAAGGGCAATTTTTTTTAACAGAATTACATTCACGCGTCCTTGCCCAAGAATGAACAACAAAGCGATGTAATAGCCACGAGCATAGACTGTCGAAATGAAATGTATCAAATATTCGCGGAACATAAAACGATTAACGAACGAGGTTATGATGACGCACAAATCTCGAGTACTAGTGATAATCAAAAGCTATTTTTGGCCTCACACTGCTTGCAAAGGACATTCAACTCCAGAATGCATTGGGATCTTTTCACAGAGTCTAATAAGATCTTTTGGAATGCTTTTCGTAAACGTCTCTTTGGCGGATTATACAACACAACGTAACCTTAGTGAAAACATCTGTGACAAATATCACGTATGAATGAACTATAAGTATAAAATATGCAACGTGGAGATGCAAATGAAGATGCAATTAAGTTGCTGAGCAAAAACATCAATATGGATTAAAGTAAATTGGCCAATAATCGTTTACGGCCAATATAGAAACGATATACCAAAGGCTTTGTATATCAATAATAATACAGGATGCATAAAAATTGCTATAATTAATATAAGTTTCTTGAAGTGTTAGATCTACTTGGACATGATACAATCGTTAACTGTCATGTATTCTAAATCATCTCCATCGTTCCACTCATTTATCAACAATTTTATCAATCAAGTCTCGACGTTCGGTAATATGTCGGTAGCAGGAGTACGATTTACTCAAAGAGCTTGTGAAACAAAAATTGAGCTATTTAATTAATATTTTCATTGAACAGAACTGTTAAATTGACTGCAATTGACTGAATTCTACAGCAGTTTATGAGCATCTCTTTTTTTGCATATATCTCTTTTTATATTTTCAAGAAATTTTCGGAATATAATGTTCCATGTAAACAAGCAGTGATATCAAATTACATAATAACTCGCATATCAAATATCACTAACAGAATATCAAAATATACTTCAGGATGAAACAGAATCACAAGTCTGTAACAATACACGCAATAGCTCAAGCTTCGTTACGCAGCGTGACGCCATTGTTGATGCAAATTGACAATACAAAAACCTTCGTAGCTGAGTATGAAAGAGATACTAATATTTGTTCACTGTCATTCTAGAAGTTCTTTTAAATAGTTGATTTCAAAAGAAAACAATAAAAGGAATCAGCTTTCTTCGCTAAGCATAAGCACCTTAGAGGAGCATTTTAAAAAAGGAAAAATATAAAAATGCAACTGCACAAATCGAGAAGAATTTATTACCTCGGTTAGAAAAAAAGTTTGAAGAAAATATTTTGGAATTGACAAGATATAAAAATACGCAAACAGTTGACGATGCCATCTTTCCAAAATCAGCATGCATAAAAACCTCCGTCGTGTTTCCTGGAGTATCCGCGGTTCGTTGCAGCACTGTGATGGCTCTCTACGGAACGAAGAAAATAAAACGTGTGAAGAAATATATGGTTTGAGACAAAGTATCACTCCTGACGGCAAAGTATCACTTCGGAGTCATTTCACTAAATTAATCAAACGATCCAATTTCGTACATTATAAGCATATCGAAATCGTGATCACAATATGTGTATCACAAGAACTTTTGAATATGAACGGTCTATTAGAGACCTGCTGTTCATTTGTAGGAGACTTTTAACACATACTCATCATGCTTCAAGGGGGCATTTGCTAGATACGAGGCCTATATTTGATGGGGGGGGGGTCGTTTATTGAATCATTTACAGTAGTGCAAACCCCCTTTTACGACGACTGCTCCTAACCAAAGTTAAAACGACGGCTCGAGTTCGGCCCTCAACAAGGTCTTCAAATTTACTAGAGTGATTGAAGTATTTGACATTATTTCATCATTGACTCACGAACCTATTGCTCCGTTGACAGAATGAACACTTTCTCGCTTATTTGAAGACGATATTCTCAGCGGCAACTTGTTCAGGTCGATCATCGGACCCGCTGGTGGAGGGCGATTCTTCAGGACACGTCTGAAAGATGATTAAAGGCAAGTAAAACAATACCTTTTGTTTAATTCACGACAAGTGCCTGTCCAATGATGTAAATGTAAGTAAATGTAAGTATGCATGCGTTCACCAGCTGAATTGCCCTATAGGGTTGCCCAGAAAAAGTCGATGTCTTTCATGAAATAACCAGTGTAATGGTCTAGTAAGGCATTTCATTTTAATTCTAATTTTTTATTGGGATACTCATTAAAAGGGTAAACTCGTTTACGTGTGACCCTAACATGTAAACTAGCACCCATTTTGATAGAAATGGACATCGTACCCTCGTACCCATTTTGAAAATTCCTCGTTTCCGGTTGAATCAGTGTTTCCGCTTTGGAACTTAAAAACTCCCCGTGATGATCGTAAGTCGACTTGATAACGAAATCCAGACTGTCGCTGGGAGCCTAAAACGATGCAAAACACCTTAGGTATTAAACATCAACCCCCCCTGCCGCAACCCACGAAGGAATATTGAATTATTTGAATCGCACCTGTGGGTCAAAATATAATACTTCGCGTCGTTTGCTCGACAATGTCTCCGCTCTATACAGACGATTCCATTGATCGTCTCCATTTGATCGCTCTGCGACAGTTTGATAAGGTTCACCATACTGCAAAGAGATCAAATAGATGCACACATGCCAGAACATACATCGATATGAAACTCCAAAACCCCTAGAAAGAGATCTTAGATCTATGTTGTTAAGTGGAACATTCAAGTAAGGTCATTTAGTGGATGATAAGCGGAATGTTCAGTCATCGAAGCTTGTAATTATAATACATTTTATGGTAAAGCTCGAATTTCACCGGTTTGCTACTTGTACAAGGAATCCCACGTATCTAAATTGTAACAAATCGTCAATAGCTGGAATAGGCTTCCTTTGTATTTGTAACAAGATTCATTTCAAATGAAAAATCCCGAAAAAAATAAGCGATGTTTAGCGCTCATGGCTGATTTTCGCACATAATTGATGCCAAATTAATTTATTCTTAACTTCGACGAGTAAAAAACAAACCTTCCTGCGATCACCTTTGACAAAATTGTCATCGCTCTCCACTTGAGGAAAAGGGTATGGATTTCGCGGCATTATGGACAATATGTCGTGAGATTTCACACTCAGAAACTGGACAATTTCTTCCCTAAAATCACCTCACGCGTGCAGAATTGTGCGTTTCTATTTCAACCGCAGTTGTTGTCGTCGTTACCAAGGATACATAATCCTCTGACGTCACACAATGGGAGACAAAACCGTAGCCGCATATATTTGATTGCCAATTAAATAAATCAAATACCTATTTCCTTTACTAAAGATAAATTAAATTTTGATTATCATTTGAAATTAGCAAGTTTTTAGAGTAGGGTGAATGGGTAACGTCAGCGAAGTTGTGAGTGATATTGAGTCCGTTTGATCAGAGTAACGTTCGAGATGATCAAGAAGTTCTTCGAAAATTTCCCCCCAGTCGACTTCAGACTCGACATCTGCCTTAGTCTTTCCTTTAAATGATGGCACCAAGACGTTAGTTGTTCCCGCGGTTCGTGTGACCAGCAGTGAATCTAAATCTTCGTCAAAAATTTGTCGACGAGGTGCTTGTGTTTTGAGCTGTTCGACTGTTGCTTCGGTAATAGCGCATAAAAATCCAGGTGTGAACTGACGTGGAAAGAAGGTATTGTGCATATTCAGGTCATCATTGGTTTCGTTGGCATTGTCGTTACTGTTTACTTTCTTTTGAATCGCTACACCTCTAAAAAAACAGTAAAAAGTTCCAAAAAAATCAATTCTCACGAGCAGTCTTGCTAGCTTGGTCTGACCTATATTTATAGAACTAGAGTTGTACCTCCATTTTCAGATACATGAAACGTCTTATAATTTTGAGCAATGTTCAACAACGCAAGCTTGTACATTTTGATCGTCCAGGTTTTGACGACTGACCTTTCGCACATCCTTGGCGATAGTCAACTTCGGAGTCAAGTAAACCTAACACTGACATTTACCCATCACTTGACCCCGAAGATGATTATCGCTAAGAATGTAGATATGTCAGTAAACACAACACCCAAAGTTAGTCTTCTATTGACAACTACAAATACGCAACGATGTTCATAGGTTCAAATTATTCACTTTAATGTTTAACAATGTTATAAGATGTTAAATAAAGTCGAACAATGTGGAACAATGTTGTACATCGTCAAACAATGTTGAACAACGATGAACAACGTCAAAACAATGTTTAACTGTGTTGAACAACATCAAACAATGGTGAACAACGTCAAACAATGGTGAACAACATCAAACAATGGTGAACAACATCAAACAATGGTGAACAACATCAAACAATGATGAACAACATCAAACAATGGTGAACAACGTCAAACAATGGTGAACAACATCAAACAATGGTGAACAACATCAAACAATGGTGAACAACATCAAACAATGGTGAACAACATCAAACAATGATGAACAACATCAAACAATGGTGAACAGCATCAAACAATGGTGAACAACATCAAACAATGGTGAACAACATCAAACAATGGTGAACAACATCAAACAATGGTGAACAACATCAAACAATGGTGAACAACATCAAACAATGGTGAACAACATCAAACAATGGTGAACAACATCAAACAATGATGAACAACATCAAACAATGGTGAACAACATCAAACAATGGTGAACAACATCAAACAATGGTGAACAACATCAAACAATGGTGAACAACATCAAACAACGATGAACAACGTCAAACAATGTTTAACTGTGTTGAACAACATCAAACAATGGTGAACAACGTCAAACAATGTTTAAAAATGTTTAACAATGTTGAACAATGTTTACCAATGCCGGAATGTTGAACAATGTCGAACATGCAACGTCTACTGAAGATAACGATGTTAAACAACATCCAACAATGCAGAACATGGAATTTCACAAAAAAGTAATTTATCCTCGCTTTTATCACAAACGACAAAAACAAAAAAACCAAAACTGACCGCAGCGTGGGGGATTACACAAACCCGCTAAAAACCTAACGACAAACCGATAAAAATTGCACTCAAATGCACAAATGATCATTGTGGATCTCTGAGCGTAGTCACGTTTAAAATAATATTTATTCAAATTATACCGTAGTAATACAATGGACAGAGGACATGCCAAAAATTCCAAATGAGATTCCAAAAGAGCCTCTAGACTTGCTTGATCAAAAAAGATTTCAAACCAAAATCGAAAAATCTATTATAAAAAAAAAAGAAACAATCTTTCCAGTAAAAAGAGCAGAAGTGTTTTCTGCCAATCTACACGTATTACGAAAGGGATTCACCAAGGAGAGGGTTTAACCCCACCCACCCACGGAAGTGTTCAAACCTACGAACATTTCACTCATTCCTCCCACCCCTGTCCATGATATTTGTAAGCCAGTAGCGAGGCTGCATGCAACAAACTTAAGGTGTTTTCCACAATTAAAAAATTAAAATAAACCGCTGACACTGCGAGGGCGCATGGGTACCTCATTCAACAACAGAACAGCTTCATTCATAGGAAAATAATCCTCGTTTGAAGAATTTGACAGATTTCTACAAATAAAATGAAAACTTGTTGACAAAACCTCCACAGGTCCCTTCTTACATCCAAACGATACATTAGGATCAGCATTTGACACAATTTCACCTGATCGTTTCGTTTATTACGGACTCAGCTATCTCCTTCGTTTCCGATAAAACCTCTACACTTCGTGTTTCGACAGTTCGAAACCAATTTGTCAAAGCCTTTAAACGATAGCTTAAATATAGCGGCCATTTTCCTTGAAACTTATATATCACGGAAGAGGAGAAGAGATCTTTTACATCATAGCAATGTCTAAATGAATTTTTCACACAGTAATTACAAAGCAGGACTGAATGCAGAAAATTGAATGAGCCATGATGGATAGATAGAATGGCAGCAACTACAACGTTTCCTTGTCGTTTTCACTTTCCAGAGTGTGTATGCAGTTAACTCTACCGATAGAAGAAGCTTAAAATACCTCAAAATAGTCTTGTCGTTGTAAAAGCCATACAACTGATAGAGTGCAGTGGCAATCGCCTCTCGTCCGTAGGAAATTGATCCTAAAAATGTTTTAATCGAAGCTCTTTTTCTTTTCGAAAGAGAAAAAATATAGAGAACAATGTATGGCTTACCAATAGAAGATAAGTCCGAAAGATATTTCTCGAATCCCAATTCATTCAACTTTGGTTCATCCAAAGACTAAAACAAAATACATCGAAGTTTTTTATCTTGACTCTGCACAGATCTTCAGGAAAAAAATAAGATAAAACTGTCATAGTGAAGTTAAAGCAGTTTGTATGTGATTAGTTTATATTTTAATGGATGAAACACACACTCTCCCTCTGGGGGTCTACCAATTCTTTACTACTTAAAGAAAGCGTTCAACGTGTTTTTCATACAACACCGCTCTTTTTCCTGGAGGTGGATCGCAATCATTCCCGAATGAGTTAATAGACAAGTACAGTTAATATTCGCCATGCTGGTTGAAATTTGAATGGTAAACAAGAAAAATCCCTTGTTGAATTCAACCAAGATGGCGGCTGTGTGCTACGTACTACCTACAAGCTCATGCATCGTAACACATCAGTTCATTGAATAATCGTTGTAGCCACTAAAGCTTCTTCAAATCCGTTGTTTGGGCATCATAAAACATCTTACTTCTGAAGAGGCGTTCCATTCGTTGGACATTTGATAAACAGGGATATTTTTCAATGCAACAGGCGATACGACCTCTTTTAGCTTTGGGCCTTCCAAACCAAGCTTGAAAAAGAAAAAGAAATTAAAACCTTTGGTCACAAAAACTTTTACTGATGATATATTTCTTTCTCTTCAACTCGAACGAAGCCAATAACCATTGCTGTCACATCTATTTCTCGGGAGAAGGCGATGTTATATGACAATGGTCTTTAATGCCTCACCTGACCGCAGTCTCCCCTCCCCCACACGTATGTGTGTCCTTGAGAGGTCACAGCAACACAGTGCGCAGCTCCAGCAGCAACAGACACGACTTCGCTAGTTATCAGGTCCTGAACAAGCATGGGGCTTGACTGGAATCGAACATAAAAAATTTGTAGAAACAGCAGGGATAGAAAGAGTCGAGCATACGCCATGAAATTCTTCAAAAGTATACAGTAGATTTAGAATACAGTTGCGACAAAACGTAAATCAGATAATATTGTAATCTGTATTCTGTAAAATAACTACGTTAAGTAATTTACAGAGAACCATTTATAGACAACAAGGAAACTGTTATGCGCGCACAACGCTTGTTTTCAATGCTTATTGATGAAAAATTTGCACAGTTAATCTTCTCGTTCAGCAAGAAATTTATTTGTTTTGTTGCAGGGAAGTAAACCACTCTATCATAGACTGTGAGAATGTAAGCTTTTAAAGAAATACTCGGCTCATCGTCTTTATTTCAATTAACATGGCGCCACGCAATGCATTACAGCTACATCCACAAGTTAAGTTAACATCCGGTTCATTCAATTGTGCTGCAGCCACTTTTCTCTTCAACAAAACTTTACTGAAATTCTTCAGCAAAAAAAAAGGTTTCGTTGCTTTTGAGTCAAGCAAGTAAAAGAGGAGCGAAAATACTCTTGTTATCACATCATTTTTGTCACACAAAAACAGCCCCATAACCAAATACACCTACAATTTCGCAATAGAAATGTACCTTTTCTGATCTTGTTCCCAGTCCTAACTGTCCCCGATCATTTTGTCCCATGGTGTAAACGTGTCCGCTCTCCGTTAGAAAAATGGCATGATTATTACCGCATTGAATCTAGATAAAGTACAACGACAGTGTGTGGCGGCACAGTTTGAATAAATTGACAGTCGAAAGGCATAAAACCGTTATCACAATCAAAAGTTAGCAAAACTACCTGTATGATACGTGAAAATATCTTCAATGGAACCTCCACGGGGACAAGATAATGTGTCAATTGTTTTCTTGGTGCAATTTTGTGATCCGGTTTTTGAAAATAATCTTTCTAGTGTTAACAAGAAATACGAAGATGCGTAAGTAAAAAGCAGAAAAACAAACAGATAATGTCAATGTTTTCCAAAAAGATCGCAAGGGACAACAGTTGATAATCACTGAAAGAATTGAAGCAGAACAAAACTAAAGTTTACTGAAAGGAACTCATCAGAACGAGATTAACTTTTACTGAAAGGATTGAAGTACAACAAGATTGAAGTTCACTGAAAGAAATGCATCAGAACGAGGTTAATTTTTACTGAAAGGATTAAAGCAGAACAACATTAACGTTTACTAAAAGAAAATGAATGAAAAAGAGGTTAATTTTTACTGAAAGGATTGAAGCCGAACAAGATTAAAGTTCACTGAAAGGAATGCACCACAACGAGGTTACTTTTTACTGAAAGGATTGAAGCAGAACAAGATTAAAGTTTACTAAAAGAAAATGAATCAAAGAGGTTAATTTTTAATGAAAGGACTGAAGCAGAACAAGATTAAAGTTTAATGAAAGGAATGCATTAGAACGAGATTAATCTTCGCAGAAAGGATAGAACAAGCAGAACGAGATTAATGACGATTTATACCGAAAAAAAAATAGCAAAAATCTCAACATGACTTCGTTCAACACTTCCACTTACGGCTTGTCGTATAAGTTGCGCATTTCGTCCCCACTTGTAAAACTTCTGACTTGAAGTGACGACCATCTAAATCAAATAAATTACACGCATAGTGTTGGTGACATTGCGTCATACAACTAAAGTTCACCTCCCATAGGTGACAAACTTGTTTGACTAAAGCGGAGAAACTGACCGTCTCGAAGGACCCGCAGCATATCAACTGGACATTTTCGTGGGCAATTTCTTCGACTAGCTTTGGTCGAGTTTGCTTTTTGATTGGTCCGTGCCCAAGTTGACCAAACACACCTGAATTATTCGAAATAATGTGGCGTTTGCACACATCACATTGTAACGTACGGAGTGGAATATTAACATAACGAACAAACCTCCACCAAACGTATATACCTTTCCCTAAATCGAAATGAATAAAGTAATACAATTTTTTTGGATCCCTTTGAATCCCTTTCAACCAGTGACTAAAAAGTTACCTCGGCATTCAACACAGCAGTATGAGAATAGCCAGCAGCCAATCGTATTACAATACATCGGTCCAGCGATGTCACTCGAGCAGGGATAAGATAATCCTCTACGTTTCCAAATCCTAGTTGGCCATGTACGCCCCAGCCCCATGCCCACACACAGCGGTCAGCGGACAGCGCCAGTGAATGATAATAACCACACGTCAACGCGATGCAATCTTTGTCAGCAAGTTCGGTGACAAATGCAGGTCGAGTCTGTTTTGCGTTGCTGCCCAAACCTAGCTGTAAAGTAAAGAAAAGAACCTGCTAACAATTTACTTTAATGGCTTTAGATCGCTGTATACCTAGTTCAATAAATACTTTGCCACCCTGTAGATACGTTTACTCAAAACAACAAGCTTTGGTGGTCTTCTCCATTTCATTTGAAGCAACTCACCTGACCGTAGTCCGAAGAACCCCAAGCGTAAACCTGTAAATTTGATGGAAACCAAACAAGTTTGTCGTCAACACGGAACCACAGTTTCATTTCAAAACTCAAAACCAAAAAATTTAACTAGAGAATAGAAACTTACGCCTTGTCTCGTTAAAGCCAGCGTGTGCTCCCGTCCGCAGGCAACAGATCGAACTCTGATTCTATACAGGATATAACACATGACAAATTTAACACATTAGCCTCAAAGAATTCAAGACAAACGAGGAATGGTAACCGAGACTATCACTAAAAACAGCGTTGCATCCAGCAAAGATTTTTTAGGCAAGTGCTAGGCTTGGTGAGGCAGCTAAAGTTCAACGGTTAGAAACCAATTAACCTACTAAAAACTAAAAGTGGATAAAACTGCCTGCTTTTGTCAACAAAATAAATATGAACACGTTTTAATAAGTGCTGCTATTTTTTAACGATAATCAATGGTTATAAATAAAGTCAATAAATGTTTAGTGTTAGGACGAGTTTGAGTTTTTGCACCCCTCCATGTACACCTGTTTACCCCTCCTATAAATCCACCACTGACTAATAATATATAAAAAATAAACCTTTGTATATGTAGAAGTTCCACACGAAAAGGTGGAGCTTTTCCTTCCTCTTCGATCAAATCACCATGGCCCAATCTTAAAGATATAAGCACTACCATATTCAACAACGTTGGTAGAAATCGAAGATTTAACATAGAGTTGCGCCAGAGGTATGACAACCCTAATTTTTAATCCTCCAAAGGAAACAATTTGTTTTAACTGGGAAAAGCAACAGTTTGGCTAAGAAGTCGCACGAAACAAATTTTACCGCATGCAAAACGATATCATGTCAAAGCATTGAAATTTCTCTATTATCATGCATCTGAAACTTTACAAAGACATCGTCTGAAGTCTGAATACCTGCCGTTAGATGACTTGCCCCATGTATAAACATCGCCGGTGTTTGTAACCAAAGCAGAATGCTGCTGACCACAAGATAACGTCGTATACTCATGAAAGATGCCACTTTTTAATAGACTTTCTTCCTTTGATGAAAGGCAAAAACAAGAATAAATTTGTGACAAAATTTTGAAACAGCAATGTAAAAATTTGATATTAGCGCGAAAATTTGTAATAAAAGTGCGGACAACTGAAGAAACAGTTTGTTGTTGAAGGTTGAAACTGCCAAAAGCAGCCTTGTTTTGTCTAGTTCAATTCATGCTACATGTAATCATCTAGAAATAGTAAGTTTCTCGTGTATTTGCAAAACTAATGAACTCGCAAGTTTTCAAAAGATTTAACATTATATTGAGTTAATGAAAACTTATTTCAAGTACAGTATTGACAATAAATCAAACATACCAACTCCCTTGACATTGTCTTGTCTTCACAATTCTCAGCAATCAATGAACTGAAGAAGAAAAAAAACATAACAAAAGCGTACGATGTTGTGCTGTAATAGTATAGTAACTGACAGCAACAATAACAACGGTGGTTTGTCGATATTTCGATATTTCAGATATCTTTCACGTATTTGAAAGATATGTGACATTCACAGCCAAAAAATATCTACCAGGCGGACACTAAAGTTACCAAGAATGATCACATTTAAGCATACGGTAAAAACAATCAGACAATCTAATTTCGACCACATTCATTGAACCAATTCGGATGATATTGATACGCATGCATCATTTCTTCAATGTTTACTCATATTTAAAACATACAGATCTGGAAACGTTGTAAACTTTCGCTTGGAATTCAGGACGATAAGCGTCGCCAGAAACAATCCTAAAAGATCCGGAACTGCCGTGTTGCTGTGATCGTGAGTGAAACTAAGAAAACTTTCAATTGATGCCTGTGATGAACCAGAATTCGACCTAAAAACACACATTTCAAAAAAGGATATTCACTGAAAACCAATAGACCCACGAAATCCAGCTCTAGGGCATGTTCATATCATATGATTTTAAGTCATAATTATGGTGAAGGTGAAGGGTAAAAGGTGAAGAGTGAGGGATAAAAAGTAATAGGTAAAAGGTGAATGATGAAAAGTGAAAGGTAAAGGGTGTAAAGAGTGGAGGTAAAGAGTGTAGAGTAAAGGATAAAGGGTGAATAGTGAAAAGTAAAAAGTAAAGGGTGAAAAGTAAAGAGTTAAGGTTAAAAGGTGAATGGTGGCAAGTAAAATGTGGAAAGTAAAGAGTGTGAAGGGTAAAGGGTAAAAGTTGAAGGGTAAAGGGTAAATGGTGAAAAGTTAAAACAAAAGTGAAAAATAAAAGTTGAAAGGTGAATGGTGCATAAAATGAAGTGTGAAGGGTAAAGGGTAAAAGTTGAAGGGTAAAGGGTAAATGGTGAAAAGTTAAAACTAAAGGGTGAAAAGTAAAGAGTAAAGGGTGAATGGTGGCAAGTACAAGGTGGAAAGTAAAGGGTGTGAAGACTAAACATTAAAGACTAAAAGGTGAAGTGTAAAGGATAAAGGGTGAATGGTGAAAAGTAAAAAGTAAAGGACGAAAAGTAAAGGCCTTTGGTAAAGGTTAAAGATTGAAGGGTGGAAAGTAAAGGTTAAAAGTTAAAGGATGAATAGTTTGCCTTCACAAATGCAACATCTAATCCCCCACGTGTATAAGGTATTTCAGTTGTTTTACCTGGGTCTGCGATGTGTGCTGTACTTCATCAATAACGTTTTAGCAACGGGTCTTGAAGGATCGAACATCTTAGCAATACGAAGTAAGTGGCTCTCATCGAGAACATGAAGTAAGGACTTGACGTATTTAAGACGCGGTAAAATAGATTCTGGCTGCAAAGATGCGTAATATTAATGATGATTGCACAAGTGGCGTGATCAAAAACGCTTTTGAAAGACTTTTTCATCGATGTACGCAAGTCGAACAAAACTTCAATAATAATTTGTACCTGATTATTATAATTAATCACTTAATGACGAAATCATTGCACAGCTTAGTATGATTGTGACGGTTTTTTCAAAAATTACAGACGTTGCCTGGCAAAAAAACGCACACAACGAACCTTGGCTAGGAGAAATTTGATCGAATCAACAGGCGAAAGACAGCGAATGAAAGCACCTGAACAAAGAGAAAACTTTTTTCAAGCAATTCTCGACCATACATCTATCCATGGCGACAATACCGAACATTGTAAAGTGAATGAGCATGATTTACAACTTGCAGGATAACTGACGCTCGTATCTTTCAAAAGTATCCGTTCTTACCGTTATAAATTTGGCAAACGACGTTCGCAAATCCTTTGGCGATGAGAAATTCTTGAGTTGACTTCGCCAAATGAAAGTGACCCTTATTTGCTAAGATGTCGAGAGCCACGGCAACTAACCCACGAGCCTTAAACACCGATAAAATCTTGATCGATAGAGAGTTTTACACGCACAGAAACATCTCGAAAATAACAAACGACGCATCATGCATTCACAGCAATATTGGAATTCGTTCTCAAACCTTCGCAACTTGAAAAAGATATTCTTCAAGACCGTAAGAAGCCAAAAACTCCAATGCAACTCGCTCATCGTAATCGAAGTTGTCATTGATAAATTGGCTACAAAAAGTGGGATACGAACAACTGAAACGACATGGCAAGTTTCTGCAGGATACATATATATCCATCTATTACGACGACTTAAGAGATTTTATTACAGCAAATAACTCTCGAGAAAGTCCTACCAAAAACTTTCTTTAAACTTTGACATTTCTTCGCAGTTCGAATCATTTTCCAGTATCTAAACAATTTTTCAAAAACAATCACGGTGAAAATAGCAGTGTACCCATGAATGAAGATGAGCACGACGAATGAACAATGATAAAGACTTAAAAACAGCGCGATAATTTAGTCATGCTATATAACCAGAATCTTGAACAAAGATTGTATTCACTGCAAAACAAAAAAGAAATATTCGCAGGAGGAACTGTGCTCGCCACCGGCCGTAAGCATTCAGACGTATTTCTAATGCACGCATTTTCAATTCTACATGCAGTAAAAACAACTGGCATCAAAACTTATGTTGTACGCGAGAACATGAGAATATATCTCCCTCCATAAGCGTCATTTCAAGGGCTTTTCTCTCACAACTTTTTAAAGAAAGACATGGGAACGAAGAAGCCCGCGAGCATCACGTCCAGCTCCGACTATCAATTTGTTGTATGTACTACGGTTCACAGCCACTAGTTGCAGATCTTATTATTCTTATGCGTACAGTCTTACACGGGATCTGAGAAAATAATGCGTTGTTACGGCTTACCTGTTTGACGAAACATCGAACAGCAAGGTTTGCTAGTTTCTTTCTGTCGGTAGAAGAAACTTCCGCTGGTTTGTGCAATATCTACAAAGACAAGGGGAACGTTCATTCTCTGTACTCATTTTTACCATTTGCCCACCGGTATTGATACATATTCCAATCACAAATATTTAAAACTATTTAGTATTTACTTCTTGAATGTAAACAATGACATCGACAATGCTCGCATGCTGTGATAACTTCCGCACTCGTCGACTGTGCTGACACTAGATGAGAATGCACAAAAAGGTTTTGGTACTCGCTCTACTCCTTCGGGAGGAGGGTTCATGAGAAAACACACAGTAACAAAATTTCCACAAACGATTACTTCACCTTTGAAGCCTGATAAAGTTCCAGAGCATGTTGTAACTGTCCAGCTTCCATTGCAATATCACCAGCTTGCTACGATGAAAAAAAAGCACAGCATTTCTTTTAGATGTGCATCATACACATGACAAGCCCCATGCATGATGATTTCAATGAGCAAGCTCACCTCATAAAGTGAGTTCACATCGAGGCCCGTAATTATTGCCAGTCGGTCAGCGGCTGCCGTGTCCACGTTCTTCACTGCAAGTTCAACAAAAAGTTCTTCTGGATAAACCCTACAAAACCATCGAAAAATTGAGCTGAATCAATTCAGTTAGCCAAAAAACTTTGCGAGCACGCAGGTATGGAAAATATGAAGCCGTATGATATCAACTCCCTCGACGACTACAGTCTATACCTTGCTATCATATATTGTCATGTAACAGGCGGTCACGTTGATTGGCTACTAATAACGTTTTGTTGAGCATCACTGCATGATATCCATGTAGATTCATTTCACCAGTCTGATTTTTTCGATTATTGTTACGGCCGATAAAAGCACTCATTAGGGTTGGTCAGTCGTTATAACATTGTAAACAAACAACGAGACTCGGATGTTTAAAATGGACAAAAACAATTGAAAATGCATTGTTTTAAAAAACGTAAGTATATTGCACACTGGTATGAAGCCAGCTGATCATTTTTCCATCAGATCTTTTCGTTTATTTTAGCAACATGGTACTTATTATGATATTTTGGTGAAATACTCTGATAAAACCAACGATCAATCGTCATCAGTTACATTACTCGTAGGGAAATGTTCACCTCGGAGTCTCTCAAAGTATACTTGACAACGCTAAACACGTTGCTCCTACCTGGGTCTGATCTCGTACACCGCAGCTGAAGTGATGACCAAACAACCATCGACGGGATGCGAATGACCGCTGACGTTATGTTTCGTCTTCTCCAAGATAACATACGTGGTAAGACGATATAAGGCGAGCACGTCCTCTCCAGGGGGGAGCGTAAATGATTGAATGCAACTTGATGCCTAAAACGACGAAATCGAAACAACCAACGTCAGTAATTATAAAAATCTGATTGATCGAACACTAGGATACGTGAAAAAGTAAAATTCTTAGCAAATTTTGTTTCAAATAATATTCTTCAAAATGCAATAAAGCTAAACATTTTGGGTATCAGTGTTTTGAATTCATAAAACAATGAATTTGATGATGAACCCAGTTTGGCCATATATGCAAATATTTTTACAAGATGAGCATAAACTCCCCCACCTGCTTTATATGGTTACAGAGTTCAGAGCAGGGGGGGAGTGTCTAAGCTCATCCGACCGAATCGGGTAAAAATTCCATACATGGTCACACCAGATAAACCTTAAAGTTTTTAATGGTTTAGTCTTCATCAAATGCTTTTTTTTGACATCAAATTCGCAATTCAAAGCAATACGCGAACTTCGTGAAAAATTATATATAAATTTAAGTTCTACTTTCGTTTTTCCGTTCGCGGCAGCGAGAGATGTCTCAGCGAGTTGACTCGACAAAATGTTGATTTTAACCTGCAAAAGGAAAACACCCGTAAAGTTAAAGGTGTAAATTGCAATAGACTGGAGAAGCCGCTTCATGAAAATGAATGTATTTCACAACCATGTCTCGCACCAATTCACTAAAGTAAAACAGTCCACTTGGTTCTATCAAAATATGCAATAATTTTGTCGGGTCATACGCAAAATAATTCTTCCTTTATCACATTACTTCTTTTCAGTCTACAACTGGTTTTCTACAGAGATTTACGAAAAACCTTATTCAAAATGAACACTCCATAAACTCTAACCTTTTCATCGTCGACACACAGGGCAAAGAGCAACCTGTCAGTGAGCAATATATCCTGTGTGTATTCCGTCAGATCGTAAACAAACATTGGGATATTTTCTCGATCGACGTCAAATACCTACATGAAGAAAAACACATCAGGAGTTTCCAATCATTTTCTGTCCGCTCGAGTTTCTCGACGTGGTCGACTTCACCTTGAAAATCTTCTCTTTCGGATGAAGCAAACATAAAAATGATTGATTCCGCGCAAACTGCAGAGACAACTTTTTTGGGTCCTTCTCGCTCTGAAATTAAAGGCAAAAAAAGATCAACACTTTTGCACGTAAATATTTGGGTTTTTTTCTCTCGCTTGCCTGGATATGGAGTAGTTCGAAACGCAGCGCAGACTTTTCTTTGGGGATAAGACACGAGTGCAAAGGAATAGATCGATGACTCAACATTTCGTAGCCCAGCATACTTTCGGTGATGCTAATCGTATCTGTCGCAGATGGTTGTGAAAACGTGTAACTTTCCAGAAGAAATTTCATCGTTTTACCTGACTTTGTTGTTATCTAGAAAAAGAGGTTTCAATTACTTTAATGACGCGTTAATTTGACATAAGAAGACAGTTCTGTGTTTGCTTCTACGGGACGAAATGAACCTGCTACATTTATACGGAATAGCCTAACTATTCATTATTTTTCTTTGTATACACTCAGCAAAGATTTTTTCAAAGTACTACAAAACGAAAAAGTTTAAACCGAATTTCATGGTGTAATTGACGTTGTATTTTCTTTTTCAGTAAATATCATGTAGCAACCACTTACCAAAAGATAACAAGTACCATGGACATTATCTTGCACAATATTCAAAGCGTTCACCGCTTCATTTTCAAGTCCAAAGTGAAATACTGGCTGACCAAATTTATGGAGATCGACGAAAATAACTTCACCACACTATGGAATTTGACAGTAAGCTATGCGTGCAGCACACAGAACAAATTTAATAACAAATTCATTGATCACAATAATGTTTAGGTATTTGAATGGTAGCTAGTTTTAAGTCTTTGAAATCAGGTCTTCGAATAGCAGTTATAAATGTTTGAATACTTGTAGTTCTATTAGGTCTTTGAATTAGTATTACGCAGGTCTTTGACTATTAGTTTTCGTTCTTTGAATGGTAGTTTAAGATCTTCGAATTGTAGTTTCAGGTGTTTGAATGGTAGTTCTAGGTCTTTGAATATAAGTATTACGTAGATCTTTGAATAGTGGTTTTACGTCTTTGAACGGTATTTTAAAATCCTTAAATGGTAATTTTACCTCTTTGTGTTTTCGTAACATGTCTTTGAATGGTAGTTTTAGGTCTTTGAATGGTGATTTTAGTTCTTTGAATGGTGGTTTTAGGTGTTTGAATGCTAGTTTTAGGGGTTTGGATGGTAGTTTTGGGTCTTTGAATGCTAGTTTTAGGTCTTTGAATGGTGGTTTTAGGTCTTGAATGGTGTTTTTAGGTCTTTGAATGGTAGTTTTAGGTCTTTGAATGGTGGTTTTAGGTCTTTGAATGGTAGTTTTAGGTCTTAGAAAGCTAGTTTTAGGTCTTTGAATGGTAGTTTTAGGTCTTTGAATGGTGGTTTTAGGTGTTTGAATGCTAGTTTTAGGTGTTTGAATGCTAGTTGTAGGTGTTTGAATGCTAGTTTTGGGTCTTTGAATGGTAGAGTTTTAGGTCTTTGAACGGTAGTTTTGGGTGTTGAATGGTATTTATAGTAAGTTAATGGTAGTTTTAGGTATTTGAATGGTAGTTATAGGTTTTTGAATGGTAGTTATGGGTCTTTGAACGGTAGTTATGGGTGTTTGAACGGTAGTTTTAGGTCTTTGGATGGTAGTTACGGGTTTTTGAATGGTATTTTCAGGCCTTTGAATGGTATGAAATTATAGATTTATGACCAACGTACCTCCGTGCCAAGAATACAAATATGAGTGTTAATCAAAGATTGTTGCCACCAGACCATACAAGTGGCGACTCCTTTATTTTAAAAGTAAAATTGGAATGTGCTAAACTGTCGCATGAGACACCGAAATCATCACGTCTTACCTTTTCTGTTGTGTGGAGGAAAACGCGTTAAATCTTCAACATTCCAATGGGGTGGGCAGTCGACCTCTTCTGGACCCTTGACGCAATGGAAAATAATGTTTGAGACAAGCACAATGTTCTTCATTAAAAGCTCTCACAACATTATGTATGTATTTTCAATTAAAATCATTGAGACTAAGCTAAATATTCACCCACCCCACCCCCAATTAGCATTCCAGTTTTGACCCTGGGCACAATAGTTTATAGTATATAATGAGAGATAATGATAAAAATTACAACAGAGATACAATGCATGATTTTCACTCACAAGGATAAGAGCCAACACAGGAACCAGGTACAGATATTTATCTTTGCAGGAGCACAACAGCCAAGAACCTGAAGGATCAATAGCCATACATTCCACAGCTCTTATTGGTCCCTTAAAAAAACAATGCACCAATTAAAGGAATCATCAAATACAATGATAGCTTCTTCTATAGAAAAATATGAAGAGATCTTGAAAAAGTGTACCAAGAGTCCCAGAAAGAAAAGAAACTTGAAATTTTGTCAGATTTCCGCTGTGTTGATAAAATTGAATCTTTGCATACCTGAAACCAAGGAATTTCCTTGTAGATGGCCTTCTGGTAAACTTGATAGTGACGAAGAAGAAATGTCTCTAAAAAGTCACATTTAGTGGTAATGAAATGGTTTGCTACACTTTGCAAAAGAGTTAAAGGGGGATGGCTATAACTATTCAATTTTATTGAAGTACCTTTTTTACTTGCTTCATCATGACAAAGCAAAACCAACAGCCTTCTATCACAGTCTTCATATGAGCAACACAATTTCACGTAAGGATAGCCAGCTGGTGCATCTAAAATACACACGTACGTACATTGTAGATAATTAGTTACAGATAACAACAGACAGGTTGTATGTATTTTCATAATATTCAAACTCAATATTTTAAGACAAACTTTATCTGTGGAACATCCCAGCAGTTTTATCACATAATTTCTGCCTCTGTTGATCAGAAAAGTACTGCCTAACCATAACACAAACCCAAACTTCAACTCTAACCTTAACCCTAACCCTAACCTTAACCCTAACCCTGACCCCAACCCTAACCCTAACACAAACCCAAACTTCAACTATAATATTAAAGCAAAATTGCAACTGCATGCTGTTATTTTTCCCCTTCTCCACTCCTTCCTCTTCAAAGCAAACAGGATATTCTGTTGTATGGCTTTGTTGTTGTCAGTGGTGTCATAAACATCCCCTGAGCTGCACTTTAACTAAATATTTATATATTTACAAATCATGATTTAATCACAAGTTATATGTTTGCTGTCATACTGCATATGTCAATCTTTCCAAGGGCTCAGGTCACTCGATGGGTGAACTCTACTGGTTCATATGGAGTATATAAGGATTCAAACCCAAGCATATGAAATTGATTACTGCAAATGAAGTCACTAAACTTGGATTACTGGGAGTCGTCGAGCTTAAGGGGCCAAATCTACCATACATAACATTCATTTTAATACCGGATTTCAGTTGACAACATTCAAATCAACTATCTTTTATGCCATATAGCAAACTTATACCTTTGTCGTTAACTTTGCTCTTATGTGCTGGAGCAACTCTTACAACATGAGCGAGTTCAAACAACTCGCATTCTTTTAGTCTGATATCTGGAATGATAACATCCTTTTCGACGCGTTTGTGTTCTAAACTCATTGCATTAAAGCATCAAGCTGAGTTTTAAAAAAAAACTCCGTTTGATGCAATATCAATAGAGTACGAACTCGATGTCACATGATACAAATCACGAAAAATCATAACTTGACATTTGAAAATGACCAGGTAACGCCATCAGAAAGCTATGAAATAGACATAAAGGCATACACTTCATTCGAAGGAAACATATTTATGTTGATAGGACTTGATCTTTCACAAGACAAACTTTTTGGACGCTCTCGCGGTGATAGTATCTTGCACGAGGAACTAGATGTGATCACTGTCACACTTAAGTTTGAACGGAAGTGTCAAGACTGCATTACACAAAGCTCTGAAACACGCCCCCAAGACAACAACTCACAATTTCCCCTGCACTTGTTAACCATTTATTGCCCTGGAACTAGACTGGAAGAAGCAGAACATCCAACCAAGCACCGGCGTTTACTCGAATAGGTCAATTACGACAGTTGATGTTGTTTCACAACAATACCGTTACACATATGCGTTTGTGACATGACAAAGATGAGTATTAATTAAACGAAGTTATGATCTTCGCACTTTGTTAGACAATTTAAGCAATTGTCTCATAAACCTGAAAAAATCAGGTGACTCAACGGGAATCGAACCCTTGAAATTTGGCAAAACAGCAAAGTATTTTTCATGATCACTATTTAATTTTTCTGATGATCATTATAATTTCTAAACTAAATTATTTCAGATTTACATTTAAACGAGCTTTGATCATATGAAAAGATATTTATCATAACCAGTACGCATGACACATGAACCAATTTTAACATTCATGTAATTATATAATTAAAGATATGTTGGTTACATTCTGTTTGTATTTGATAATACAATGCTACTAGTGATTGCTATATAGCACACCTTGCAGAAGATAATAGTCAAGTGAAATGCCTAATAAACATTTATGGCATTAAGCTGTCCTTAACTGCAAACTTTCACTCTGATAATTTTTGCTTAATCTTTGGCAGAAAAAAATTTTGAGTTTTTTCTCAAAAGGTGAATTTGCTGGCACTGATGTGGAGATGGGTAAAGAGTTACAATAAACTTGCATGGTTTGAAGTCTGAGCTTTTCTATATCTATGAACTGTCACTTGTAGTGCCAAATTTCTAACTTAAATCATTACATAGAGGTTTGAGGTTTGAATGGGGGTCTCTAGGGGGGTCTATGCCTGACAACTTGGTAGAAATTTTTAAAGACTATATCTGTTTTTGAATAGCATTATTATAAAATAAATTTTACGTTCCTAGACATGCTAATGAGCCATATATTTGGCATGATAATGAGCCGAAATATTTGGCAAAACATTCAAGTATTGTTCACTTCATTTTTTTTTGAAAAAAACGTAAGCAAAATGTGTTGTTTTTACGCAAAAACGATGCCCACAAAATACATTTTGTAATGCTCTAAGACGCTGAAAATGGCATTTTTAAGGCTCTGAATTTCAAAATTTCTCAGGGGAGAATGCCTCAGAGCCCCCCAGGTGCGGAGCGCCTCCGACGTTTTATGACTGATGTTTGAAAAATCCTAGATCCTTCCTGCTTCATTTAATTTCAAACACCGCACTGCATAAAACATTCATAAAAGATGAGTATTCTTCCCCATTTGTCGGGTTGGATACAGCACTGACCTGTGCGTTTATGAAAGATCTGGGGTGTTTATATTTATATACCCATTTATGTCCCTTATGCCAGACTGTTTTCTTTCAAATGGATAAGCACACCGCCCAGTAAGCGTTCTATGGACGGCCTTGTTTCCATAAGATGTTGAACAAGTAAGGAGTGTATCATCTCACACTATGCCAACATCACGACACTGTCGCAACACTTTCCCATCTACGATCATAGGGTTATTAGTTTCGTGTTCTAATTTCTACAATTACGCGTAATTGACATGTAATTCCATCTCTAATCAATATGTCAGTTTTCGACCACAGCCAAGTATAGATACTACCTATTTCGCTAGGAACGCTGACCAAATAAAGACTCTGCAAAGTTTTGCAATATGTGAATGTCATTCACAAATAAAGTCCAAGAAGTTTCACAACAAAACTTCATGTTAAAATAATCTGAATTCCAAAAAAATGTTTGGAATACAGCAGATCTGAACTTTCGAACCAGATACCTCAGGGAATACGAACTTCAACATCCTACAGTTTCTTTGGCTAAGGTTTTTTCATCCACCTTTATCTAATTTGTAATTAGTATCAAATTTGTAAGTTTTGATTATTTGTTTGATTAATTAAGGTAGTTAGAAATTCAATTTGTAACTTGTATATTTTTAATTCCAAATAGTCAACACAAACCATTTGGAAAACAGCATTTGCTGAAAAAGCTAATGAGTACGAAATAAAGTTAATCGTCATCATGAGGAAACTTGGTTTTAAATCAAATCAACAAACTAAATGTTTGGATAAACAACAATTTATTTCACAGTATTAATAAATCATAAAACTACAAAACATAATAATTTGGCCACATGAAGACTTACAATCAATACATCACCAAAATTTTCTCTATAAAACTCAACATCCACAGTAAAACAGAGCTGCATGCCAGGACATCCCATCGCCTAAAATATTATATAAGAACGCTAAAATACACGTAGAAAACAATAAATTTTCATGTGGGCCCGAAGCATCTGCCATGTAAGCAGCAGGGTAACTCATGTGCTCCACACGAGAAGAAAATAAAATTCAAACATCTGGACATTTTACGCGTTACGCATGAACTCTCGATGCCCATAGCACGCATTTCCCACGTGCACACCAGATATTCTAACGTGAACACAACATTTTTCGCGTAGTTACGTATGATGAGGCGATTGTTTCATCTGTTCCCACCACCATCCGCGTCCCATCATTGCTTTATCGTGAATTGCTGGATTTGCGAGGCCTAAACCCGGCATCATGTTGTATTTCGGTAGCGGGGGATTCACCCCCATCATGGGAGCCGTGTTTACCATGGGTATTTTCCGATGGTTGAGGTTCGGTGAGCCCATGTTACCCGGAGGTGGTTCCATCATCATTCCTCGTCCGTGTGCTGGATTCATGGTTCCAAAATGCGCAGGTAATTTTGCAAACATGTGAGCGGCATCCGGCATCGACACACGTGGCGCCATTAGAGGAGGCGGATTCATTTCTCCGGCGTGCGTGAGAGCTGCATCCACCACCTGTCCACGTTTCTTTCTTCGTTGCGGTTTTGGGGAGAAATTTCCAGCGTGATCAATAAATTCGTTCGGAAGATTCATGTTTGGCGAATGGTTTGCAGTCAACGGTCGATAACCTACGAACGCAATGAAAACAATTTACGTGACCAACGGTTATTTGATCAAATTATACATGGGTGATGACGAGAAAAGATTTTCCAGTTTTAGCCAATGGCAATGGGTTGTAGATATCACGTGCATGGACAAACAAGAGAACTACTAAACACACAAATTCACGAATTCGTGTATAGATGCTTTCTTGAGTGTTCTTACGGCAAATTGACCATAAAATTCCAAAACTTTCGAGACAATAGCTACATCATAAAATCACATCATTAATATAGATACACATGTCTCACTAAAAAAACATACAAGAACTCTAGGATTTACTAGGACCTTATCAACATACATAATATAAATCCTAACACGGTTTTTATATGCACATGAAAAACTTGTGACCTGGACGAGATTTGAACTCAATTATCAACATACAGGGTTATCAAGATCTTGCGAATGCTTTTCGAATTAAAGGACGCTTCGACTTTTCAAAACTTCATTAAGGACATTGGAGTTCTTGTATGTTAAATGTATTAAGATATTAAGCTAGCGAAATTCGGTGAAATTTGAGAAGCTTCGTTTTACCTGCTGTGCGATCGAAATCTTTGTCGACTGTGTCTGGTGCCCAGGAAACACCGCGGCCTTGAGGGGTATGACGAGACCCTCGACCGCGAAGACTAGATTTATATTCCCCAATATCCACACTTGATCTACCACCAACAACTACTTGTTGATTAGGATTGTAACCGCGACCAGCTCGGTTACCTGGCAACAAAAGTATTCAATATGTTACACATGTAATGAAACTACACATGACGGTGTCTGTTTTTAAGAATGAACACCATACAATGAGAACAATCCTCGGCGATAAATGAACATAAAAATCTGTATTTGTATCTAACAGACACGGGACCCACCTTGAAACTTCGCTACCGGTACCCCTGCAACCTGTAGCGTCCCCCCCAATCCGGACACGGGTCTCTTGCTTCCTCGACCGCGCAACCTGTTGTGATTGTTCATGGTGTTGCTATACGGCAGAGGCGGCGCGCTTCGGAGGTGAGGCGGAACATTACCGAAGAATGGCGAAGGTAAAAGACTCATTGTTGACGCATTCCTGTTCAAAGGTAGACGATTCAACACAAATTCTTGTCCCAGTCCTTCCATTATACACCATTTCATACGCTCCAGTTTTTCCATGCGAGAGTGCTGCAGAATGAATCATTCAAAATCATTTATTTTCATAGTCTTTAGAAAACTAGAATGCCATATGGCGCGAAGCTAGAGTTCAATATTTCCCCATTCTCAGCAAGTGTTTTCTATAAGCTTAGCCATTCAACTGTAAAAGCTAGGAAAGTTGATGATAAAATGTGATCACAAGTGATTGAAAAATATATTTCACAGAACATGTACCCATATGTCACTGCCGTACAATACAGTCCTACTTATGTAAATTAAAAACGCGGGTTAAGACTGGCACTGGTTTATATTTCAACATCAAACCGTTGAAAGGGAGAAAGTCTATAAGTTACGTGTCAAACAAGTTGGGGGACGTACAGAACTTTCAATTGAAAAACGACAATACACTTATTTTCATTCGCCAATTATACCTATCCTTGTATTTTTGAGAGATGAGGGTTAGCATGTGAAACAAGAGACGATAATACAAGCGCATTTTTTTCAAGAAAAAATCTTGTTTTGCTGGACAAGAGAAAATCAGGCAGAAGATATTTTCCAGCACTTACATTGCCATCACAAAGATCTAGAAGAGTTGCCGTCTCGCTGGTGGCCACATTCAGTTTACTCTGAAACAGTTTACCGTCGAAATAGTTCCATGGGCAAACTAGATCCCAGGGAATTGGTGAACCACACGCATCGTTAGCAAAGATGGCCGCTTCAACGCCGCGCATGAAGATGGTGGCCAAAGTGACACCGCGCACATCCAACTTGCTCACTTTGATTTGACTAAGGTTCGTAACATTACACTCGGTAGTGAGTTGCGGAGATAGAGCTTGCGCTAAAAACGCCTCTAACTCCTCGGCAAACAGGATGGACTGACTGCCCTGCTTCTGAATGAGATATCTGAAAGCATAAAAAAACCAAGATATAATTCATAAAGTCATCAAACATTATTGAATTGGAAATTACACTGGAGACGTTATACACGAAGCACACGTGGACAAAATTCGCGTATGGAGCAGAATCGGAAGAATTTACGACTGAATTCAAGGATTTTATGTATTTTGACAACACAAAATTTCTTCCAACTACCTTAAAATACAACACAGTATAACACATCTTTGTGGTACCATGGTCGTTTTCGTCATACTTGACGAGTCACACAGCATACACGATAAGAAAGCTTTGAGTCGATTCGTGTTATCGCTTGACTCGGTACCAAGCCACAGTTGCTTGCACGCCGGTACGTCCCATTTAAGACTAATCGGTTCGACCATCTCTGGCTTTTCTAGTTTTTTCGTACCGTAAATGCACCACTCTCGAATCGAGGGAGGTGGAGTGCGCGGTTGCTCAGCTCCAGCGGAATCGTACAACTTTTTGTCCAATAATATTCCGTATACGCGCTGACGTATACCTCGGTAGAGTAGAGGTGTAGGAAGGCGACCTTTCGTGTTCTCGTCTTCTAAAGCAGTCCCAATTTTTATCTCACCTTTGCAGAGAACCTTGGTAAAAAAATGATGATAGTATTTGGTAGCCAACAGATAACTCACAGCCTACAGAAACTTCCAACGCCATTGAGAAACTGATAAATGGAATACTGTATGTGAGCTGGGAAGTCAGAAGACAATTATTTTCAAAATCTATTTTGTAGATGAACAGTGAGTAGCGTATAACAGCTCCACCAACAACTATGTACCAATTTTAGACAAGTAAATGCCCGGGGCAACATAGCTGCAAGAATTGAACTGAAAATAGTTCTAAGGTTATAAAGTCTCGTATTCCCAAGAAATTATAAACATACAAAATATACTATACCTGATAAACCATGTCCATCATTTGACCAGCCTGGTGACGTTTTTTCGCAGTTGCAAGAACTTCCGGTGATATGAAAGCGTAAAAGGCGGACATTGATTTCTCGCTTTTATCTAAAAATTACAATAACACTTGTGACGACGAAAAAGGGGGGGGGTGCCTGACCCATTTGCTGTGTTGCTATGGAAACTTATTTGTCTCAGTGAAAACTATAGACGGATAAAGGAAGATGTAGTTTGAGAGCTGGCATTTCGATGATAATAAAAGCAAATACAAACCATTATTGGGCGACGTTTGCCTTTTTGCGATGGGGGGTATCTTGGCTGCTGCTGATATAGGTCTTGCGGACTCAGAATAATCAGAAAGTGATTGTGATTGACTATCATCATCTTCATGAACATCGTTACTTCGAAAGCCAGAGTCATCATCCTCTCCTGTTGGCTCCACATCTACCTGTATGATCGAGGTTCACGATAAGCTTGAAGTATGAGAAAACTATTACAGACATGATCAATCAAAAGAACAAATAATTACAGTTGTGTTCATCGCCACTGATGGTATGGACGTATCGGAAGAGGTGGGGAATACAATGGGACTAGAAGCGGCATCAAAGGCTTTAGGAGTTTCTGGAGTGCTAGCGTTGGTTGCTGGAAGGGTAACCTCGGTGGGAGTGCTAGGTGTTCCAGGTGCAGAAAAGGTTTGAGTGGGACTTAAAACATTATCTGTTTCCTCTGTTTCCTTCAAATCCAGTTCTTTCAGCTGCAATTGCTGAACATCGGCCACTAGCTTTTCAACATCTGGTTCGGAGCTTGATGGTGAAATGCCATTGGATATCTGAAGAAACAAGGTTCGGGTCATGATTGAAATTAGTATGAATTAAACATCAAGGTTGATGGTCAAAAAGGATCAATTTTATATTGCCTGTTATCATAGTTGACTAGTAATGTCATAACTGACAAGACTTCAAGCATAGTTTTCTGTTGAAAGGCAAAGTCTAAAGCCTAGTTGTCTGTTCAAATGCAAAGACTAAAGCTTGGTTTTCATTTAATAGTTTCAACAATCTTTGTTGCTTCTTTCATCCTCTTTGAATGTTTCAGCAATGATTGAGAAATTTAATGATTATGTGAAAACCAAAAGGAAGAAAATTACAGAATTTGATAACATTTACAATGAGAAATACTTGAGATTGGGAAAGAACCATTCATGTTGAAGTACACCCACACATGAACCATTTTGGCATGTGAAGAGTAAACTTGAACTGGAAATCATTACTAGGTAAGTTATGCAAATGATTTGATAATGTAAAAATATAAATTAATGTATGAATATATTTCATTTTATGCATTATTCTTACTCCAACAAACCTTATTTGATGCCTTTAACAAATCACCTGACATGTACTGATGTTGTTGCCAGTGCTGCCAACGCTTCTGATAGTTGGACTCGCTGGTTCCATTGCTTTGTGACAACATAATGTCTGACCGAGCAACATTTGGTGCAACTGGGTAAAGTCTATCTGTATCTATTTCATCATTTTGTAGAGCTATGAGCAAATGAACAATGGTTAATCAAAGATAATATCCTGAGCAAATGGTGCTTGCGTCTCATACCCAAATCTATCAAGAGCATACATATTATGTGAATATGCTTTAGTGGCCCTTTATTCAATATTTTGACGATATGTTTCTATTCACATATAACGCTGGAAAAGCTAATACATTATGAAGTTGTACTATTAGGTTTACCTTCATCTGATTCAAGCTTCGAATAATGTTGAATGGATTTTTGAAGACGTGTATGAAGGTCTGCAACAGTAGGCTCCTCAGAATTGAAAACTTGCTTCATGATCAGGTCTAAATCGCAGGGATCTACCAAGTCTCTCACGTACTTAGCCACACTTCGGACAACCACATCATATGGAGGTAATATAAACTGCTTACCAACTTGCGCCTGTAAAGTCATGATAATAGCAGTTTCTTCAGACAGGTTGAAGTGCTTATGATATGAATTTCTCACACCATTTTTTGTTAGCTTAATGAATATTGAGAAGTTTACAAGTACATTGATGTATTTTTTAATAATTAGTCTCACAGTAATACTCTACGCTCATAGCCAGCCATGTAGAGAATCATTTTTGGAGCACCCAAAAATGGTAGCATTCGAGGTGAAAATAAAATGTCTCCTTCTATTACGAGATATCGTTTATCAATGCCAAAGCATAATAGACCAAGAAATGAAGAAGAAATAACAAGGGTTAAGTTAAAGAAAGATGTTATTTCACATTTGGTTTGTAAGAAAACAATCCCTAAACTCTGTTTCAAAAATCGGAAGTTCAACACCAAAATCAAACACAAGCATGCACAGCATTTCGGAGAAACTATTCTTTAGACAATTATAAATTGCATGAAAGTTATAAAATGTCAACTCCAAAAGTCATCGTTGAGGGCAAACTTTTTGCTCAATCTGACAGTATAAAGAGATGTCACAAAGCTAAAAGTAATTGCCATGTTGAGAATGTGTACTGGTCATTATGATGTCAAATTGATAAGTAAACATGGCAGCTAAAAAGGTTTGCACAGAAAGTACAAAAAAGAGCAACTTCTGACGGCTGTGAAATCTGTATGAAAAGATCAATTGCAATTCTGTTGGCAGAAAAAGTACTTGCCAATGTAATTTTCTGCAAACAGTTTACAAAGAATTCACGTTGAAAGTCACAATATCGATTGTCAAAATAAAGAGCACAATCACAACAATACAGGTCAACGATCACGATCTCATTTCAAATGCAAACAAAACCAATTTAATAATGTACCTGTAATTTAGCCAGTGGATGATCGGGGCCAAGCAAGGACCAGTGAAATTGTGCAAGCCATTCCTCAGGTAGATAAGAGTTACCGAGAAGTGTTGAAAACAGCGCCAACCGTGTGCGATCCAGCTCAAGCTCGTCGAATATGACATTAGTGTTGAACTTCACGGTGTTTACACCAGTTTTCTTCACGATTTTTAAATGCGACGAGGAATAATAGGAAGAGGCATTTAGCAACAGAAAATCAGAATGATGCCCCAGTATGCCCACACACAAGTACTTCTTGCAATAGTTCACGATCGCCTTATGCACATCCCCTATCGTGGTGCAGACAACCACATCTCGGCAACGAAAAGCCAGACGAAGGCACGTGGGTAAGCTTTTCGGTGCAAAAAAGTGTCGTTTTGGTGGAAATGTCGACGTATTACGAACATGGGATAGAATCTGACGAACCACCTGACGGCCCTCTTCCTCCTCTTGTATCCAACTTTGCATTTTAGTTGACTCTTGTTCGCCATCAAAGAATACAACGGGCTCGATATTGTATTGACGAAATGCTTTCACAAAAACCTCGACATTCCTCAGCACTTCGTTCCATTGTCCGCCACACACCCAGTCCATGTTGGCCGCATAGAAATGCTTCAAACAGCTCATAACATCGACGATAAGAACAGAAGGAGCACTCGACATTTTACTGCTGTTTTGAGCGAGTTCTTTAAAGTCTACGGTCTCCATCGACTCGCCGGAACATTGTGTTTCAACGAACGATTGTAGGCCTTGGATACCCATTTTGGCGAACGATTTCCGACGGCAAACGAAAATCGAATAAGCACTACATTCTCTTCGCGAGAATCCTAGTAAAAATCACGGCGCAATTCACACAAAGACGTTTTTAAAACCACGTGTAAAATTTCACCGCGACCTGAGCGCCATGTTGAAATCTTATTCTTTGTTCATCTGGAAGGCTGCATGCCCGCGCGTGGGTTATATAATTATTTTCAAACGAAAAGACAAAGAAAATTTATACGAGGAAAACAATCTGACGTATTTTATTACAATACTATCATAACTTTTCTTTATACCTTTAATAATTCAAGATTGTAAGGCATTTAAACGTTTGCCTGATGAAGACAACATACAAGAACATGTTTGTAGATGTAGATCGTCCAGGTTGGTATAGTCCTGAAAAGGACTGTTTTTGTTGTTGTTGACTGACGTTTCGACAACCTTAGCAGTAGTCATCTTCAGAGCCTAATGAGGAGCAAACGTCAGGTTAGCCGTATTTTTTATCTGTCAAAAACAGTCCAACCTTGACGATCTACATCTATAAACCTATAACGATACTCCCGGGCTCAAACCATTTACTTTATACAAGAACATGTGTGTAAGAATAGTGGCATATTGACTGGGTGATTTGTTGGCACGATTTAATGAAACACAATTAGCAGATTGGAAATTGCCCTTTTATCTCTGAAAATAAGCTCGAAAATGTGTATTGTGTAATTAGTATGCTCATCTTTTTGCATAAATTATATTAAAAGACCTCGGTGTATACTCCATCCGCCTGTTTGAGAGAAGTTTACGTGTAAGACTAAAACAGCTTGAGACTTTATTGTATCTCTATAAACTACTGAGCTTAACGGAAAAAAAAGTTTTTGGAGTTTTGATTGCTGAATTCATGGCTTTTTTACAAACGTCATGTTTCACGTGAGCTTAAACAAACACACAGGATTAAATTATTGCAGTCGGAAATGGTCGGAAAGCATCCTTAGGAAACAGTTTCTAATTTCGCCTTCTTTTGATGGATGGATGTCTGTCTGTTTGTTTTTATGGAAATATCAACATTGTCTGGCTATTTCCCTATGGCTATTTCTCTTATTTCTTCGAAGAATAATCTGTTGTTATAAGTCATTGTACGCGAAACAGAATGGTAAGTATTTTAATAGAGAATCATGTCTGCCATTATTGCTTGAAGATACTGATATTGTTGAAATGTACGTAGTTTTCTGGTTAAACACAACAACAACATTACTAGGGTAAAATGTTTAGCACTTAGATATTGTCTTTGTCAAAAATCTCAAGAAATCGTGTTTTAAATCTCTGTTAATTTAAACTACAAAAATAAATTCTTTTGTAAAATAAATTTATCTTGCGTTCACACGTGTACAACATACAAACCTTAACTAGCGTTTGCTTCTGTCGCACGTGATAAACGAATGACTCGACAAGTAGCAATTTAGCCGTGTGTCAAAATCAACGAAGGCTTTGTCTCTTGATTTATGCCGAGTAGTTATTTTTGCAACGCAAAATTACTTTCCGTTGCTCTAAATTCCGATGATCAACTAAATAAGTTTTGTTTTGTTAGATGGAATTCGTGGAAGCAGACTATCGTAGTGGTAGCGACAGTGATGTTGATGTGGATACAGACAAGGCTTTACAAGAAACCAGCCATGGTCAGGACTTGCTGCCACAATGCAATGGGAAAAGTGAGAAGAATCGTACATCAAAACGCAAGCGAACAGAAGGGGGAAGGAGACGTATAAGAAAGATTTTGAGCGAAGAACAGTTAGACGCAGAAACATTGAGTGCTCAAAAGGAAGAACAGGAGAGACTACGTCGTTTAGAGCTGCAAAAGAGCTTGAATTTGGTACCTACTTCTCAATCCTCGCCACCACCATCTTCCCTTAGCAACCAGCCATCTGGCTCAGGCATTAATGGGTTAGCAACACCAGCTCATGTGGATATGTCTAGTAATGAGCCAAATAATGTAATTCTAATCAATGACAGTGATGACGACTGCAGTTTTACCGAGGGTTCTAACCATTTGTCTGATTGTGTTGTGATTTCCGACTCGGAGTCGGAATTAGAGGAGGATGAGAACAATCCCGAACCCGAGAATAGTGGTTGTCATACCAATGATGAGGTGAACCAGCCTGACGGCAATGGTCACGTGTTGGTGAATGTGAATCATCCTCCGAGCGAACCAGATATCTTTTTACCAATGCACCTCTCCATCCTAGTTAAACCACACCAGGTATAGCAAAGTCATCAAGGTTTGCGAAATCATTTTACTTCAGTACAATAGTATCACCTTGGGCAGCCAACTATGGTTCAGGTTTAAAATGAAAATAATTTAATCTTTGTGCCAGAGGGACCATAAATTTGTTGCACTCATTAGTCATACTTGCATCGGTCTTTAGATCGGAGATTTGCCTGGGTTTTTCTTAAGATACGTATCTACTGTATTTGTTTTTCTGACAACAAAACCAGACATGATGTCACTCATTTGTAATTGAGCAAAATGCATAAAGGGTGAACTCCTATTAATTTAGGGTACATAAAGTATGCTAGTTTTCAAATGCCTTTTCAATGCATGGTCAATTTGATAGTGAGAAAGGCAGCTATCTCACAGCACTTGGGTGTGGTGGTGTAGCTAAATGTCATTTTACTTCCCAAAAGCGACAGCTAATAATTTTTGTAAGGGGTTGGTATCTCATGGTTGCAGATTTGCTTGATTCGAACTGTTAATCCTCTTCTCTAGATTGGCGGAATTCGTTTCTTGTATGATAATTTGGTCGAATCCTTGTCGCGTTTCCAAGTGAGTCCCGGATTTGGTTGTATTCTCGCGCACTCGATGGGCCTCGGCAAAACGCTACAACTTGTCTGTTTTATCGACATATTCCTGCGATACACCGAAGCGAAGAAGGTGCTTTGCATCGTGCCGATGAACACGCTACAAAACTGGAACAGCGAGTTCAATAAGTGGCTTCCGGAAACGTCGTCCAAGACGCAAAGAGAAAAGTCGAAGATGCCAGAGGATGAGAAGGAACCCGAAGACTCCGATGATGAAAATTCCGGAAGAACGTTTCAAGTGTTCGTGTTGAGTGAAAACATGAAAACAACCGTTGCTCGGTCCAATTTGATTGGTGAGTTTTTATAGTGAAATTTTTGCGTCAGCGAATCAGAACGAAGGGTTTCTTAAAGTTTCCCTTCCAGTAAAAAAGCCCACTTCACAACCGTCACAACAAGAGGACGATTTGACCGAATTGGAAAATTTATCACTGATACGTTGCAAATCAAACTTGGTTTTTATGACTCCAACAAAAATCTTCGCTGGTGTTTTAAGGTGAATGCTTTTTTCAGGAAAATGGTCGAACGAAGGTGGTGTTTTGATCATGGGTTATGAAATGTATCGAATTCTTGCCATGTATACTCCATCCATGGTGAACAATACCAAATTGACGGCGAGCAAGCGAAGAAAAACGAACGTGACCGAAGTTATCGATCTGGAAGAAGAGGAACGGAACATGGATTTACTGCTTGGTACGTAGCGTACTTTTTTTCACAGCTGTAAGCTATCTTCTTAAGCTATCTTTTTTTTGTCTAAGCTATCTTGTTAAGCTATCTTTTGTTCTTGTCTAAGCTATCTTTTTTTTCAAAGCGTTGGGGTGTTTTCTTGTTATAGTATACAAAGCAATGAGTCGTTTTTCTGTCAAAGCATTGAGTTATGTTGTGTTCTTGATGTTGTAGCAAGAAGTCAAGATCAACACTGACTATTTTATGTAATAATATATAGGTTATTATATGTAATAATTTTGCTTCTTAATGCATGTAATATTTTTAACCTGCATGCATTCATAATATAGCATATAACAATTTATTGTAATGTGATGAAATTTCTTAAATTTTTAACCAAAAGCCCTCTTGAAAAACAGGTGCTCTGAAGAGCCACCGGCTTTGTATAATTTAAAAAATAATGATTATAACAACAGTCCTTATCAGGACTCTACCAACATTGACGATCTACATCTACAAACATGTAACAATACTCGCGGGTTGAAACCATTCACTTTATGGCGAGTAGTTGTTGTTGTTTTTGGTGGTGGTAGTCACTCTATCCATTGTTTTAGAAATTCAATCATCGTTGTGCAAACCTGGGCCGGATTTAATCGTTTGCGACGAAGGACATCGAATAAAGAACAGTCAAGCCAACACCTCGCAGGCGTTAAAGAAGGTCCACACTAGGTATGAGAACTTTCAAAACTACCGTACTGAACTTTGTAATTGGCCCATCTCATTTCGTCAAATTTGTACGGGAGAGCTTTTCCGAGTATGACGTTTGGTAACTTCCAAAAGAGGGACAATGTTACCATCTATGCGAATTTTTTACCAGATTCGCTCTGATTGGCTTAAACACTCTCCCTTCTTTTGAACTTTGCAACATAGTCGAAGCTCATCAGACCAGATCTAGTAAAAATATTGCGTATATGACCCTTGGGGGAGGGAATGCAATCGAGCTCATACTACGCTTCTGTTACTTTGCGTATATTTAACTGGAATGTAAAGGGAGTGCGCATGCGTTGATTTTTTATGTTCGTTGTAAAGATTGCTATTTTGTTTTAATACAACGTAGCTTTTTGTCCGTGATTAATTGATTTTGCTGTTTTGAGTGTTTTCGTCTATTGAATCAAAATCCACAATCCTGTCGTCTCTGCTTTATAGCTACGTAATAAACCCTTTCGATTCTAGATTTTGTTTCCAGTCAAAAGCCGTACTAATTTCTTAAATCAATTTCATCTCATATTAGACGTCGCGTTGTGTTGACCGGTTATCCGTTACAGAACAACTTGATGGAGTACTGGTGCATGGTTGATTTCGTGCGGCCAAATTTTCTTGGAACAAAACATGAATTCTCGAACATGTTCGAGAGACCAATCATCAACGGACAATGTGTTGATAGTACGGCATCTGTAAGTAGCGAAGATCGATGTTTCTGTCCCCGTGTAGGCGGCGGAACACGTTTCGCGATTGTGAGAGGTTCACATGTAATATAGTTAGGTAGTGTGCCCATGTTGGGATGAGTCGCCGCCATTTTTCACGTTGTCTTAGACGGAACATCACGTTTGCTGAATTTATATTATCTTATAGACAGGGGCCGGTTGCACGAAGCTAGGATGGCGTTATCCATTGCGTAGCAAGTTTTTTTTAACTTTTATAAAATCGTTTAAAAAGCAAAAAGTATAAGATTCGAACTGAACAATCACTGAAATAAACATTGTTTCAACGATTACGAAATTTCATCGTCGTAAGAAAAATATAAACACCTTTTTTACAAGTTTAAAAATTTTTGCTATCCAACGGATAACGCTATCCAGGCTTCGTGCAACCGGCCCCAGGACTGTACTAAGGTAGATAATTTGAGGGCTGATGTTTGATGTTCATTTATCATGACATGCCGAATTAGCTCCAGCTTAAATTTCATGTTTGTAGATGTAGACCGTCCAGGTTAGTGGAGTCCTAAAAAATGGACCGTTGCTGTTGGTGTTGACTGACATTTAAAAAATCTGACGGCAGTCTTATTCAAAGTTAGTGAGGAGTAACTTGCACTCGTAGTCTTCGCTTGAGTCTAAAGATGGCAACTGCTAAGGTTGTCGAAACGTCAGTCAACACCAGCACCGACAGTCTGTATCGGTAATCCTTCAGATCTTGACCATCTACATATGCAAACTTGCTTGGAACGGTACTCCCTGGTTCAAGTCGTCCAAGTCATGCATAAATTGCGTCAAAGAACGTGAAAAGATGTTATCCTGCATCGGTTTTTGGCCGGTCATTGTCCTTTATTTAGTGAATACGCGCCCTCCCCCCTCCCCCGACACAGCCCTGCTTCTACAGAGACTGATTATAGGTCTTCTTCATTTCACGTTGCTCAGTTTCTGCCATATTTTGTAGGATATCAAGTTGATGCGCTTTAGGGCGCACGTGCTGCACAGCTTACTGGAAGGCTTTGTTCAAAGGTGCGAGCTAAGTTTTTAAAGTAGAACTTTCTCGCGATATTTTTTGCAATGTTTCACCGTAAAATTCGACTGTCTTGCTTTTACGCATCTTGATGGATTTCGTTGTTTTTCTGCATTTTTCCAGGCGCAGCGAGGCCGTGTTGACAAAAACTTTACCAGAAAAAGATGAATATGTGATACCAATCAGGATGACTTCGATTCAAACATCGTTGTACAAGGCTTTTGTTTCATCCGTGAAAAACTATCTTGGCTTCATCAATCCAATCAGAGCTTTCAGCATGTCGATAAAGGTACGACTTATTGAGCTGTGGTCGAGATTCTTGATGTTTCTACGAATGGTTTATGTTGTTTTTTGGCTAAATCTTCATCGCGCCATTGATGTTAATTTAAATCTTAATCGATCATCAGTGTTTAATGTTAATCTTTGTTCTCATATTGGTGCTGACCGAAGTTCGATTAACTTTAGACAATTATGATTTGAAATGTTTATCATTCACGGCAAAGAATGTGGTATGATAATATGAATACTTCCCGAAGTTCGGGTGAATTTCAAGATGGCACGTGCAACAAAATTCGATGGAACTGGTTCATATTTCCTGCGTGGCTCACCACTGTAGCCACAATTGCAAATTTTTCCACTTGATCTGGTCTGATGAGCTTGCACTCTCTCACCAGCTTTATATAATTGCAAAATTCGGAACAGGGGGGGTGTTTAAGCTCGTTCTACCAGATGTGGTAAAAACCTGCATATACGTAAATAGTCACACTGCTTCTCACTCCCCCCTTTTTTTATGATGTACAAAATAGGGGGGAAGACATTGCTTTTCGCTTGTTACACGCTATCCAATTTCATACTATTTCCTAAGTAGTAAGTCAATTTTCTGAGCTCTGATGTTCTATTTTTCTCATATTTGATACATTGTCATTTGTTACAGATTTGGAATCATCCAGATATTCTTCACAATCATCTCGAAAGTAAAAAAGAAGCGAACACAAACGACTCGTCAATGGTCAGTATGACGAAATAAACTCTTCTATTCTAAGGGGCTGTTCGCATGAGCCCGGTAGCCGGGAATTCGGCGAAGTGTCGAATCATTTTGGCTAATGGAAAAGATTAAATATTTCACAACAAAAAACTTATTCGAGCAATTTCTCTGTGCTCTGACTTTGCGAATTCACAAAACCTTTAAAATGAAAACGAATAATTTAGCCTCATTTCAAAATTACAACTAAAATGACTTATGACGCTGAAGAGAAGGTTGTAAGTTTTGCGCTTAACATTTTTACTCCTTTCAATGACTCAAAATTATTTCACGCATCGCTGAATCCCGGTTACCGGGGTTGTGTGAACAGCCCCTAAATACCCTCCAGTATAAATGCGGACTTCTTCCAATTATATATTTTACATTGAATTACCGAAACTTGACGAAAGACCAGTTGCGTTTTTTTTGCGATAAGTGTATTTTTAAACTTTGAGCGAAGCCGAGACGACTGTTCAGAAACGGTGTAACGGGGGCGGGCGGAGGGAAAGATTTGCAGGTGATAACTTGTGACTACGAAGGGTAATCTGCTGCATGTATTACACATATACCCTTTCATTATTCACTGATTCCTGACTCATATGAAATACATAGAAAACCCACTAACGAAGGAGTTCAGGAAGGTTCGCGTGACGTGACAATAAAGCTTACCTTTTTACTACCGCTGACCAATATGTTTACATAGACTGCGTGTGATCCTGATCTCGACATTGGTGTTAACATGAACAAAAAGGCGAAACAATCGCCCAAGACCGAGACTCGAGTCCAGGCTGTTAGCTGCTCGTCAGATGTCAGTCTTTCTCCCGTTGATACAAAAGTCGTTGCTGGTCCAAGTGACTGGGTATGTTCATGTGTAAGATGTATTGTCGAAGGCATTTTTCTTGTTTTCTAGCAAATTCGTGCTATATGTAATATCAATTTAAATTTAAAAATTCAATGCCTTATATGTATTTGAATTTATAAAGATGTGTTTGAAAGTGCTAGAATTCGAATTTTTTTGATTGAATTTTTGTATACATGTCATTGCATTTCTTTTCAAAAGTGGATTTGAAATTGTATCGTGATGATGTTTTCAATGTTTTCTTATTCAAGTCTAGTTTTTCACGCAATTCAAGGTCTTTGTCGTCTTTAGATTTTTGAAAATACGTCCTTGAAAATCCTTGTAAAAGACATTACTTAAATTTCATTACTTTAGCATTGTACCAAACTTTGTACTTCTCATCGTAACTTTTGTATGCCGTTCTTTATTTCTCTTTATATCAGACGTGTGCACAATAGTCTGTTTAGGGTTTTCAACACTTTGCAATATGATGAGTTTCGGCTAGTCGTGGATGTTGTTCGGTTATGTTGTTATTCAAAATACTGATATGAAAACGTTGGGGCTCCATGTTTATATTGGATCAACTAAAACATGAATTCAAATGTCTCGCCTAGTTGAATTCGCAGTTTATTTCATAGAACATGAAGAAGGACATGTAAAAAGACTTATGAAAACACATGTAAAATAACATGTAACTAGGCATGTAACAAGACATGTAAAACAACATGTAACAAGGCATGTAACAATACATGTAAAACAACATGTAACAAGGCATGTATCAAGCCATGTATCAAGCCATGTAAAACAACATGTAACAAGGCATGTAACAACACATGTAAAACAACATGTAACAAGACATGTAAAACAACATGTAAAAAAGCGTATAAAAACACATGTAAAACAACATGTAACAAGGCGTGTTACAAGACATGTAAAGTCACATGGAAATGAGTTTTAGAACTTCGTTTGCCACTTTAATTGACTATTGACTAGTTTTCAAAGCTCATTTGTTATCGTTAAAGGTGTGCAACCTGCTGGACGAATACGAAACAGGCGTGTTGCAGAATGGTGCAAAAATGGTGGTTCTCGTGGAAATTATCGAGAAATCTGTTCAACTTGGCGACAAGATACTCGTTTTCAGGTGAGACTTCACTCTCAAAAAAATCGACATGAGCTTTCTGAAGTTACTGAAACAACATTCTGGGTGTGTTTAATGACCATTCGCGATTGATTGGATGGTCGCTTGTCAAATGTATTTCGAAATTGTTGTGAAGAAAACGCGTGAAAATTATTTTTGTAATTATTCTTATAAAAAATATTTTTCGTCTACACAGAGTTTCCTAGAAGGGCTTTGTGTAGATTATCAGTTTCGCTTACTTTTCAAGAAATTTGAGGTTTTTGTAAGATTGGTCCTGGACAAAAGCACATTTTTGTTGTATTTTCCTGTGTGTGTAGCTACGAACACTGAATATGCGAACGTGACAACATGTGGTTTAAGCGTATACGTGTCCATGCCTGAGTTGATACAATGAGTATTATTTTGAAAGTACTTGATCAATGTAGTTCAACCAATGTTGGTTTAACCAATTGAAAAGAATTTTAATGAAGTTTTTTTGTTTGTAACACCAAAAAGTTTGCCACTACCATTGTCGTGTTGATGCCTAAGGATCGAATGAGTGAAAATGACTTACATGTTCTGTTTCAGTCAAAGTTTGTCGACGTTGAGTATGATTGAAGTTTTTTTGAAAAAGCGAGCTGTTCCTCCATTGCCATCTCCATTCATTTTTCAATCCGAACATTGGGAAAGAAATAAGAACTATTACAGTAAGATTGAAATATATATATTATGCATGGTTGTCATTTTTCCTATCTGTGCTCTTGCCGCGCTCGCTTTTGTTCAACTTATTCTTTATCGATATTTAAGCAAAGACAAATCTTGAGTTGGCAAGCTCTGTCTATTTCACAAGATAGCCAGCTGAAAAACGATTATAGGATTTATAGGATAACATTTTCATGGATTCTTGAACCGTTTGGTTACGTGTTCTCTCTTACAATATCCTTACCGTTTCAATTTGTTTTCCTGCTGTTGTTTGCTTCCATTTTGGAAATCAATCTTCATCGAATATCTCCATACAACGAGACCGCGAAATCAATGTTGTAGAGTTTTTTCATTTCCCCCCAAAACTTTATTTTTCATTTTGTTTTCCCCAGGACTGGATGGTGGCACTTCCTCGCAAGAGCGCGAGAAATTGATCACAGCATTTAACGCAACGTCCAACAATTCTGTGTTCGTGTTTTTGTTGTCGACAAGGTTAGAAAAAACAGCATTTTACGTCTATGAAATGACCCACCGGGCCAGGACATCAATTTAATATCGACAATATTTTTCTTGTTTTTTTCCCACGCATGTACGAAAGGTATTTTTTATCGTTTTCCGTGTTGTGAAATTATTGACAAGACAAAACAATAATGAATGAACGTGTTAACAGCATGTCTTTACATAGCGTTTTCATCTTCATTTTTTGGTTTGGTTTTGTAGGGCTTGTAGTCTTGGAGTCAATTTAATTGGCGCCAACAGAGTGGTCATATTCGATGCGTCTTGGAACCCTTGCCACGATGCACAAGCCGTTTGCAGGTCTTAACAGATGGAGAGAATCCTTGAACAAACTTTATGGACTAACACAAAACATGGTATCTCGTTTCTATTCAGTATTTCTTTTTATTTAACAGGGTCTATAGATACGGTCAAACAAAGAAATGCTTTATATATCGTTTGGTTTGTTATGGTGCGTTTGAGAAACGCATGTACGAACGTCAGATTACGAAGGAAGGAATGTCCGGTAAGTAGTGCCTACTCCTCTCTATTTCTTTCGGTCGTTAATCTATTAGCGACTATAAATTAGCCAATTCCTCTATTGGTTGGTTAATTGCTCGTCAATTCATTTGTCTTAATTTAAGTTTCCCATTTTTGATATTTTAGATCGTGTCATCGACGAGTTGAATCCCGAAGCAAATTTGACAAAACAAGAAGTGTTGAATCTTTTTCGCGATACGGTAATGACTATGCACGGCCCTAGAGGTTAAGCCAACAGTTATGATCATCCACTAACCTACAAGTTAAGTTTGTAGTAATGACCATCCACTAACCTGCAGATTAATTTTACTGTAATGACCAGCCACTAACCTGCAGATTAATCCTATGGTAATGACCATCCACTAACCTACAAGTTAAGTCTATAATAATGACCATCCACTAACCTGCAGGTTAATCTTACTGTAATGACCATCCACTAACCTACAAGTTAAGTCTATAATAATGACCATCCACTAACCTGCAGGTTAATCTTACTGTAATGACCAGCCACTAACCTGCAAGTTAATTTTACTGTAATGATCATCCACTAACCTGCAGATTAATCTTATTCTAATGACCATCCACTAACCTACAAGTTAATCTTACAGGAATGACCAGCCACTATAACCTGCAAGTTAAGCGTGTAGTAATAACAATCCACTAATGTGCAGGCTAATCCTACGGTATTGACTAACCGCTGACTTGCAGTTTAGCCCTAGAATGTACAATTGAAAGTCATTGGATGATAGATATCGTTCCAAAGCTTCCCTGTTTGTAAATTAGATTAGATCGGACGTTGGAACTTAGAGCAAAATGATCCTTAAATTGATTGATGAAATATTTAGTAAAATCCTTGACAACTTTTGTTTCAATGCAGTTTCATGTTTATTTTGAAAGGAAAATCCATCATCTTTGGGATGTCATGTTTTTCAGTCAAAGTTATTTACTGTGGAATTGTATTTAATTTAAACACGTTGTATTGTCCCAAGGAGGAGAGCGATGGCAAAGACGAAGCTATTGATATTCCACCAAATCATTACCCGGACCTTGTATTGAATCACTTGTGTGCCACTTGTCCCAAGAGGATATGTGAGGTAATATAATGTTGAATATTGTCGCCTTGAAGGACAGTTTGGAACTCGTAAAGTCATCACGGCTTAGCATTTAGCAAAATTTCATAGTCCTGTTTTAAGTCGGTTCACTTCGCGTTTCCCTCATTTGTAAAAATGCATCTGTTCAAGGAAATCATCATTTGTGAAGAACTGTTCATTTATCCAGTTGATTTCAGTTAACTTTTCTTCTTTAGTAACATGTTTCAAGTATTTTTTATCCCGTCGTTGTTTTCTCAGATACCATTCAAACATAAAAAACAGTCGGCGCACAAACCTAGGAATATGTTGACCAAAGCTGAAAAACGCGAAGCCAAAAAAGGTTTGTCGTTTGTTGTTGATTATTTTTTCAATTATCGAAAAGTTTGGAAGTATAAATGGATGTCTCGCCTTACCTAAGAACATGTGCCATTTATTTACTTAAAGAAGATACTATCACTGTTTTCTACCCGTTTGAACTCAATACATTGGGCAGTGTATCTCGGTGTGAGGCTCTTTTTTCGATCCCGAAGAATAAATAATACCTATATTTCTGGTTACATTTCTCTGTTAAGAAAAAAGAATTGTCTCGTACAATGTAACGATTGATTTTTATTTATTTATACAGGATATGAACGTGAAAAGCGAGCTATTGATTTTGCTAATAGTCGTTGCAGTAATTTATCTTCTTCGATTCAAGACAGGTGAGTTGAATTTGTCGTTCGTTGTTTATTTCATCGAGAAGTTTATGTGCGGACAGATAATGAGAAAAAAATTACATCCTGAAATGATATAGCGCATGTCAACTTGTGATTAACGAACAAACTGATACGAGAACAGTCTTCGCTCTGCCCGAGATATAAACATGTGCCTTGGTTATATGTAAAACATTTTACGACTAATCTCCTAAATATTTTTGCAATGTTTGCTTTTGTATGGAGGCGTATAAGCTCATCGCAATTAGTCATTCGAAGTCAGCTAAACGCTACTTTGCGCATTCAATCCTCGAAGCACTGACATAAAACTTAGAAACCATGCATGTTTAAGGAATACTATTCTAAGGTTTTCCTGAAAGTATGATGTGAGCTATTTGTCAAAGTTGATTTGGATCACAGTACCTCTTTATAATGGACATTTCATTCATCGTATAGAGAGCAAGCTCATAAAGCGATAGTCGATCGTCCCGTTGGTCATGTAAAACCTATACAAAATCTTGAAACATCTTCAACGTCTCTTATTCGTCCTATGGGGTCTGGTATCTATGGTAATGGTCCATCCACAGCTAACCTTTTCCGTCCCAACTTACCATCGATAAGCCATCTCGCGGGTATGACGATTCCTCCTATTTTGAACAACAGGTGAGTACGGTGGGGGTTTGGGTAGTGGCATAGCCTGCCTTCGGGTTTGGTTGGGCGCGGTGGGGGGTCAGATAGTGGCATAGCCTGCCTTCGAATTTGGTTGGGTGCGTTGGGGGTTTGGGTAGTGGCATAGCCTGCCTGCCGGTTTGATCGTGTTGTATAGATTTCATCTCAGATCATCAACAGTATTTACACCGCAGAGCTCAACGGACAATAACCGGTTAAACATTGATTGGCCAAATTTTTACCTTGCCGGTCATTTTGAACGACTACATTTTCAGGTTATCCACAACAATTATGAGTTGGTTTTCTTTTCCATGTTTTTTTGAAAGATTGAATGAAAAACCGTGTTTGCTTTTGTTTTTATTTGCTTTCATACAGTATCGTTTGGCTCGTGTATCAACTTCTAAATCTATATTTGCATGTCGGCCAATTTTGCCTTACGAGGATTTGCCCAAAAGCAGAATAATGGGGAAATGTAGTACAAGGCTTTTAAAAATCTTGTTTGGAAAGTGCTTTCAAACGTTTTACAGAAAAACAGTATCCTAATTTTGAAATTCAAATATCGTTTGAAGCTATATATATTGCTAGTACAAAAGACATGAATAACTTGTCTCAATTATGTGCTTTGTGTGTCTTCATGAACAACTCAAGGTTTTTCCACTCGGGTCAATTTCGCTCGCTGTCACCCTTTCCGTTGAACCACACCATACCATATGGACATCCTGGAATGACGTACGGAGCTTCAATGACGGCCGTGTCAAGACCGCGAAGCGTGGATGTAATGACTTCCGAACCTCAAACGTTATGTGATGTGTCCATTGCACCTGTGGTGTCCGCTGATACCAATCATAGAAGTATCGCAGGCCTTCCCGACACTAAACTGGTTCCAATCAACAGCAGTCAAACTGGCGTCACTTTAAATAGTTCTTGTCATGATTCGGGTAAAATCAGTTCGAACAACACAGTGCAGAACAGTGCAGTAACAGAACCGAAAATTCGTGACTTCTCAAATGCGCTGTGATGATTTGTTGTTGATACAGCTCCTTCGGGTTCAGCCATTTATGCATTCGCAGTTATTCGTTGAAATATGTAGAAAAGCAGACAGAGGATGTCGGAAACAATTGTATTTCCCTTAAAGAAGAATAACAGAAAACGCTCGAACCAGCTTGAACAATGGTTCAAAATCAGATATGTATTTATGAAATGTATATATTACAATTTTGTGAAATATATTATCCATCCACGAGACAAAAAGATAAGTTATTGACAACTGTGTTCATACAACAAGTCCAAAAGACTCTTAGGTGTAGTCTTCTCAATGAAAGAGAGTAACTGGGCACTGAAATGAAGGGGGGAAGCTCTAGCTTTCATCATACACTTTGATTGAGGTGCTTTCGTTGTATGGTGAGTATTTAGGATAGCCTTCTCAATGAAAAAGTCTTCCAACACCGAAACAGAGAGAAACTTTTCCAGCATACGCTTTAACTGGAATTCGTCGGATGGAGATTTTTTGTTTCGCGAATTTGATTCTTGGGCGACATCAAATCATTTCGTCTTTGTCTTCAAGGAGGCTGTACAAACGAGAACAACATCAACGATAGACAGTTGATTTGACAAGTTTGTGTCATTTAACGACTCTTTGTGATATCCAATTCACCTTGTTAAAATACTTGTAATGTCTTAGATCTTGGATGTCTTCAGTCAAAACATAGGTGGGATGTTTTCGGTGGAAAATATTTCTTGCGATAGATTTTCATGTTTTGTTCCTTTGTTAAAACAGAGCTATTCTTAGTGCTTGCATGAAGTATCCTCGAGTTTGAAATTGAGCTACTATTCAAAATACCCATTTACTTTTAATTTGGAGTGCTTTACACCAAGGAGTGGTGTTGAAAAAAGTTGGAAAAGGGTTCAATTTGGTTTGTTATTTCTGAGCACAACGAGGTACATATATGCCTGTATTGACGACCTAGCATTGAGCGTGCTAAATTCATGACCGTTGATTAAAGATATGAGATAAAAATGAAGCGAAATGGTGATGCAATGCAATGATTAAAATAAATTCCTAAATCATTTTAAATTAGTCTTTGAAATACAATCACCAATCCATCTATATCATCTATTAAGAAATAAAAGATGTTTATGTGTTTGCACAGGCTTATGCAAAACGAAGAGACCTTTGAGAGAATTCAAGAGCAGATCAGTGCAAGCCCGAGACCGAAGGTCGAGGGTTGCACATGCTCGTTGCACATGCGTCTCCAAGGTTTGCCTAAGCCAGTGCAAACACGAAAAAAATCTTTTATTTTTTTTATAAAATAACGATAATGTGAAACAGACAAACATTTTAATTTTCCTCTAAAATGAATTTCATGCTTGATTTGTAAATTCTCTTTGACTGATTGATTGTTTTGATTGATTTGATTGGTTGAGCTCAGATGTGTTTTGCACAGGCTAATGCAAACACAGCTCTAGACCAATCAGCTCACGCGTTTAATTGTGTTTATTTTATAAACACCTATCATATATCCTTGTAAAAAAATCGGAAACAAGCAAAGTTTCTTAGAAATAAAGCCGTAGCGAGCCAGAAACCCAACCTTTTGTAAAAACATCACATGCAAGTACAAATATAATGAATTTGAAACTTTGGAATAAATTTCTCGAGATTTACCACGCAATGTTGCACGGACCATGTTGCCCTGTGTCCAATAGACTTAATACTGCTTTTATCTGACAGACCAACGTGGCTGTTGGTCATAATTACCGTAAAACACCAATGATTTCAAAGCAACGACTTTACGCTGTTTATCAAATAAAAATATGTAATATAGACCGTTTTTAACAACTTTGCACGAGGAAAAGTTGTGTAAACGAGTTTTTTCAATGAACGGACAGACGAACTTGCTCGGACAAGCGCGAGCAAGTTTTTTGATGAACGTAAAGAATTATTCTTGAGTGCTATTTCTTGAGAAACGAGGACAGCAGGACAGCGAAGAATATTTTTCTTTAAACGTGGTGAAAAGGTATTTTAGGGACCCTAAAGTACTTTGTTTTCTTAACTTTATTTTTTAAGTAATTTTGAAACGGCTGGATGAAGTTAAGGCGTGTGCTCCTGGATTGCGAAACAAACAGTTTATGGTTGTAATATTTTACATGATAATATTCTAACAGCTATTGGAAGCACTTACTTCGGTTAGTAACTTTTAGTTGGTAACTTCTATTTACAGTAATCCTAAAATATGGTATAAATTACATCGTTCTTGCGCTCGTGATTCTATTTTGTTCTACGTTTTCGTAAATATTTCCATAAGTATTTGACCTTATATTCTCGTATATTTCCTCGTCCTCGTATGTTTCCTCGTCATTCGAATCTTTCTGCTCCTCGTTGTAATCATATTCATCGCGAGGATTGGTCAAATTTACCTCGCGTTCGTCGTCATCAGTCGTGTTCTCTTCTTCAATGTTTACATTGAACTCATTCAAACTGTTTACTTGGTTGTCTTCTTCGTATTCCGAGGAAACATCGTTTTCCATTCTCGCGTCGACAGAATGATCTAGATTTGTTGAAATTTCCTTCTCGGTCGTCGATGGACTTTCTTCGTCCATAAATCCTTTATTAACCACGCTGTACAGTTCGTTGTTTGATATTTCTGTTTCTTGAAGACGTTTCAACTTCGCCGAAGTCGCTTCTGAATTCGACTGACCGATTTCGCTTTCCTCAAATTTTTCTTTTGTCAAAACATTCTTTTGATTCAAGAATCTTTTATCAACCACACTATACAATGCGTCTACCATTTCTTTACGGCATTCAAGGTTTTCTTGTTCAGCCGCAGATTGCAATTTATCGTCTTTTGGAGGATTAATGCAGACGTTAACGTTTTGATAAATAATATCTGTGTCATAATCTTCTTTGCCATTTGATATTTCGTCATTTATATTTGTCGTCGTTGCTCTCACATCATCATGTTTATCATTTGCCTCTTCAAGTGTGAAGTAATACCGACTTTCGGCATCATTCGTGTTCATTTCGTCGACTTTATCGTAGATATTCTCGGAAAAAATGATGTATTTGTCCTCTCCGTCCATTTGTGAATTCTTACCTATTTCCGATGCTTTAGTTTCCCTCTCTAAAGTATAGTAAATACGGCCGTCGTTGTTACCTCCATCTTCTTCTCCGTATTCTGTTTTTGACGCTTTTGATGTTTTGTATTTTGTTTTGTCGTACGAACTTGAAACTTCCTATAAGAAGTAACTATACGCATAAATGCGGAGACAATGTGTGACGGGGGAGGGGAGGTTTAGGATGACGCTTTCTTATCTTCATGAACTATACAGGAAAAAGATGAACACCGTCATGCAAGGGATTCAATTCCAATTCCACCGCCTGGACATTACTAAATATATAGTTCAAGTAGCAAACCTCATAGATGCTGACGTCTTCATAGATGTCCATTGTAAATGCGGTGTTTGTTAAGCCATCTACCCCACAGGTTTCGCAATCACTTCCTTTTAAAGAGAATTGTATTCATGAAGAAAACGTAAAATATTTTAGATTTAAAAACATGATACAATTTCCGTTTAGATTAAATGTGTTTTTTTTTACATTACAGAACGAACAAGCCCATTCTTTGCTTCTCGAAATATAGTTAACTGTTAATCATCCACACTTGCAAAAGAATCGTGCAAATTACAACGAATGTTTCTTTGGAAAATTTCGTTGTGACACGGCTTTTGGCCAATCAGCGCACGATATTTAAAAATTAAAATGCTTTATCGTGAATTTCAATAGTATATAAATTTCTATTTCATTGAATACTCACCATAGTTTGTCTTACTTTTGTCAGATATTTTCTTTGATTCTTTCCTGTATGCGAGAGATACGAATGGTAAATTAATATCACGTGGTCTTGGAAAAGAGAAAAATATCACAATATTACTACATTGATAAATATCAATGTAGTAATATTGTGCATGAGTGACTGAGTCATATACAATCGAAGTGTAAAGTGGTTAAAATTCTTTCAAAGATAAACGTAAATTGCCATCTTCCAGTTTTGCGTAAATATCTCTTATCAATATAAGTATTTCCTCTAGTAGTTTAAGTTAACGACAATTTCTTTTAAGTAAAAATGTTTCGGAAACTTGTCTACGTATCAGGGAAATTATCGTTCACATGAAATGTTTGATATCTATTGTGTTACTGAGAAGTCATGGAAAATGTCACGAGTATTCATGACGAAAATTTCAAATATTGGGCCCTGTCTTTCGTTGATTCAATAATCAAAATACCTTTTCTTTTCTTTGTAAGATCTGCGCCAAAACAAACAAGAGATTACGAGGACAATGCTTGCCAATGTAGAAGCGACCGTGAGAATAAGTGCAATCGTTTGATTCGTTTTCATTTCGATTGATTGTCGCTGAAATGAAATAGGAAGAGATACACTAAAATCACCAAACAGCACGAAGCGTAAATACTCACAAATTGCACTCGCGTCAATTATGGCCCCTTTTACCTAGGCAACGCATTGAAACATGAAGATTAGGATATATGGAAACGAAAACAATCTCTTTGTGCTCTCATTTGTTATGGTGCTGAATGGATACCTACAATACCCCCGTCTCCCCTCCCACGCCACCAGTTTCGAAAATTTCAAAACGTTTTACAACGAATGCCTGAGAACATGCACTTTCTTGTTCCTTGCGTAGAGACGTCTTTATTCATACTGTTGTGTAAACATTAGTTTTATGGTTTCGGAAAGTCGCTCGTGGCCTTTGTAGTAAAACGTTGTCGCAAACTGATCCTTATTCGAAGTAAAGGCATGTAAGCAAGGAAAATGTGCCTGCGTATGTTTCACGAACAATCATCCATTGTTGATCTTGCGCTACTCCAGGAGAACACGCGAAATCAGTTTTTAATTGCTCCTCAAGATTAAGTGAAGATTTGTGCTTTTGGCGTTTCGACAATTGAGCATAAGCATTTTTGCAGCAAGATCTCATCCTTCATCGAAGCTTCCTGCACGGTATTGCACAATGGATAAATAAAGCAGTCAATGTAAATGGCGTCATTTTCTTCATCATCATTTTTCCAATCATTGACTTCTTGCAGCAGTTTCGAGTGCCTAGTTTCAAATTTGAAGTTTCGATCCTCCTTCATCTCTGTTTACACTTTTTATAAAGAAAATTGATTACGGACTGGCGACATTATTGTGCTCAGACCTTGACATGCTTGTCGCACTCAATTTTACATATTCTCTATGTTAGGTTGTCGACAATATTTCTTACCATCGTGAAAATGAAAACAAACAAGGAAGGAACGAACTCTTAACCTTCTTCTCTGTATTTCATCGACGCTGAATGCATCTGTTTATTTGATGGGGTGCCGTTGTCAATAATTGCTCACCACGCGACACTTGCATCAGCATTTATCTAAGTCTACAGTAATTTGAATAATTTGTTCAAAGATTCTTTCTGTCGTCAGGAAACACAGAGTTTATCGTGCAAAGAATATGCGTGCCCCTACTCGTTTGAGTTTTGGGTGCGTCAAAGATTATGAAAATCGTCGTCAGACTGAAAGTGGATTTTCAATATCATCCGAATGTTTTTTACCATTGTTCATTTAAAAAGTCTTTACAAGGAAGTGGCTCTGTTTCAGTGGCGTAGAACCCCTGCTTATTTGGTCTTGATGTGCAAATTTACCGTGTTTCTATGGCCAAACAATAGTTTTTCCTGAAGGAAGTGAATGATGATGATAAAGTTCTGAAACTTTGCATAGCCTGAGCAAAACTTGTAGATTGACTATCTCGCTAGGTCACTGGCTCCATCATAATTTATAAGTTCGTTGTCGGCCTCTCATGTTTGTATCAAAAATCGTCAATGATCAATATCAATATTGTAGAACAGGAAAGCATTTATTTGCCGTCTTTCTTTGCTGTGACAACCAGCAAAGAGGTTGTCGTCTTTCTTTGCTGTGTCTACCAAAGGGCTTTGAATCATTCTGGTCGTGGGCTGGTTCTATTTGCAATTTTACTCTTTCATGAAAAATAGGTTAGCGAATAGGTCTAAATAAGTCGATACGCTGATGCTCAAAACATATGAACTTCATCGAAATTCTTTTCGATTAGCAACGAACATGGCGGTAATATGGAAAATGCTCTTTAAGCATGTTCAAGCGCATTGCTTGAATGAAGCATGCGACCAGTATCGACATAAGAACAACCATAATAGATCAAAATCAAAAGAGTTACTGATAAAAAATTAAATGAAATTTCAGTCCTGGCTAAAAATCTGTCATGTAATCGTTTCAGCCCGGGCTGAAATCACTGCTGAAAATATTCACGCACGCGTTTTGGCCCGGTCTAAACACCGGGCTGAAAGTGACCATATAATCACACAAAATTTCAGCCCGGGCTGAAATTGCTCAATATATTCGGCCCCGAAATTATCCTTATATTGCCCATCACCATGATGATAAAATTAAATTTAATCTTCAAATTTTTCAAGTTAGCGTTCTGAACACAATCACTGATCACGACTGCCTTCACACTCTTCTAAATAATAGTAACCCCTTACTGTTATATAGACTATAAAATACTTCTACAATTCTCTCCCATTTGCCGTTCTGAGAAGGAACGACCTCACACACTTTCAGATAACAATAACCCATTACTCTTTGACTCTTATGAACTCTCAACTACTTCGAAAATCCTCTCCCATTTACCGTTCTGATTACAATCATTGATGACGAACGCCCTCACACACTTTAGATAACAATAAGCCATCACTCTTCGACTCTTATGAACTCTAAACTTAGTAAACTACTTCTAAAATCCTTAATTCGTAATTTTGAATACATCAAACAATCACTCACCCATATTCTTCCAAATAATAATAATCCTTGAACGCCTTCTAATCTACCCCGAACCCCCCATTATTAGTTTTCATTCGCAATTAAATAAGTCAAATGTCCATCAATTCCCAAAACATGATCTCAATCATGTTACAAAAAAAATTCAATGTATACACAGTTATGACGTCAACAGGAAAGGCTGGAAAACCCCATTGTCTATTGCCGGTTTTCTGCCGTGTCATTATCCGCCCAAATAGCTAAAACACTAGCAGTAAAATATAGCTGATCGAGACAGTATTTTTTTCTAGCCTGGAATGACAACTTACTGTATCCATTTTAGTGTATGAAGGTAAAATATCTGCGTTAAAAATATGTGTCGTTTTGTGGTTCTACCGATGAAAATCCGTATGGGTTTGGAAAATGTTTTGCATTCGATTACCAGCGAGCAACAATTCTGATTAAGAACAACGGCTTTTGCATTACTTTTTCATAAAAGATCACTTTTCCCTATTAATTAAAGAGCAAATGATGATTTTTTAATGCACCCGATTTTGAAGCGAGCGTTTCACATGCCTTCACAAATTCCTGTTCTTTTAACAAGTTAGCCTTTGATACATCGATATAGAATTTAAATAAATAGCGATTATCGATCAATTATAATCAATCTATCTATGTATTATCTAATCTATCAAACCTTAGCCAAACTGACTTAATTTATCAGCACGGAATAACTCTTCGACGCTATCAATTCTAGACTGTTCCTTCTTAGGATGAAGTGCAGATTCTCCGTTCTTGATATTTTGTCAATCCAGGAGGACGCCCGAAACCAGTTTTAAATTCTTCTTCTTCGGTTTAAGTAAAGATTCCCCTTCATTGATCCTTCGCTACTTCTGGAGAACACCTGGAATCAGTTGTAAATCATTTCTTTTCGAGACTTAGAGAAGATCCTAGCAGCTTTAAGCGTTTTGTAACTGGAGAAAACTGAAGCCAAACGTATTTATTTCATTACAAGTAGCTCTGTCAGTTTTCAACTGTTCCTTCTTCAGGTAAAGCGAAGATCATCCTATCTTGGTCACTCAGCCTGTCTGTGGACGACTCTAGTCGATTAAGATTCGTCTTATGGCCTTCTCTTTGTAACATTTTGGCAAACAAAGCAATAGTTATCTAACAATTATAGTTATAGCTATCCATTCCCTTGGTTATGTGCTGGAGTCCATGAAATTTTCCCCTCAACATATGTTGAAACAAATGTCATCGTGGTTTTTTCCTGCAAGCTAGGGTATCCTAAATTGTGCGCTGGGTTTTGGTTTGATGATCGATTTCTGATTGGACTTTGGTCTTTCTTTTTCTTCGCCCTGTATAAATGATGTAAATGTTAGATATAATCCTGAGAAAGGTGGTGTCGGCTGGTAAAAAGTGTGTTTCTCGTCTTTGTAGAGTTTGCAGAAACATTTTTCCAGCATGTTTTAAATTTTACGTATTTCTTGAATCAACTATTGGAGTCAAGTTACGCAAAGAGATTTTATTTTTTAATCGTATCAGTTGCTTCCTATACAAGTATAAAAATTCTTCTGGGAGCGCGGAAGATTGATCATTCGCATATGATGTACTAGTGTATTGATTCCTGTTAAAATCAACTGTGATTATGGCCTAAAGCGGATTAAAACATAAGAATACATGAATGCCCCCCCAATCATCATTCTTCTGCTATCCCTGTACATGTTTATTTATCAGTAAAAAGTATTCACTTATACTCGAGGCTCACGATAACAATTTCATTATTTAATCAATAGGTCAGTTGTTAACATGTTCATTTGTGCCTTTTATACTTACTGGAACAGGGGATTCATGTAGTATCTTTAGATACGTATGTTCCGGCTCGAGGCCACCGTTTCTCAATGGAAACTCTTGTGATCTCCGTAATCTATTCACACTCTCCACATACGTGTACTCGTGGTCATGCTGTGGCCGAGGGGTGGAGCCCCTCAACGTGCTCTGGGTAACCCTCAATCGGGATTAAGTAATCATGATCGATTATTTGATCCGTCGCCGTCGAGTTCTGGTAGTAGAGTGACGACATGGTTTCTGGACTTGAACTTAGGGAATCCGAGGTCGTATTTGGTTGGGTAGCGCTGTTCTTGGACGAAGTGCCTGAATATCGACTTATGTTCAGGTTGCTGACAGCATAATACAATGGACCATCTGCGAAGACCAAGAAAAGCAATTTGAAATGCGTGGTCTACACATGGTTGTGTCTTAAATTGCAAACGGAAGAGCTTTTTTCATGTAGACATGACTATTTTTCACACACTTTAGTATAAATTTATTCGCGTGGTCGCTTATAAAATCAATAGGAACTTTGCTCTCGATTTTGCTAACGAAGGTAAAATTGGATGCAGTTTTTGTTTGCAACATGTGTATTACAGTTTCCTCATCAAACATCCTGCTATTTAGAGCTCTTGTTGGCGTAATGTAATATGAAAGGGCTGTTGTAACTGGAGAAGGCTGTGGCGAGTTCCCTGCCATTTGACGATTATCTAAACACCCATGTATTGTTCATCCTTACGTGTTTGTACCTATAGCATGTTCTTCCTTTACCTGGTTCAAAAACTCTTTTGATTGAATTCGTTATGTTTTGATCCTTTATGTCCTTTTCCGAACTCTTTCCCGGTTCATTCCTTGCTGCTGTTCTGTTCGATAAAGAAAATAATGATCATTGATTTTTTATTGAAAATGGATTTTCAACACTGCATTTGATATAGACTTTTAATTTTGTATCGTCTTAAAGAATGCATTTCCTATGTGGTAACTAGAAGATTAAAACCTAGGTAGTTGTGAGAAGTACTTTAGGAAATCATGCATTACTATGTACTGATGAGTCAACGTCTGCTAACTTCAAAAGCGAGTGATTTATAGATACATATTGAAATCATTCACTCTCAAGATTGGCAGACTGAAATACTTAAGGAGTAGAGATGTGTTAGATTCTTTTGAGCATTCGCTCTTCATAACTGGTCTGATTTGTCTCTCTTGCCTTCGAATTTTTCCCAAATTTTAAGATTACCAGGTTTCCCAGTTTGGATGGCATTAAGAAATTCTACTATAGATTTTAATATTTTATTCCGATTCTGCTTTTACACCGTTTTGTAACAATTTAATATCATTGATGACCTGGTTGGATCTACAGTTTAAAAATCAAATTAATCGTCGATTTTTCTTGAAAACTCGAGGAGTTTATTTTTGTTCATAAAAAGCCATCCACTTATTTTATTAGTTGCGTCAACCATCGGTTTTTTTGTTTGGTTTGGAGGGCCGACTGTTTTGAATTATACATTCAAATGCCATATCCCTGAAAATATTGGGACGGTTTCCACTCCTGTTGTTCTCCAGTTGCTGGCGGTCTGGAGCCATTACCTCTTATGTCTGTTACCCGCACTAGTTTTCCGCTGATTAAATATATTTAGCTAACGTCAAATCAAAAACGAATTCGCGAAAGCTTTCACATACCTTCGACGTCGCTTGACACGACAACACATTACGACAAAGAATACCAATAATGTCGCAAATAGTGCAACCCCTATGCTCGTAAAAAATATCCACGAGTACAAGATTTCATGAATGCCGCCTTGAATAGCGCTCTTGGTGGTGAAATGTGGAACAACGACGTGTATGGAAGTAATAGTATTATTGAGTTTCGTCAAGTTCCGGTTTTGAGCTGGTGATGATGATGGGATGGGATGGGATGGTAAGATGCTGTCGTTACTGGGTGCCATTCTTTATTATTGACTACAATTTAAGATGATGAATTTAATTGATATTGAAGCTTGAAAGCTGCATGCTCATGCTGGGACATATTTGATGATGGGATTTTTTTTCCTCATTAATACAAAGAATTCATAGTAAAATTAGAATCCCATGAAAATTGAAATGCTTGAACAGGGAAATTGCAATGTAGCAGACTCCGTCGAGTTATATATAACTTAAAAAAGTTGCCTACCTATGCTTGGCAACTCAACCCATTCATTCTGAAATCATTCTAAATTAGGCAGGCTTGTTTTAAGGGCTATTGACATAAGCCTTGTAGCTCAAGATTTAGCGAAACGTTGAACAATTTTGAGTGATAGAAACGATCCAATACTCAATATTTGACAAATTCACATAGGCATTTTCACTATATTCCCACTTTATAAATATATAGTAGGTAAAAATGGCAATATCTAATTGTCCAATTTGTATCAACATGAAAATTACCATAGGAAGTTAGGATTTAGGAACCAAATATTGTCTTTTTACATTTGACGTAACGATCTTTTCAACATCTCAAATCACTCCATAACTTACTGAGTTCATGTTAGCCAAGCTCATGTTACTTGTTACTTGAGAATGTACTGTGCAATGAGCAACAAGACCATCGCTGCTTTTCATTTTACTCTCAAAAGAAATATTGCTCGTGATGTTTCAGAGTTCAAGCTAAGCCAAGAATAAACTTCTCATTTCCTCCTTTAGTGAGCTGGAAAAGTCGCGCTTTAAGCGCTATTGTTTACTTCATGTCGGCACCATATAAGGAATTAAAGGCTGCTTTGAAAGTTATATTTCATGTTGGCCTTCCCAAAACCTTATTCGAAAGTATAAGACACTATCATGTGAGTGCGAATGAGGCCCAGCTTTGTAAAGCCATATTACACGTGAAAACTCAAATCGAAAGTATCAAGTCGTCGAAGAGGGAACACAAAAGCCTGCTACACTGATTTCTGTTCCAACCCCCCATTACGTCATCACGACAATTACTCATCAAGGTAGTATTGGAATCAATGTACGCGAAACAATCAATCATAAACCCTTTATTTTTCCTACTACCGAACCCAGTTGCTTATCTACCACAATTTATTGACGATTGGCTGACTTAAATCAACTGATGTAAAGTTCAAGCTGTGTCATGTAAGATCATTAAAACTTTGTCATGTAAAATTATTGATTATTCTTAAAATCACAATACCTAATCAGATTCACTGAGTATGCAATGTTAGGAAACAAATCGCTTCCAACCGCTGTAACGTTGTGGATTGCCGTGAAGAGATATTCGTGGTGGCGTTTTAGTTTCTGATGGCTGACGTTGTACCAGAAGAAGCTAATTGCTACACAAACTTCGTCTTTCTACATTGAAAACATCAAGATGCCCAACTCATGTAAATAACAAACATAACCACTATATAATTTTAATAACACTCAATATTTATGAACCGTACTCTTGACATATAAAGTATTTTTGTATATTATGTATTGTTCTCCATAATCCACCTTTCCGTCGATTTTAAGTTAGTCTATTTTAGTTTAGGTTTGGTCCGTTTGAAAGCCCTCGTGTCTATAAATTGAATTGTAAATTTTCAGAATCTCCATTAACAGTACATTCAATATCCGAAATCAGAATTGAAATTGCCGTCTATTTTGGGAGATATTTACTCAGCTTGGGGGTAGCTAGTCGCTGGTGGTTAAATCAATGTCGTGAAAATTTAAAACAAAATTCTTGCTTTTACTATACACGTTGAAATTATTTAATATCGTGTAATAAAAATTACGCGGGGAAAAAGTCCGCTCGGCAAGTCTCTCGCTTCTATTTAATATCGCCCTTTCTTTCAGGGTCATTTAAAAAGTTCATACGTTAAGATTCAAAAGATTTAAAATTCAGTATTAAATACGACACAGTTCGTCAACAAATATAGCTAGGAACCGATACTACAGAAGTAGGAACGTTTGATTTTGCTTTCCATCAAACTTGCCTAGATATTGTCATATGACTGAATTGTTGTACGGTGGTACCTCAAATGATGCTACAAATAAGGTATTTTTGTTAGTCTTAATGAAAAATCAGATGAGGAAAAGTTTTTTGCACCAAAAAGATGAAAAAGCTAAAATTTCAATACTTTCCATCTTCACTCTTCAACATCACAAATTTTTTATCAATATTGCACAATAGCCGTTCGTTAACGATCGTCACTTTTTCTTCAGAGGCCATAATTTGATGAAATTAAAACTGAAACATCGCGAATTGGTCGAGAAGTGTAATATCCAATTCCTCAAACTAATAATCAAGCTACTCTCAATGAAAGAACACAAAAATGGTACTAAAAGGTCAGCTGGGTGCAAATTTACGATCATCGGCAGCAAAGCCTACGATATCCGCTCATTCGTTCATCATCCCTTTTATCTGCCATTCGGGGTTCTTTCATTGCATTGATTGCTCGAACACCTAGGCTCTCGTCATTTCAAACAACACATGGTTGTCTTGATCAGATAAGAACAAGTGTATCAGAGTATAAAATATTAGTAAATTAACACTAAACAAACAAGAATTTACAAAACAAACGACGAATAACATTAGGCACAAACACATAAGCGATAACATGAACCATAAACTTGACAAATTTCACAAATATTGGACAAAAAATGAAACATACTACACAAGTGGCACAACACGTAAACAAAGATACAATCAAAATGGCAACGTTCGATTGGCACTTCCACTTTTCTAGAACAATTTCACTGGAATATGAATATTCATTTCTGAATACTTTTGAAATTTGAACAACTCGTTAAATTAGTTAAATTCATTCGTTAAACTTTTTAACTTTTTCCCTTAAATTTGTAACGAACATGTCTTTCAAATATGAGACAAAATAACGGAGTCAATCAGTCAATGCTTTACAAGATCTCTGAAGCTTCCTTTTGATAAATTTGCCGGCACGTTTGAACTTTTAAGTATCAAAATTTCGATTTTGAATGAAGATAAACTAGGTATTTAAATGAATTCTACGTTCAAATTATTTTCTTTTTTCCTAAAGAGAAGAAAGAAAGTTTAATTTGGATGTTTTATTCTGTGGTTAGAGACCATTGTTAGAGACTGACTTTACAGAACACTCGATGGAAGCATTCCGTAAATTTTAATATAGCGACAAAAAAGCGTATAATTATTCGACCACTATAATTTTCCAATATGGCGGACGAAAGTGCTCAACAAAACGAGAAGTCCACAACTTGTACGTTTTTTAAGAAAACAAAGCGAAAAGGAAACGTTCGTAAACGAAAAGCGGACAGCTCGGGAAGCGAAGACGAGACTTCCGTGGTCAGACTGGAAAAGAGAGTGGCGCCCAACCCATTGAGACAAAAAACTGGCACGGCCACGCGAAGTTGGGAAACAGAAAAAACATCATCAAGAGAAAACGACCTTGGAAAGACAGGTAGGCTGTTGCCCGGGTAGTTAATAAGGATAAAACTTATAAAGCCATGCATTCGGTATCAATGTTCTGTAAATCCACCATATTTAAATAAAAATAAATATGGTCGCGCAAGAGGCATGTTACAATTAGGATCAGCACGTGTGTTGTTGCAAATGGGAAAAGCAGTCTATTGCCTTGGGCTGTCAAGCATTTCAAGGAACTGCTTGCTTAAAAATGAGGACCTTTAAGTTGCCTTGTAAAATTTACCATGGAAGTTCTTGCATTAGGTTCTGATAATGGAAGTGACAAGACTGGCAAACCCAAATTTTCATTTAAATCAACAAGATCGGCTATGAGTAGTGGTCCCCTGGATGCTGGAGCAACATCCATTAACGAGGTCGATACACAAGCTGACCGGGATGCTCAGGCAATTTTTGAACGAAAATTGGCTGCAAATAAGAACAAAATGAATGAGCAAGATGACATGGTGTATCTTTTGTAATAACACATTGGAGTGCTGTAAAAGTTGTTGAAAATGAAGTGTGTCACAAGTCCATTGTTCTTTGGTAGATGTATTGCAGGTTTTGTGATAAACATAGTTTTGTAGTTCTCGCGAATAAGTTAGTCTCTATGTTCTGCTCTATAAACCTCACTATAGTGTGATGTGTTTGGTGGAGCTTTAAAAATTATATCAATAAATATTATTAACGTGTGGCGGTACTTTTGCTCGTACCCATGCCTCTTGCCGCTCGCACCTCATTTTAACCCATTTCCCAGGCACGGGCCGATACGTGCGCCTGCAAACATACGGGTGACGACACGATGGGATTATCAACCAGACATCTGCAAAGATTACAAGGAGACCGGTTTTTGTGGTTTCGGAGACAGTTGCAAGTTCTTGCACGATCGTAGTGATTACAAACACGGTTGGCAACTCGAACGGGAGGTGGATGAAGGCAACTACAACCGACAGGACCCGCACAAATACGAGGTCTCCAGTGACGAAGATGACGATCTGCCTTTCGCTTGTTTCATTTGTCGAGAATGCTTCACGAACCCCGTTGTCACCAAGTGTAGGCATTATTTCTGCGAGCGGTGTGCGCTTGCGCATCATAAGAAATCCAAACGATGTTTTGTCTGTAATCAAGCCACGCAGGGCGTGTTTAATCCGGCGAAAGAACTTATTAAAAAAATCAACGAACAGAAATTGAACGAGGAGAGGGATATTTGATGACAGAGACTGTTCAATCTTTCATTACTTCATATTGAAAGGTTGATAAGCGGGATGGCTGGAAATCCCAAGCAGCCGTCGTTGAGCTAGTGTGCAGTTCCCGGACCATGCACTTGGTCTTCGGTGAAATGAAAGACGGTAATTCCTCCAATTTTCTCGAGCTCAATGAAATTTGCAAAGTATTTGTACCAGTATTGATTTGAGGAAAAATTTTCGTTTTCTGTATAATATCATTGCTCTGCTCGAAAAATATTAAAACTGCAACCGGAAAGATCATTAATACTTGCGGAACCTCCTACGAAGAACTAAGCAGACGCTATTTACAACAGTCTGGCAGCCTGCATACTTTTTTAGACGACGCAAAGATTATGTTTCGAAGATTAAGTTTTTTTCCTCGAGCTACTGTTAGTTGTGTTTTCAACTATCAACGATGTTCTAAAGAAAAACGCCATCACAGATGTTGCTGGTTTACTATTGAAGATTTCTAAATTATTTTTGTAAAGACAGCAGAAATATGGCGATACGCGAATAAATGTAAATCAACGTTCGTATTAGATTAGTCAATGTACAAACTGCTAAAACATTCTCGTTTCGGCCGTTTCTCGTTGATCTTTGTTAAATAATTTCTATGAATTAAATAGTTAGTGACTGCTCCAACAACGAGAATTCGATGACTTTGTCATAGATAAGAGCACATATTTTATTGTCCTAGTTAAATCTCTCGCTTTCCTAGAGTTTTTCAGTACTGTTTTCACATTGCCGCAGTCCCAAGTTGATTTGCGCGGCTCTGTGGTTTGATATGCTCTCTTCCTACAAAGTAAACAACAAAAATGTTGAAATCCGGACACATTATCCCCAGACCCATTAAATTGCGTCCTTTTTTATGAAAGTAATCACTTCGTGAAAAGGTTTCCCTCGGACTGTGGAAAGCGAGTCGGAAGACGGTTGAGCTTAAAAATATTACGTTCATCAACTAAAGAAATCCACGATTTCTATCTTCATTTACATTTTTAAGATTTCTTCACATTTTCCAGATGATTTTCCCAGGATATAACGCATATTCTTACCGTAGTGGTGATTTCAGTGGGTGTATTGCAGGCTGCTTTGCGTTTTTCAGCGCGATAACCACGTATCATGAAAAATGCCATCATTGTTATGATCAAAAACGAGTGTAACTCCGATTATTATCGCCAGAGTCGTTTTGCTGACGTCCTCTTCTTGCTTGCCTAGAAAGGTGAATGAAGACGAGTTTTCGCACAAAAATACACGTTAGCAGAAAAGAAAACACTTGCAGCTTTAACTAAACTTATTTCTGAGCACGCGCTTACTTGATTGAGTTGTGGTTTTCTTATCTTCCGATTTCGTTTCGTTTGTATTGCAATGGACTGCTATGAATTGAAGGAGGAGGTTTGCCAAAATCGTCCGTTGTTCAGGGAGCATTTTATCGCGCTGTACGAAAAAATTAACGCGATATTTAGAGGACGCAATTTCGACAAAACAAAATAACAGCTCAAATTGCCCCGACAAATATTTCCACAACAGCCATGTAATCAACTACGAACGATTAAATTTGTCTCGAAAGTGAGTTATGGCTCAAATTTTACAGTTAGCATTCCTGTCTAAAGTTACAAGTTGCTGATCTCATTTTGGATTTTTTTTTCTTTTTTGATACGAACGAGAAAAAGTCTCTTACGAACATCCTTTACCAAACAAACACAGCAACTCATGTGTCACCACAAGTGCGTCATGCAAAAGGATTCTCTAATTTTTTTAACCGACTTGTAGAGTGTACCAAAGGGCTGATTTTATGAAGCAAGTGCTCTCGGCTAGCAGAGTTGAAAACTGAATACAATGAAAAAATCACGTGTTAAGGGCTTCTGTTTAGGATCTCCAGACTTCGACCTACCTAGCTAAGACAACCAGTCTCGTGAAATGAAACCTTTATCCTACAATCTATGGTGTCGTTGTTTCGATAAACATAATCCTTGCTTACGCACAACACGCATTCGAAGATTCTAAGGGCTCATACCGGGAAGTCGCTCAGTTTGATGACGTGGAGCGCCTATTGTTTACCGTATGAAACCCAATTAAACTGCGTGTGATTTTCCTGAGCAAACTCAAACCTTTCACAATATTTAAGGTATTGCATAATGCATAAAGTAATTTTATCCTAGTGATGTCTTCAATTTGCGAAATGTTGATGAGAACGTTGATCAGTATGAACCCAGTATGGAGCCCAAATGTTTTTCTCATCGCTTTGAGATACTGCTAACAAATGCAAAGAAACAATTCAACAAGTTTTGTGTGTGCAACTATAAAAGTTAGACTGTCGACTATATTTTATGTTAATGACGTTGTTCGCATAACAGCCCAGCATATGTAAAAATTATTGGGAAATATGAACGCTCACCCCCGAATGAACGAACACCCCCATAACGACCATTCATCTTTTTCAACGAAAAGAGCATATGGCTTTAATTGAACAAATACACGCCATAATGGTCTAACAGCGCGCGACACATGTGGGAGACACGTGGCCGATACCGGTACCAAAGAAAACAATCCCCGAACGCGCAAGCACGCTTCAATTCTTATGGCTCTGACTTTAGTGAAATCATTTAACGTCTAGATGTGAACGAAAATGATTTCATTCTCGAGGCAACACATTTTCTTACACTTTCACGACCGAGCCCATGTTTTGGTATGTTTGACGGTATGATTGACTAGGTCCAATATAATCTTGAATGTTAACTGTTACCATTATGCCTGCTTTATTAGGCAGTTGTACATACGACCGTAAGGTAATACTGTATTAGTCATCAGAGACACAACTCCTCAACTGATTTTTCAACATACTTCATTCATTACGGCACTCATTCAATAAGATCGTTGGATTTTTTAGTACTATTTTGATGTTCAGAGAACACCGTCTTTGTAGGTGAAGTTTTTGCGAAGAGAGGTACACTTACCTTTTTGGCCAATATTTGTTACCAATCCTAGTTCGCCAAACACATATATGTACAGTTCTTTAGAAACAATTGCGTTTGAGGAGTTTTAGTATGAAATGACGGCAGACGTGTTTTTTTGCCGTATCGTGTTACCGCGTGGGTTTGGGGATTCAACTCTCATGGCGAAGACGTGTTCTTCACGTGGACACTTGTATTGGTGTAAACTATGAGCGCGTGCTGCTGCTGTCAAGTGTATTGAACGCGTCAAATCCACATGGTCAAATCGTACATTAATGGTGCCTTGAGGGAAAAGTTGAGTGAACACCCGGCATAAATAAACGACAAATCAGTAGAGAGAAAAGCGAGAAAATGGATTTCAATGTAAATTTTCAGAATGGAAATTTCCTTAGAAAACTGTACATGCACCGTCAGCGTTAATAAGGATTTCCCTTGCATAATTTAATTTAGTACATCACTACATTAATGAAGTGTAAGTATATACCTCTTCAAATAACTATGTACACCTACACGCAAAGAATGCTCTAGTCTTTCATACTATACACATTTCTTTAGATTAGTCATAACACCATTTTAAACAACTGAAGAGAGATCGATAAATTCTAATCTTTCACGACAAACTGTTTCTCAGTGTAAGTTTTACATTCGTATCAGCAAATTTGCGATGCCATGGTGTTATCATAAAACTTCTTCCTCGTAATCATGTGATGTGTCCGCTTTCTTAGATCCACTTTTATCGTGCTACAAGCATGAAATAAATTACTTTAGAAATCTAAAAATACTGAGAATGCAATGTTAAACAATTGATGGGTTACATGATGGGCTGATTAGCAACCAATATTGGTTACAATCAGCTACCAATTATGGTTACAATCGGCTACCAATAATGGTTACAATCAGCAAGCAAGCAATCATGGTTACAAACTGAAAACTGCTTAAAAAGTGAAAATTGATTGGTTACATGATTGCTACTCATCAACCAATAATTGCTTGAGGTTTGTAATTGTTTATAATCAACTGTAAAATTTTTTCGACGTTGTAAATTTTAATTTCATGCTAGCTGGGCGATTTATCTCTTGAAAGTTCGGCAAACTAAGCCAGTATTGTGCCATGCCATTATAGGTGTTTAGTCAACCAATTCTACCCAGCATGCATTTGTCTCCACTCAGAGAACACGTAAAAGCATGCCATGGAACTTCAAGGTCAGTGCTGATCACGAATTTGCTCAGGTCGTGCTGTTTCGCGATAGAAGAGTCTAAAATCTTGACTGGCGCTTAAAGGGATAAAACAGTACATAGAAGTAGCAATTTCACCAAAAACGCGGAAGTGAGTTCTTTGGATTTCGGAAACAAAGAGCTAGAATTCGAAAATTGGAATCAAAAAACATCCAGCGAGGAACATGGTGGAAAAACTTCTGGTCTTGTAGCCTTGTTAGAAAAAACTTGGCTTACTAACGAACAATTTTCTGAATTATGTTCGTTAAGTTTTAAAGTCCTCTCGTAGAAGCGACAGCCAAGCCTAACCCCCTGTTCCCGCCAAGAAGAGAAGACAAGCTGTTCAGACAACAAAGCCGAATTCGTCAGAACATGCAGGGTCAACGGATGAGCACCTCACGAGTATCTGGCCGAATCGCAAAGGTCTTTATGATGCTGTTAACAGCGTTTAGCATTGGGAATTATCAAGAAAGCATTGCTGCTATGGCCGAGAGAAAAACGATCAACTCGTGAATGTATAACCGATGATATGGTTGATAATTATAAGTGGAAAGTACCGTCATGAAGAACTCAATACCCACGTCAGACTGTAAAATAGTGAAAATTGTCAAAGCACCCATAGTTGCTGAAAGCAATGGCGGGAGCTTGTGAAATGTACAAAAACGGCACGACTTTCGTGTTTCCAGGCCGCAAAAAGCCTTGACAAATGCATTTCCCACTTGCACGTATAATTAAGCGAAGCAATGGGCGAGAAGCACTAAACTCGAAGTCACAGGCATTCTTAAAGTGTCGCAAGTTTTTTCAAACATTAACTGCAGCAAGTAAATCTCATTAAATCTCAAACTACTTTAAAAAACACACAACGCCACGTTACATTCTTTCATCCATAGCTGAATGAATATGAGTTAATAACTTGCTAGCATTGTGTTTTGATTCCTACAATGAAAGTTTTTGATTGAGTATTTTACCACACCGACCTCAAGGCCGTTTGATTTCTCCATTTTGAGAAGCTGCACGTGACCGCTCCTTCCTCTGTGATATGCGCGACACAAAAAGCAACCAAAAAAGCAACACAGAAACACTGTCAAACTGAGTCCGACGATTATCCCAACTGTCATGTCTTCACTATCATCTACAGCAATCGAAAATTATACTTGAAAATAAAGCCAAGTTCAAAAGTGCATTGTCAACATAGGTAGAAAAACATCAAAAACATTATTTTCTCTTTGCAAATAACAAATGGAAGATGTTCCTGCGACTCGAAAGTTTTTGAACGTCAGCGAGAGTGCAGAAATATTTTGAACGACGAAAAAATGAAAAGGGCGCAACCCAACAGGAAATGTGGGTGCAGTACAAGCAATCGGAAAATAAAGTGTTTTTTTACTGTCTCACTAATTTAACGAATCGCTTTCTTGAGATGTTTCTTGATCGCATCATCATTGAATGATCATAAATTTTAAATTTTACTGTCATTCTTCAAACCACTGCCCAGGACGTTGTATGTTCAATTGTTCAAAATCATAACATGAAGCGGAAACAACCTAATATTTACATACTATTTTTGCGTGTGAGACAACAATATTGACTCATTAATTGAACGTCGCATATTTCATACGGCATCCAATCAAATTGCAAAGTCTGTTACAATTGATCAGAAGATTTGGGAACAGACGCTCGACTTTCTGAAAAAATGAACTGCGAGGAAAATGGAGTACAGAAACATAATCACAGAATTTTCCGTTTTGAACTAAAAGTTACGCATGATTAAAAATGCTAAAGTTTCTTGTCCAACCAAAACTTTTGGGTTTTTCACCGAATTCGCGTTGGTTCATTGATAAATTAGAATAAATTCACGAACGCAAACTTCGAGTTGCTTTCAAAGTTTTGTACTTGACGTAGGCTTTGCATGAAAGCCTATTATAAAATATTGAAAGAGGATGATAGATTTTTCTCATCGTTCGATGAACTTCGTGTCTTACGTGCGAAAAAAGTGTCGCTCGCCGAAATATGAGCCATATTTTATTTATTCCTAATTATGACGATAAAAAGATGAGGTCAACTAGGGTAAATTGTAAACAAAATGAAAGCGGAAGTGAATAGTTTAGTTTTCACTTATTTCTTAAACATCAGAGTCCGCCTTCATCTCTCGATGAAATAAGCCGCAAATCAAGTAGTGAGCAATATCAATATTTCTCAAAACACGCGCATGAATGAACAGGCTGACCTAAATCTTCGATTTATAAAAACAGGACGCCGATAACGAGCACAAACCTATACAAGAATAGAAAAATGAAAAAATGGTTTTTCACCATTGACCTTTCAACTGGATAAAGAACGTTGAAGCACAACTATTTCTAATATATACTGTGATGCAAACTGAATTCAATTCCACTTAAATCTAGTGTTTAAGATATTGTGGCAGCGTGTGTGGGAACTTTCTGCAAATAAAAGACTGAAGCAGAATTCCATGTTATGGATAGGGTTGAAAAACGCACCGATACCTTCTCAATTAACTTCTACAACTAACACTGTGTACTATAGTTTCAATAAACATTTGATTGTAATTACGAATCATTCTATCGTTTAATATTCAACAATCATACTAGTAACAGGCATCTTAATTAGCATTTTAAGACTCACATCAAGATGCATTACGGTACGTAGAAGTTTCGAAACATGGCGCAAGGAATCGCCAATTTTACAGTCTTACCGTTGTTTGAACTTTTTGTCGTCGTTGTTTTGCCATCATTACCGATCTTCTCGTTTGTGAAAACGACGTTGAGTAAGCTCGCTAACACAAACGCCGCGTGTTTAAAATGTACGCCCATCGTGCAAGTGGTCTGGTACTCTGGTTCGCGAACAAATATAGCAGCTTTATTGCGACAAACTCATAATATTTACAATTTGTCGATCAACTTATGTGTCAGACTATCTCGGCCTAGTTTCGAATTTCAAGAAGGAAACGTTCACAAAGCGGCATCAGGCCAAATAATACTCTTGTCAAGAGTGAAATGAGCTTTATCAATCAGAAATCCAAGTAGCATGCATTGGACATGCCGTGAAAACGTGCACACCACATGGCTACTGAGACGGCTGCTCAAGGTTACGTGGAATTATGACGTGTAGAAGCTTTTTTATGATTACAACGAAATTATTGCATTACAAATAGTGACATTTTTATTTAGGAAAGAAGTACTTATGAACTTTTCGTTCATTTCTATGAATTTGGCTTCTAATCTTCGAATCAAGCGAGAATGTGGTATCTTTGGCCGATGAGTTAATGGTTGGCTTATTCTTCAATTGTCTTGAACTATTTTGATAGCAACAAAGCCAACATTATTTTTTATGTAGTTGAATGGATCACTTTAAGTTCTTTCATGAAAAGAAACAACTGCCCAATTCCGACAAAACCTATCGTATATGCTTTGAAGATTTTCTTTACACAAGGAAGCCGTTTTGATTCGTTTCAATGCCGATTTACCTCAAAATTAATTACTGAATCATCATTCTTTGGTATAGGCGAAGCGAAGGAAAGAATTTTAGTTTTATAGATGAACGAAGCTGACACTGGTACTGGTACAATGACCCTAATGACGAAGTGAAAAATTAGACTATTGCCTCTTTGTATATGGCTCTCCTTGTGTGCGAGGCGTTTTTTAAGAATATTAATATATCACATCTCGATTCAGTGCGTCAAATGCTTAGCAAGGAATTCAATCTTTTTGATGCTAAATTCTTAATAGCCTCACAAAAATGCAGAATTTAACAAAAGGATATTCTCGCCACGTGTTTTTTACTTGTACTGCGCAATGTTCCTGTTTCTCCTGTCGCCGAAGGCTTATGTGGTTGGATACTTGAGTTTATTTTAACGTTAACATACAGAATAAACGCTTGAGCAAGCGTCTTGTGTCGAAAAAGGGCTTTGTCAATTGACTTCTTCATTGCCAGCGAAAGAAACGATAGCGTTCGCTTCTCAGAGATTTTATAAATCTGAAAACACTTCTCTAAATCTAAACATTGCTTCGTTTCATTGCTCGATGATAACAAAGCCTGTCTGTTTTATTCTCGTCGTGAAAGTACAATGCTATTAGCTATTAATCGATAGTTCATTCACAGCGTGTTTTTCAAAAAATCTTTACTGTTTCACACGTGTAGTGCAGTTTCTAACACAGCTACTTCTTTTACAATGTGCATTCCAAGATTTAATCATATCTTCCATTTCCCTCGGAATTAAATTGGTCTCTTTTCTACTTATTTTTATTGAACTCACACACATGTTAAAACACATGATGTATTCTTTGTTTTATGAGAGTCTTCCACGTGTCATCTCTTTCAGACTTTTTGTTCTTAGACATTCATGAGGATTTAAATTATTAATGTTCGCCTATTGTCTGTTTACAACGCTTTTCGATTTCCGTTTTCTCGCAAATCTATGTTCTCTTGTTTGTTGGCTGAACTAAGTCAACGGCTCAACGCTTGTAAACTGCATGTACCGCGAAGGAAGTCTTGTCGGTCCTGATGATATAACAGGGCACAATCTGTCGGCTTTGCCTTCAATTTAGCAATTTATTCACCACACGAGTTGTTTTTGTTACTTACACAACACTTTTATCCATGATTGCATGCATAACTTATCGTACAATGAGCCCGATATTATCCAGAATGTAAATGCAATGTATGACTTTGATAGTGTATGGACAGGCAAAAAATTCCTTCGATTTTTGTAGCTTGTTTTCGCAGCATTGCTTACATGTTGGGACATTCCCTTGGAATGTGTGGAATTTGAAAACCCCGGAGGTTCTATCATCTATGCCACAAGTGATTACGGAAAATTACTTGGATGGAAAAGAACGCGTTTATGCCAGCCTTATGATGATTCTGGCATGAAAAAGTGTTGCTTGTGCTTGGTCCCGGTCTGTACGAGGTTCGATCCTATGAATATGGAGATTGGAGAGGGCAACGCCTATGTGCCATAAGCATGCAGTGTTAATATAATCAGGGTATGTAAGCTGAAGTGAGTTTGAGGGTTGTCACCTTACGGGTTTTTTCATTAGTTTTAATTTTTTGTCCGCTGGTCTCGATAAGAAACTGGGGAGGGGGAAAGGTTTATGTTTAATGTGGTCAGCTGTTTTTTCTTTACGAATGCCCGACCAGGGAACAGGATTGTTTGATCAACGCTTTTATTCGTCAACATGCTATTAGCTGTAGCGTGCCGAAACTCTTTATTTCGCTCATATATAAGCACTATTAAGGCTAAATTTATAGCCACGTGCTTCTGCATGAAGGACAGCTATATATTTCTTTCTGCTGAAACTGAAATTTATGAGCTTTGACAAGAATTTCGTTTGATTTGATTTCAATAAGAAACAAAATGCGTGTTCCAAAAAAGAATGGCTGTTCTGTGTAGAATTGTGTTTGTCGCCGGCTCGAAGTGTAATGAAGTACTATGGACTGTAGAAATGATGAATCTAAAAATCGGCTCTTTAGTAACGCCATTGTTGTCCCATTTTTAACATCCAATTTTACTTAAACATAAGATTAAGATTTTGTTTGTTGTGTTCGGTTGCTTTGGGAAACCAAATCGATAAAGTCATGCTGGAACAATAGAATGTGGAAACAAATTTGTCAGCCTCAACCCGTGGGCAACGCTATAGATTGCATAGAAACACGTGAGTGTTAAGTTTTTTTTGATTGAACGCCTTTTTGCCACAGAAAGTTTGGGAAGAAGTTCATCGTGCTGTATTTGATATGACTTAATGATACTTTTTCGCCAAAATGTACGTGATTTCAAGCTTTATTTTTAAAAACAATACGTTGTTCTAGCAAATTGCTGTCATCAGGGCGGACGACTTATGAAACTGTAAAACAGCAGGTGCAAAGATTAAACGCCAATTCGTTTCATTAAGAGTGTCAATATTGATCAACGACAGTTTATCAATTTTGTATCAAATATCATTCTTGTTCATCAATGGATCTCAAGTTGTCAAATATTGCTGATTCTCTTTTTTAAAGAAATAACTGGTTTTCTCTCCTTTGTAATGAAGATATGCTATCGTATTTGTAGAGTTTGTTTTTGATTTTAACACTCCAATATTCATATAACAAATTTTCAAACCTTCAAGTTGCTCGTTTCTACTGTACTTGGTCAACAGAATGATGAATCTAATAATTCGATTATGTTCAATCGAATACACGCAGTGTATGTCAATTCATCTCATTTCTAACCACTAAGCCACAAGTATCCCCGAAGGCATTACAACTCCCAGCGAAGTTTAATGATACACTCTATGCAAAATAGACTGAATTTCGGGTCGTGAGATGATTTATCAACGGGTCAAACATCGCATTTTTAGCCATAGTAGTGAATGCCATCTTTTCCCATGTTTTTATCTATGTTTTTCTATGTTTATATGAATCAATGAAATGGAACACAAGTGTAATCGAAAGAAGTGTAATCGAAAGGCAATCTCCTCATGGAGAAAAGTTTGTTATTTTCTCAACCAACTTGTGTTATAATAATATGCATAAAATCATGGTTTCATTTCAAGAATTTTTTGTGCAGTGCGACTTTATCCAACAAGATGATCTGATCCACCTCACCGACATCTCGTGTTTGACAACAAAAGCTACAAGATGAGGTGTATTGTTGATTTCGAGCTTAATAACGATGGCTGCGGAGAATCCATTGCAGAGCGCTTCAAGGTCTAAAATTTTCGCTTCGTAGAAACTCGCACAAACAACTTACTTGCAACAACAAAAAACGAAACAATGCCAAAGTAAACTTCAAAAACGAAAAAATTATCTTTTGTTGTATTAAACTTGTTATTTTATTGTCTTCTTTAAGGAAAAGTGGTTGTGCCATTTCCGTACAAAGAAACGCTATTCAAATTAAATAGCATAGGCACAGTATAGAAACATACAGTAGTCTCACTTTGCAACTTGGTGCTGTATATTTAATTAGATTACTGGCTGCGGCTAGCCACCTAAGCGCTCCTACTAGCCAAAAAAAGCAATTGACTTGCTGCCACTATACTAATCACATGCGTAATACGATACGCGCATCACAAACTATTTCTATTGAGTGGGACTACTGTTTGTTTCTATATTGTGACATAGTCTTGAATTCTTGAATTTCAATCAATCTATTTTCTTCAGCGAGATTATCTTTCGAAGTCCTTCAAGATTTTCGTCAGTGGTTGCATCTGAAGGCGAAGGCGGGATCTCGGGGATGGTCTAAAAATAGAAAGCAATTATTGACGAATATCCAAAATTACCGAAAAAAAAATGGTACAACCTTTAGCTACTAGTCCAGTAACGTAAAGTTATAACATGCGATATTATTATTTGGCATATATTATAGCTGACAATAATATATGAATAATCTTCAGCTGCCATGTCAACAAGTTCGCTATTCATCTCCCTAAGGTATTCATTCCTTCACCTGAATGAAATTACCATCATTTCCCGTGGGTTAATTAACAAGACTTTAACCACGCGCGCTTGCTAATTGCGAGATCAATAGAACGTTACGAAATCATTAGAACGTAATGAGATCATTAGAAAGGTATGAAATCATTAGAACGGTATGAGATCATTAAAAAATGAAATTGTTAGAATGTTATGAAATCTTTAAAATGTTACATGTTTTGCTGGCAGATGATGGAGGGCGAAATGGACTTTTTCCTTCTATCAATCAAATTGGTGTAATGCTGATAAGCAAGTTTGTGTAGCAATGCTTTTAGCCAATTCGCAATATTTAGCCAATGTTGTTGACAGCCTTCAAATGACATTGATCAGAATTGTATCGTCCAATTCAGGAGCAAACAATGAAATGCAACAACTGAAAGATGTAGGACTCTATTTTTGCATACGTTTAAAATCGTTTCAAACTTCAAACACCTCATGCGTCACAAGCATTTTGTATTTGAAACGACCTTAACTTCTACCTGCCTTAACGAGTTAAGCTGAATTTGTAGAGTATACTGAGGGTACGATAGGATAACCTAAACTTTACTTTTATTACAACGTACCAAGTTTGGTTTATAAAAATTATGAACAACAGAGGCTCCTGCAAGCATCGATAACATGCAAGCACTTAAGACTTTCAAATAACTTCCCCAAGCCATTCCAGCCGGCATTTTGAACGATATGTGTGTTACGATTGAGAGTTTCTTCACGTTTAATGTTTACTGTGGATTTGCCGAATTTTTCGAGTCTTCGAGTCTTCTTTCTGATTCTTTTCTCAAAACTGTATCATCTATGGAGTGGAACAGAGAGCAAATTGAACTTTCCATCTGCGTTGTTTACTGGACTATTTGGATACAACATTGAGTCATTGACAATATCTGTCGAGCTATAGTTGGTAATTTTTACTGTTTAAATGCCATCCTGATCACAATCCTGAAGAATTTTCAATGCTTCCATGAGGTTGGAATGTAAAAGATGGCGTTTTTGTTGGGGGGGGTGGAGGGGAGAGACAGAGCATAAGCCTAATTTACACAATGACATAACATCATGAACTGAAAAATAGAACACCTAAATTTTATAGTACAAAATGAGAAATAAGTTATAAGACTAAATGGTCGTTTCTTTAACATCTTGCCTTTCCATCTCAGTCAGCAAATGGTTCAAAATTAGCTAAACCCAAAATATCCACTTACAAAACGTTTCGTGACCAATGCGAACTTTTATCATGAAAAGCTCAATCGCTGCGCCCAAAATGAAAAATATCGGCATATATTTGTAAACACCAAGTCGCTCGCTCAAATTTCGTTTTCCTCCAGCGAACATAATAAATTTTATAGCAGTATTAGCAACTTCAGTTCCTGAAGATAAGACTGAGTCAGTTTTATTCACGTATCCCCCCTCTGGAAACATATAAAAAATATTTTTTGAAGGGGGGACTGAAAATCCAATATGGCGGACGATTTGATATAAGAAATCAAGTCAGCAGGACTATGATATCAAAATATAGATTTGATGGCTCGTTACAGTCCATATTTGTAAGTATAACGGTGTTTTAGTAATGTCTATTATTAGTAATGTTTTAGTAATGTTTTAGTAATGTTTTAGTAATGTTTATTATTATTATTATATAATTATAGTTTATTAGTAAAATCATCACGAAAGTTGTCGTTCTGTGTACAAAGATTATTTTATTAATAACGTTTTGTCTTAAGACACAACATCTTTAGATTAAAAGATATCGTTGAAGCTGCAAATGTTAGCCAGCTAATTATTTATTTAAATGATATTATAGTACTTGATGAAAGGAAGGAGAAAATTCAAATGACTGTATAAAATTAAAAAAAGGATTCCCTTGTATTTTGTAGCTTAACACTAGAGATTATAAGCCTGCTTATTTTTAAAACCTCACGTACATTTGCTATGGACAACACATCACTTATGAAAAAGCTGTTACTCTTGTTTTGCCACCATTTGTAATGGCCATATTATAATGATTAGTTTAAGCTCTCGTGTTTATGTTAGAAGTTTAATTAAATAGAGATTAAGATGATCGGTTGCTATGGATCGAACAGTTCAGTTCAAATTTTCTGAAATGTTATTCATATATTATTTCATCTAAAAAAAGCCAACAAAGTCCCCAAAAAGCCAGCAGGAAAAAAGGGTCAGGGAAAAAGAGGAGGTTTGGGGACATGTCCGAAGATGAAGTGACAAAATTCTTGCTACCCGATCACTTTGGAGACCAGATGGACATAATGTTTGTAAGTTTGCTTGATTGTTATACATAATCAGTGCATGGGCTCAGAGTTTACATTGAAATGATATGATGGTTGAATTTACAAAACTGGTTTTCATCATTACAGGTTGGTATCAATCCAGGTCTCATGTCTGCATATAAAGGTCATCACTATTCTGGCCCGAACAACCATTTCTGTAAGATCAGCTTCCTTTATACTTTGGGTTTTTTTGTAAGACTAATAAACTGTAGAAAGCAAAGATGTTTGAAGAGTTATGCATTTATTGTAGCAAGTCAGGAGATATGTCATGTTAAATATGGTGTTGTTGTTGTAGTATTGTGACTTTGTTTTATGTACATAAAGGGCTACTGTAAATGCCTAAAACTGTAGCATGTGCCTAGAGCCGTTTCGAGAACATTGATTGGGAGGGTGTGTGTGTTTATTCATGCATTCAGTTGTGCCCAACTGAATTACATTTCTTATGTAATTTCCTGGGTGAATTGTATTCAAAAGAAATCATTTGAGCACTACTGAGTGTATCAATATAACCCCCCCCCCTCCCCTCACAAAAAAGTAATTAACGTTCTAAGGACAACTCTGTATTTGTCTTGCCACTTGATAACATAAGTATGTTGCATGTTATTGGAATTAGTTCATCCATTTAATTAATAAATATCAGTGAAAAAGTATTTATTTAATTTATTCAATTGAATGCTTTCCAAGACAATTGTTGAAAAGTAAACCTGTTGTCAATAATGCTGTTGATGATACCACTAGTTTCCTCATTTTCTGTTATTTATTTATTGCACTTAAGTTGTTTGACCTTTTTGCATCAGCAGTAGGAATGTGAATTCACGTTAATTTCATGTATACATTCAGCTATGTTTTGACGTATTTCCAAATGGGTTTTTTATTCTGAAGGAGCAATTTTTTATCAAATACTTATGGAGAATCGTTTTATATTGAACTTAAAACCTCAACCATTCAAGTTGTTACGTAAACGTCCTTGCTTCTTTTAGGGCCTTGTCTAGCTGATGCAGGTCTGGTGCCAGATGGTTTCACGTTTGTTGATGACGTCAGATGTCCTGATTATGGAATTGGACTAACGAATATTGTTGGCAGGACAACAAAAAGCAGTAGCGAACTTTCTCGGTGTGTTGAAGTTATTTGTGAACTGATTGGGGGTGGAGGTGGCAATATTCATATATGCATGATATGCCGTGTAAGTTTCCTTTGAAATCCATTCATTTTTTCGGATTATATAATAAATGTATGACTATCTCCCCCTTCCCAATTTACGCGCTAGCCACGTGCCCGTACGCAACTGCTCTGAGTGTTGCCGCATGTTTTCAGCATAGTGTTGTCACTAGGCAGTATTACGACGAAGCGAAATCAATAATTATATCAGGATAACAATACTTGTGAGTCTATCAATATCTACAGACAGGGATTGTCGCTGAGTGTCTATGTCGATAAATCATGAAACCCTCGTATGACATTGTCTTGGGGATACTTCCTCCTACGTTTTCGAAAATTAATCATTTCACATTTGGAAAACTACTCTTTCACCTTGAGATATCCAGTTTGCCACCACACAATCAAAACAAATTTGCGGCCTTGTAGCCGTTTAGCTTTGCTTCATCTCATCAAATATTTTCTGCTGCTTAATTGAAGAACAATAAAACATTTAGTACAAATACTCCTCCCTCCCTCCCTAAACATAGCTTCATAATATTGATTCTTAGCGAATGTGACGTGGGTGAAAATGATTTTTCGTCGATCAAAAGGAAGCAGAAAATCTTTGCCTATGTCAAATGTGTAGCCAGGACAGTTTCTAGAACGTTAATCGTAAGTAGGGGGAGGGGATTATTAGTATATTCAGTTGTTCCTGACTGATTTCTTTTGAAAGTGATTTGGCTTTCTAGAGAAATCAGTCGGGTACAATTGAATATATTCTTAAACACTCTCTCCCTCCACAATCCACGTTCTAGCTGCGGTCCTATGTGTATCACCATCCCCCTTCCTTCGGACGAGATGTGAAATTTACTGTCTCATTACTGTAATGTAATTAATTTCAGCCAGGAAATAAAAGAAGGAAAGGACAAGTTGATCGAAAAGATAAAAATACACCGACCTTTGGTGACTTGTTTTAACGGTAAAGGTATGGTCCTGAGAATGAAAATATTTTGTCTCCGTTCACGTTCTCTTCAGTCCTAAGAATTCCTTTTCAAAAAAAAAAACAATTTTAGGTATTTATGAAATTTTTACCGGTCGAAAATGTGAACTTGGTCTGCAAAAAGAGCGAGTGCCTGGAACGAGCTCCGTAAGTCACGGGTTTAATTGCTCCATTTATGACTGGAATAACAAAAGCCTAAGCCTTTACGAGACTATTTTTCACGAATAGCTACATCTTAAGGAAGTCAACACGAGCGGGTGGCATAGGAAAGAAGTAATTTTTAAGGGGGCACAACCTGGCATCTTTGGTGGTAAAGGGCAACAATTACACGTAGTAAATATAATAAAAAAGTCACACTGCTTACATTTTTAGTATATACGTATATATAAAACTGTCAATCAATGTAACATGACAACATAATATAGCAAGTATTTTACTTAAAACTACTGAAGTACTTGTAATAGTATATCTGTGGCAAATTATTTGGGGGGGGGGGCGACCATTAAATTTTATTATTTTAGGACGTGTTCCACTTCCATCCCCGTTTTCTATGCCCTTGGCGAGACGTAAGCTGTCCTAGAAATGCAATTTGAAATATGTTTATGGTTTGTTCGATATGTAGGCAATCTATGTGATGCCCTCGTCGTCCGCACGAACGATGATCTATCCTAGAAAATCAGATAAATTACAGTTTTACTTGGAGCTGAAGAAATTAAAGGATGAACTCAAGGCCGAAGGCAATTGCATAGACTAAATAAAGGTAGATGATTGGTTGTACCTACCTATTGAAGTATTCAGTTGGAAAGATTTTAGTCCTGGAATCTTTCTTACATTAATTGACTTTCATAAAGTTTCGTGTAAAGTTAGTTTTAACATAAAACTTCAAGTTCCTGTATGACGAAATTGCTATTTACTAATGCAAAGATGAAATTCATCATATACATAACACGCCTTTCGAAGAACTTGATTTCGAACAGCTTTAGTGCATGCTTTCTTCCGCCAAGGCTTTGCATGAAGTGTGCATGTTCTCCTCAGCAACAGTTTGCATGAAGTTAACTTCCAATTTATCTCAAGTTAAAAGCTTTTCGTCTTTGTGGCAGTTTTCCACGCATAAAAGTCCCCAGTTTTCATTTAGTGTTTATTTTATAAACATGAGCATTATACCGGGGAAGAGGGAAAGGGGGGATCAATCCAAGTTATCAGTTGCTCTATTGTCACTGCTCGAACGCTATGTGAAACGCCTGGGTACATCAAATTATTTTTTAATATATCGTATGTGATTGGAGTTATGAAAATTATTGTTTTGTCTAAATTTCTTTTGCGAGATTATGGTGGAATGACAGCATATTTAGCAAAAGTTTCTCTTAGCAGGTTGTTAAGAAAAAACCGACACATAAAGCCCGTTGCGGAACTGATCGGTTTTTTTCAACGTCGAACTTCTTTTAAATGACTTTGTCTTTCTTCATAACGAACTGTGCTTTTAAAAGCATTGATGAAAGATCAATATGCGAGCCAATATAGAGTTTTTTTGCACAAGTTTTCTGCTAGAAAAATAATTGTGCGATTTTTTTGAATGTGCATTACTATATGTGACAGTCGCTCTATATAATAATATGCTTAGAAAACCATAGAAAACGCACATTTTGTCAGTTTTGTGATATCGATAACTAGCCATTGAATGAACATAAATACATAGACCTGAACTGTGACGTAGCTGCGGTTATTGTCCCTCGCCTTATCGTCTCAATTTGTCCAGATGTCTGAAACAGCCACAGAGATTGTCGTGAATGTATGGTTTTAGGTTTCCGCGACTTTTGATGGAATAAATCACACGAGTAAAATACTTGAAAGGTAGTGTCAATAGAGTAATAACTTTTTAGGACAACGTGCGAAAGAGTTCGTCAGTTTACGACTTTTTATGAACATCATGTATTTTGAGTAAAAGGACATCGAAATTTTCTTAGTCGCGCCCATCGTTGAGCCCATGCATATTGATTGAGCGATGGTGCATGTTTCTCCAACCCTCAGTATCCTTGTATGTACGAAAAGATAAGATCCATGAAAAACAGAAATGGAAAAGATATATTTATGTCTTTTGACTTGCGCATTAGATTGGTAATCTTTATAAAGGACCGTGACCTTGGGTTAGGAGTAACAGCTTTTAAACATTTCAAAGATCAGTCATGTTAAACTGAATTGTTGAATACCTTACGAATGTTGTTCTCAATTTGTCTAAGTTGCAATGGTGATGTCCTATAAACAGAAAATCGATCCAATAATTTTTAAATTCACATTGTTTTTTGCGTGCTGATGCAACAGTTTGTATTTATTGCATTCATGTTATGTGTTTGAATACACGGAATTTAGCTACCGGCTGCCTTCTAAAAAAATTTGCTTATTTTTGTTTCCACATAAATGATTCAATGTTGCTAGTCGTGTGTGTTCCCTTTTCCTTCTAGAGCGGAAGCCGGCGAAGCTTCCTTATTCCGGGATTGCTAATTTTATTATGCACTTGCAATACGTGTTAGTGATAACTAATTTAATATTATAGTCTTGCAAAATATTTGGTAATTGATGTTTGTACGAAGTTTATACTAAGTTTGAAAATTGGTAATCCAGGCGTTTAATACATAAAAAATGAAAGTTTCTCCGAATTTTTTTAAAAATTATTTTATTGAGCTTTCGACTCGTTGCTTCGAGCCTTCAGCAGAATAAGGAAATTAACAATTTACACGTGCTTTTATCTTGTAGACGCTAAGTGCATATGACCATGACAAAAACACAAACAAAATAAACACCAGAAACGAACCCACACCTACCCAACTCGAGACTTACTTCTTCAAACTACCCTACATTGGGTACATTTCACAAATCACGGAAAGGAAATTACACAACTTAATAAAACGCTACTGCACAGACTTAGACATCAAACTTTTCATCTTTTAAAATCAAAAATCACTTTAGCTTCAAAGATCCTATTCCCACGATCCAAAGATCCAACGTGGTTTATGAATTTTCTTGTGCTGGATGTAATTCCAGTTACATTGGGGAGACCACCCGCCACCTTTCCACACGGATTAAAGAACACACAACCACGGACAAAAACTCACACATATTCAGGCACTTACTCTCGTCACCACACTGCAAAAACAATTACACACAATCCTGTTTCCGTATCTTAGACACCGCTCACACTCCTTTCGCCCTTAAACTCAAAGAAGCCCTTTGTATCAAGAAGCGTAAACCTAACCTCAACAAACAAATACAACATCTTAACACTATTTTTGACCTGTAAATAGCTATTACTACCTTATCAAATATTTTTCATTTTCTTTGTAATTTTTTTTGTGATATAACCTAACACAAACATTTTATAACTCCTCATTCAACTGTAAATAATTATTCATAAGCGGTCGATATTTCCGCTTTATAACTATAACATATATATTATATATTAATCCTAACACGGTTTTTAATATACACATGAAAAACATGTGACTTGGACGAGATTTGAACTCGCACCTTCGGGATATTAGTTCGCCGCTCTACCTGTTGAGCTACCAAGCCCACAGGGTATTAACACCGATCATATTCACAATACACCAAAACCCATGGCAACGCATTTCACTCCATCCAATCACATTAATCCACCCACTAATCCAATTAGACGCTCTAGGCGCCTACAAGCTAAAAGCACGTGTAAACAGTCAATTACCTCATTCTGACGAAGGCTCGAAGCAACCAGTTGAAAGCTTAATAAAATAATTTTTAAAACAATCCGGAGGAAGTTTATACTGTATTCTGTTATTACTAAACATTAAATTACTTTGCATTGTCCCACAATGGATGAAGACATGTCAGACGTGAACAAAGATTCGAATTGTGGCCTCAATCTTGATATTAATAAAGCTGCTTGCGCCATATTTGATGATATATACAACAAAGCCATACAGGATTTTCGGGAAGATTTCAAAGTGATCAATGAAAACCTTTCAGAAAGCCATAAAAGATTCCCTCGTCTCTAATCACTCAGAAGCAGCAAAGCACATCGAAGGAAGCACCTGCGACTTGTTTTTAGCGTATTTAAACGACAAATTCAATCAACTTCTCGGTGAAGACTTGTTCAGGTTTTTTCTTGATGACATCAAGGAACAGATTGTTAGAAAGATACTTCGTTTAAAAAATGAACTCGAAGAGAAACATACAGAAGAGCCACCGTCAGAATCAGTCCTGGATTCAGACAACTGGATCGCTAAAACAGATCTGTTCCATCCTATTCACATCCACCATGCATTGCTGTGTTGTCAACTTGCTCGCGATTGTAAAAACCCTGAAAACAGAATGAACAACCTTGAAGAAATAGAGAAAAAACATTTACTTAGCAATGTTTATGTTTCATATGAAAACAAGGACGTTCCTAAATATGTGATGGCAGAATGTGGTGATGTTATCTATGTAAGCTTTAACGGATTGTCGTCATTAACTTCACCTGGTGCTGAATCCACATATCGAGGTGAAATCCTTTAGTCTACCGCTAAGGTTGTCGAAACGTCAGTCAACAACGACAAAAACAGTCCTTCTCAGCAGGGGCGGATCCAGCAATTTTCGTGACTGATACACCACTGCGGGCGCCAAAGGCGCTAGCTCTGTAGGGGGGTCTGGGAGGATGCCCCCCCCCGGAAAATTTTATATTTTAGACCGTCGGAAATGCGATTTTCTGCGTTTTGACAACAGAATTTAAAAAAACTTGGCTTTACTTAGTTTGTAAACTTTTCGCAAATTTCAATGATATAAAATCTAAAATTCCACTAACCTTTAAACATTTTCATTACTACTATCAGATTTATCAAGTTTCATACCTTCGCCAAAACTTACAATCAGGAAGGTATCATTCCAATCCACGAGTGATTTTGAAAAGGTAGAAGCTTGGCATATTTTTTGTCGTGAAACGCAAAGAAACCTTTTACATCTCACAAATGAAGCACAAGTTTTTGACCATTAATCACACTTAATACCACTCGTCCAACAGCAGAAAACGATACGTAGATATAGCAAAGAAATGTTCACGATGTAATCATCGTACCAAAAGCTGGCAACAAGTAATGATAAATGTTATTCTTCTTCTTTCATTGATAATATCACTCCTCCAACAGCAGAAAAAGACACGTAGATATAGCAAAGAAATGTTCACGATGTAATCATCACCTCTAGTTCTACACAAGCAATAAAATTAGAAAGTCTATTGAATAAAATCACTATTGACTCTATGTTGATAAAGAAAAGCCTTTTAGGGGAACATTCATCAAGCCTTAAAGTGTAATTTTTTGGGTTGCCTTTAACAATCCATAAATATTTTTTTAGATAATTGAATCTAAGCATTGTAATGCCTGTGCTATACTTTCCCAACCAAATTCATGAGACCAGCTTTCAAGGGGAGTATAAGTAGTACCTAATAGCTAATATAATGTGCCCTCCTAGCTTTAATCAAAATGCAATGGTGAGGACTTCTATACATAAGGATCAGGATACAAATATGCACATATGCAAAAATAAAATATGGTGATGTAATATACAATGAGATATGTTAAAGAATTACAATATAGAACTGTTGCTCTAATATCTTTATGTATAGTGGGTAATTTTGAGATAATAATAATCATGTAAGACAATAAAGTAACATCATAGCTATGTAAATGAAATGCTTTGCTGTGTACCCACCCTTTCGTGATCATGTTTTATGGTAAATTTAGAAATTTGGCACACTGTGCATGATTGTAAATGAGAGCATACACTCAAAAAAACATCACCTTGTAAGATTCCAGTTATAACAGCAACAGAGAAGATTCAAAGCAATATTTCAACTTCATATGAAAGTCATTATCCAGCTAGGTGTGGAAGAAATAATAAGGAATTGTTGTGGCTGAAATAATATGTAATTACAGTTTGCT